ATGATATCCATTCTGGTTTGACTATTATCTTCTTTTGAAGTCCTGTAATGTCTCAAATGTTTCATTTTTATTGATTTTGTTCTGTACTGTTTTGTTCAATTTTGTTATACCTGATGATATGGGCAATTCTTTTGAAGATAGCAAGAGGCATTATGGTATCCATTGTTGATCACCTTGTATTTTGTTTTTACACCATGAACTATGTCCATCTTTTTGTTTGACTGACTGTATTTTATTTTGTCACATTTGGTTTTATTCTGTTCAAAACTAAAAATTAAAAAAATAATAACGTGTGAGGCTACAGAGGAAATCAGAAAAGAAATAATGTCCCAGCTGAAAAAAAAGAGATGACAACTATAATGATGGACTTTCTCAGCAAATCTAAAGTATACATAATTTTTTAAAAAGAGCTGAAAACGTAGCTTAGCAGCACAACACCTGCCTTGAAAGCACAAGGTCTTGAGTTCAATTCCCTATACCAAAAAAAAAAAAAAAAAAAAGAAAGAAGGAAAAAGAATAAGACAAGAAAAATAGATGAGCATAGAAAAATGGTGGAAATCACAAATATCTACATAAGAAAGAAATGGAATGTATGAAACAGATTCAGCAATATTTGGGAAATTTAAATTTTCATTGAAAGTTTACAAAACCAACTGAATGAAAATTAAAACACAATATTAGTCTTAGAATGCAGGTTCACAGTCAGGGATCACAAAAAGAAAAGATGTCATAAAAATAACAAGAGACAGTGAAAAATCAATCCAACAGCTGCAAGACAATACAAAGAAAAACAATGTAAGATTGACCAGAGTCCATGAAAAAGCAGGAGTTGGCACAAATGACATTAAAAACCTACTCACAGAAGTAATGACAGAAAACTTCCCAAGCAGGGAAAAAGAATTAGAGATGCAGATAAGTGAAGCATATGGAACTCCAACTAGCCATGACCAAAATAAATCTCTGCCAATGCATATAATAATAAAGTTTCCAAAACAAGATTCAGTACAAGAACAGAATATTAAAAGTGGCTAGAGAAAAAAGAAACAAATCACCTACAGAGGAAAACCCATCAGAATCACAGACTTCTCAACACATTCCATCAAGTCAGAGAGCTTGAAGCAAAGTATTTCAAGTCCTGAAAGAAAATAACCCAGACTGACATAGCCTTCAAAACTATCTGTGAAAATCAATGGAGAAATAAGATACTTCCAAGACAAAAACAACTGAAGAAATTCATGACCATCAAGCCAGCCCTCCAAAATGTGCTGAAGGATATTTTAGAAACAGATAAGGAAGACTAAAACCCCAAAAACACCAATAGAAAGAAGCCACCAAGCAAGACAAACAGAGGGCAAAGATAGGGAACCAACAATTGGAAAATAAAATGACAAGGATAAGTAAATACATATCAGTTACAACCATCAGTGTAAATGGTCTCAATCCACCAATCAAAAGAAACAGACTGGCAGAATGAATCAAGAAGCAAGATCCAAAAATATGCTGCACAAGAAACACATTTACCTCAAAAAGAAATTCACAGCCTAAAAGTCAAAGGATATAAAACAATACTTCATGTGACAGGAACTGGAAAAAGAGCAGGGTAGCTATTTTATTTGCTGAACAAACAAATGTGAACTTTAAGTCAGGTCTGATCAAAAGAGACAGAGAAGATCTCTACATACTTGTTAAGGGAAACTCCAAATGAAGAGATAATAATCTTAAATATATCTGCACCAAATACAAGTGTACAACTATAAAACAAACATTAATGGACATGAAAAATCAAATAGCACTAATACAATTATAATGGAGGGCCTTAATACCCCCACTGCCCCAAGTAAATATGTCTCACCTGTAATCTCAGAACTTGGGACACTGAGGCAGGAGGATCACTGTAAGTTTAAGATCAATCTATGAACCTGCTAGGCTATGTAGTCCAAGACCAGTTTGAACTACTTAACGAGACTCTGTCTCAAGAAAACAAAAGCAAAAACAAACAAATAAATCAACTAGATCCAAAAATCAACAAAGAAGTATCAGAACTGAACCAAACGTATGAACGAATGGACTTAGTAGATATCTAACTACTAAGTGTCCCACCCAATAACATCAGAATAAACATGCTTCTCAGCAGCACATGAGACACCCTCCAGAACAGACTCTTATGTACCAGCTCGTAGAACATGCAAAGGAATTGAAACTATCCCATGCATAGTATCTGACCATAATGCAATGAAACCAGAAATCAATAGCAAAAGAAACCACAAAAACTCCATAAACACATGGAAATTAACACCCTACTGAACAACAAATGGGTCACAGGTGAAATTAAATGAGAAATTAAACAGTATCTACAATCAAATGATAATGCCAATACCCAATATCAGCCATTGAAATAAAAGGTGTAACTAAAAACTTACCAACAAATAAAAGCCCAGCTGCTAATGGATTCACTGCTGAGTTCTACAAAAAATTTTAAATAAGATCTAATGTCATTACTCTCCAAACTCTTTAATGAAATTGAAAGGGAAGCAATACTCCTAATGTCTTTTCTGAAAGCAAGTATTACCAAATACTTTTGATACCAAAACCAAACTCAACCAAAAAAGATAACTACAGGCAAATCTCTCTAATGAACATACATGCAAAAATCCTCAATGAGATGCTGACAAACAAATGCGCTGCAAGTCACCAGGATTATACACCAGGATCAATTAGGATTCATCCCAGGGATTCAGAGATGGTTCAACATATGCAAATCAATAAATGTAATACACCATGTTAGCAGAACCAAGGACAAAAACCACATGATCCTCTCAATAGATGCAGAAAAAGCATTTGATCAAGTCCAACACCCATTCATGATAAAATTCCTACAGAAAATTGGAATAAATGGTCTTTATCTCAACCTGATAAAAGTTGTCTATGACAAACCAGCAGCCAACATTATTTAAAATGGTCCAAAACTGAAAGTTTTCACTCCAAAATCATGAACAAGACAAGGATGTCCACTATCCTATGTCCATTCCTACTCAATATAATTCTGGGAACATTAGACAAAGCAATTAAATAAGAAAATGAAATAAAAAGAATAAAAATAGGGAAGGAAGAAGCTAAATTATCATCATTTACAGATGACATGCTACTGTACACAGAAGATCCCAAAAACTACACCAAAAGACTTGTGGATTTAATAACAAAATTTAATTGTATAGCTAGATACAAAGTCAGTACTCACAAATCAACAGCATCCCTGTGCACAAGCAACAAATCCACTGAGAGAGAAATTAAGGGAACCACACCCTTCATGATAGCACCCAGAAAAATGAAATACTTAGGAATAGATTAACAAAGGAAGTACACAATCTCCACACTGAAAACTATAGTACTCCAATAAAGGAGATTGAAGCAGATACCAGAAAATGAAAGGTTATCTCACTCTTGGGTAGGAAGCATGAAGTGAAAATGGCCATATTTCCAAAATTGTTATACAGATTTAATGCAGTCTCAATCAAAATACCATTATCAGACCTTACAGAACTGGAGAAAAAATTTCTAAAATACATTTGGAACCAAAAGAGTCCTAGAAGACCAAAAACAATTGTAGGCAACAAAGGTAAGACAGGGACCATCACATCCCTGACTTGAAATTTTACTACAAAACTACTGTGAAAAAAACAGCATGGTACTGGTGGGGAAAAGAAGCCAGACTCAGGGGCTAGGGATTTAGCACAACTGCACAAGCTCCTGCCTGGCAAGCACAAGGTCACGAGTTCAATCCTCGATCCCTCCCCACCCCCACAAAAAGAAAAACAGACCCAAGGATCAATGAACAGATTAAAAGATGCAGAAACAACCCCAAACACATCAGCAACCTTATCTTTGACAAAGGACTCAAGCATACTCACTGAGGGAAAGGTAGCCTGTTTAATGAATGGTGCTGGAAAAACTGGCTTTCTACATGCTTAAGAATAAAACTAGACTTCTGTATATCACGATGCACTCAACCAAAATCAAAATGGATCAAAGATCTGATTATTAAAACAGAAATACTAAATACGGTGGAAGATAAAATAGGTAGGATTCTTGAGGACAGGTGTAGGCAAAGATTTCAAGAACAAAACCCCAACTGCACAGGAAGTACTACAGAGAAAAAACGAGGGAAAAAAAGCAAAATGGAAGCGATGCTTTGTAAATAAGGAGAAGAGGTGTGAAGGGTGGGGCGGGGAGTGAGAAAAAAAGAATAAAGATACGTCATGTACAAGTATGAATCCCCTATGATGGATGTGGTCTTGTATACCTAAATTGAACCAGTAGACAATACTAGTATGAAAAGTATTTTCCTTCTTGGTCACAGAATTCTATATGCTTCAAATCAGAGATTTTATCAAACGTCTATTCCTTATTTAACAGTAAAAGTGAATGTTGAAAATCTTTTTTAAACTTATTATAGTAAAAGACACATTATCCCCCAAATACTCCCCTTTTCTTCTAAATCCACATATGCCATCGTTCTGGCTACTTTCTGTGCAATCCTAGACGTCCTCTTTCATGAGATTCTTTGCCAGATGTAATTAAAAAATACAGTGGATGCTCCTGCTGAGTGCCACCCAACACAAAGGTAGCCTCGTAAAACCATCATAGTATTTGCTTGTCTTACTTAGCTACCAGGTGTGGTACTGTGTGGCTTCAGGCTCGTCCCCAAAGTCAAAAGGACAGTGAAAAGGTAAATACTTTCTAGATTTAGGACTCCGAGACAGCCACAATAGCACTAAAGACACTCAAGCGTAAGGACTCCCCCAGACTGCCTCACAACGTGACAAGAATGTTTGGATAAGTGCGTTCAAACTGGCAGGTAGTATTTTGAGGAGAATGAATGGAAATGTGCCTTTTACAGTAATGACTTTTAAAATGTAACCATTTATTGTATTTGTCAATCCTACCTCCCCCATCTGCAAGCTGATGCTGAAAAATTCACTATGATGGTTTTTTCTTTGTAGAGATTAAATGCCCTGGCTGCATTAGTTAGAGGAAACCTTCCTAAATTACACAGAAACATCATCACGGCATTGATTACTATTGATGTGCATGCGAGAGACATAGTCACTGAACTTGTTCAAGCCAAGGTAAAAGGTTTCATTTAAGTAAATCATGTATTTCTTTCCGGCATCAGTGTTTCTAATCTGGGTATCATTTATATCACTTATGTAGGTAGACACAGTGGACTCCTTTGAGTGGCAAAGACAGCTGCGCTATTACTGGCTTGTAGACGTAGATAACTGTGTGGCCAGAATGGCTCTCTCTCAGTACACATATGGTTATGAATATCTGGGAGCATGCCCAAGATTGGTTATTACTCCTCTCACGGTAAGTTACTGATTACTTAGGTTATTATCATGAAAATTTTCATCTAACATGAACTTTTAAAAGGATTTGCTAAAACACAGTTTACCTTATTTAGTCATGTGCATGGATCTTTGAGGATATATTAACTGCTGTAAAACTTTCCTTAGAAAAATAGCGACTCTTCTCCTATAGAAAGGAAAGGCCTTATGAATTTGTCACATAAGTCACTGTTATGGCTTGTGTTTAGGTATCTCCCAAAGCCTCGTGTGGTCACGGGTGGGGCTTTTTCAGAGGTGGCTGGGTTTAGAGTGTTTGATGCTGGAATTGACTTATGGTGAATGCAAGGTTAAATGATACTAGGATCAAGGGTATTAGTGCTACCTGGCCTGTGTAGCCCGGATAAGATAAAAGGGAGAGAAAGACCCTGTTAAAGTTCCTTTGTTTGTGCTTGCTGTCTTCTGCTTGCCATGAACGGGTTCTCCTCTGCAGCCCTCTCTGCATGCCAACACACCTTGCAACCAAACTATTATGAACTGAACCTCTACAAACTGTGAGCCAACTAAACCTTTTCCCTTTTAATTTTGGGCATCAGGTATTTTGTCTCAGCAAAGAGAGAAAAGTAATTAAGACAGTTACTTTTCTTTAACCAATGTATTGAATTTCTTCAGGACCGCTGCTATCTTTGCCTCATGGGAGCTTTGCAGCTCGACCTCGGGGGTGCCCCAGCTGGTCCTGCTGGCACCGGGAAAACTGAGACCACCAAAGACCTGGCCAAAGCTCTTGCCATTCAGTGCGTGGTGTTTAACTGTTCCGATGGTTTGGACTACAAGGTAAAGTTCCTTCATCTGAATAGTTATACTAAGTGTTTCACGTGGCTTTCTCTATCTGCAACATGACATACAAAGCAAGACAAGAAGAGCTGATGATGACCAAGGAATAAAGTGAAATAATTAGAACAAGGGAAAAGAGTCAACACATGGTGGAGGGCACTTAGGAATCAAGGCCAGGTAGTATTCGCCAAATGGTAGAAAAACTTAAAAATCTGTGCCTGTCAGTAAATACAAAAAGGCTAGCATGAGACACTATTATAGCAGATAAATTCAGGAACAAAAAATACATTTACAAAAGGAGAAAATGAACATTGCAGAGACTTGTGCGCCAAGAATGAAATATGTAGGATTAGACAAGAATGTTTTCAGTATATTGGTTCTCAAACTTTTTGGTCATGGAACCCCTTTAGACTCTTAACAATTCCTGAAGTAAGTTATATCTGTTGATATCAACCAGTTGGAGGTTTTTCTGCTTGTGTCTGTTATATTTATTTGTTTTAAAACAATGATAATTCCGAACCAGGAAATTTAGTAACATTATTTTTATACTTTTAAAAAATTTCTGGTATTTGGTATAATAAAATATAGTCAGATTCTTATATTTGTTTCTGTATTCAGTCTGTTGCAGAATGTAATTTTAATTGAGATGTTTGAAGAAAATCTAGCCTGAAAGAGATAAATATGAACTCTTTAAAAAGAGGAATATTTTAATAACTTTTCAGGTAATTGAATCAAAAGGCAGGTAATACATTAGTGCTAGGAGAGATCAGCTATGAGAGCTTCTCTAAAGAGGGTGAGCAAGTTTTTAAACCCCTGGGAAGTTGAGTCCAGGTCTGTGAACTGTTGAAAATGACCTGGAAGATATTCCCTACTTGGTTTTCTTAACAGGCAGAATAGGAGGATTTCAGCAGTTCCGCAGTCTATGGAGGTCACGGAGGTCAATCACTATGGGAACATGGTTGATGGCCAGGCCCAGGGGTGAGTTTTGGCTCATACCCCCTAGGACGGGAGAGTTTTCAGAATTTTAAGATTGTGTTTTTCTGTCTCAGACTGAGGCACCATCATCCTTTCTCTCCACAGTTAGAGGTTGAACTAACTTTCAAAGTACAAGGTTAAACAAGCAAGAGGGTGACTGGCTTGGTGATGGCCACTTTTAACTTGGAGAGGAAGTCTCTTAGAGGTTGGTACGGGGACTGGCTTAATTCATGCTTGGTGAGATGTCTTCCCAGGCTTGCAAGTTTGTGCCTGACAGAAGGGACAAGAGGCAAGAGTCCCAGTTGCCTCAGAGGCAGCAACCCCGACACAGGGAACTTTTGTGTAACTACAGACAATTCTGTTTTGCTGTCTGCCAGGAAAATCATAGATCGGTCTCCAATATGAATGTGATTGTGGGCTCCTAGTGACCCAGCTGAAGAAGAGAGCCCCTTCTGCCTAGTCTGAGCCCATGAGACTGATGAAAGGGTTGTCATCTGATCCAGATTGAAACTTATGAGAGTCCTTATCTTTTAGAATAAAAGGGCATTTATTTTCTTATATCCATAGACATTATAATTTTTATATCAGTCTTTGGCCAGAGAGTGTGGCCATCTATCAGACTGGACTTTCTTGAGAATATAAGGTGCTTTTTGTGCAATAAAGGCTGCATCTACCATCTGTAGATTTTCTAAGTCTTCAAGATCAAAGGGCTGTAGACCCTGTAGACCTTACAGAGACTCTCATAGAAGTCTGAAGGGCTTTCTTAGGCTTCTGGGTAACAGTAGAAACTTTTGACATACTGATGGGCTTCCCCCTAACCTTTGATTCCTTTGAGAAGTGGTCAACTGAGTTGCTTTGTTTCTTTTCGCTAGATTTTGTACTCCTAGGCAGGGTGACCTTTGGGAAAGGCCATGGAAACCCATTTGTCAGGGCTGACAGTTTGTGCAGGGACCTCTCTCATTAACCGATTTTTTTTCTCAGTCCAAATGCAGCAGCATTTCTGTGTGGAACTGAGTCACCATAGTTGACAGGCATCATGGATGGGTGTAGGGTCACACCACCTGACCAGAATAGACGTGTAAGCAAAGCCATGAAACAGAAGGCTCGGGGTGGGGGAGGGTGGGGTCTGTGGTTGACAGCAGGCAATGGCTGCTTGAGCTGGAACCGGTTCAGTGGCTGGAAGTAGATGAGTCAAGAGCAGGGAGAAACTTTAGATGTTGGCAGCAACCATGGCGGCCAACAAGGGGTGATTCGTCTACCAGGGTGGAATTGTCATGAAGAATGGATCCTTCTTTCCTGCAGACATAGGGAGTAACAGTTTCATCTGAACTCTGTAACCAACAGAAAAGCCCTTTTTAAAATTCTTGGACCTGCAGTCAGGTTCTGTGGGTTTACACTGCCCAGAACCCATTAGTGACTCCCTACATGTGTGTGGTGCACCCTTGGACAACGGCACAACAGCCAAGAAGACCAGAATGTGGATGGAGACACACAGGAAGAAGGCTATGACAATGTGGCCAAGAGCCAGAGAACAGAGTAACACGGTACAAGCCCAAGTGCCAACAACGGACTGCAAGTTCTGGAATCTGGAGGCAGGAAGAGTCCCTCCCTAGAGCTTTGGAGTGAGCATGGCTTTGCTAACTCTGATTGCAGACTTTTAGTCTCCAGAACTGGAGGAAAATACCTTTCTGTGGCTTTAAACTACCAATTTGTTTCAGAAGTCCTGAAAAACTAACACTCAGTGCAAAACTCTTTTTCATTGAACCTTCTCTAAAATGTCCTAATACAATCCCAAATTTTACAATGTAGCCTTATAATGTCCTTTTTATTGAGGCAACCTATAGCTCCCTCAGAGTTCCTACCTCTAGACAGTGGGTGTAAGAATAACTAATAAACCCAATTGTGTTTAACTACATATATATTTATGGTATCTTTAGCTTGTACACACTGACTTCTTCATATTTTTGGATAGTGCAGTATGAGAAACACCTGGCTTATAAAAGTATTTGTTACCCAACCAGTCACTGAAAGCATTCCTTTGTTCAAGATCACTATTTGGAATCGTTGGGAAGACTGGAGGTTATTGTATCTTAGGTAATGTGCCATATTACAGTTTAGTTTGGATGACAGCAGGGCTGTTATTAGCTTGCGCTAGCATCCTTTTATGCGTGTGATACAGCTTTGTGAACACAGCCATGTGGAAGCTGAATTCCACACCTATTTTTCTCTTCAGCTAGGCACAAACTGCACAACCAGGGGTGGCAGGAAGAGAGATTTATTTGTGATGGGCAGATGGAAATAAAAAGCCAACATGATCACAGGCACAGTCTCAAGGAGATAAATTTTAGTAAAGAGCCCATGTCAAAACTTAAGATCAGGAGTTTTCCTTTTTTACTTATTTTAAAGTTGCCCACCCACAAGTATTCCTTGGGAAGTATTCATTTACCCCAGGGGTTGCATGCCCAAGGATGAAGACCACTGCTGTAAATATGGAAGGCTTCCTCAGCACTGGGGTCCAGAATGCCCGGGCAGTCATACCTATTGTACAATTCATCATGTCCACTGGACTTGTCTTTTCTTGGCTATAGTATTATTAGTTTCCAAGGACTGCTTCCTATCTCTAGCAAATTCCTCTTTTTTCCCTCAGTATCTTATTTTATGATGAGAATGCAATTTCCTCACAAATCTCTGAGTTCATTTGAATTTTTACAAGTTCTCCTGTTTCCTAAATGACCTCTATTTTCACCGAGGTTACCTATTTGGTTTGTTCTTCTCATTCTTCCGTTTTCTGGATATTGACTTCTCCCTAGTATCTGTGGCTCTTCACTTCTTGGCTCACACATATGTGTAGAGGTCTCAGCTGATGAGTACCGAGGTTGTGTTTCATCCAGATGTCCCTCCCTGAGTGAAAGAGCAATTGTGAGCTCTGCAGTGTAGTGCAGAGTGTGGAGAGCAGCCTTCCACACAGTGTGTGTGGACATGGGACAACCAGGAAGCCCTACTACATGTCAAGGAAGGATTTCCCTCTCAACTTGCATGTTTCCATGGCTTTCCCTCCTGCATAGAGCTCTCGTACGATTTTGGAATCTCGGTGACTGACATGGCGGTCTAGAGTCCTCTTTCTTTCCTGGCATCCACCTTCCTTCTCCTCCAATCTTACTGCCTTCTCCCACTGTCTTCTGTATCTCCCCAAAGTACTCTTCCCCTTTCTCCACAATAGGGTCCTTGCTTTTCAACCTAGTAGGACAAAGTCAGTGCTGAAATCTCAAGCATCTTGTTTACTCTGCTTGGTAGTGAGAAGACAGGGAGGAAAGGTACTCACAGACAGCCTTTCCAAGTGTCGAGCTCTGCTTTATTCCCAAGGGTTACCCAAGAACCCAGGACTGCTTTCCTTGCATGTATTGATGTTGGGTTCGGTGTTCCTTCAGGCAATTCTGCCTTCTCTCTACCTTGGGGCTGCAATTTTCCCTCCCCACCTTGTTTCCGTGTGCTTCCCATCTTCCAGCATCATTTTCAAAACTCCACCTGTTGCTGGTTTCCTTCTCCCTTTTTGTTTTATCAAATGGATAAAGTGTAAGTGCAGACATAGGGATGGAGACACACAACTGTACACATAGCTCTCTGGTTTTCCGTAATTTGTGAGAACTGGAGAAAGGAATAGTAGTAGTATATGCTCAATTGATCTCCTTGAGAAAAAAACAGTTTTTTAAAAGAGCCATACATAGTATAATGCCATAGTTACATAAATGCCCATCCAAAAGCTCAACTCTCCAAAGCACCATATGTATCACGTGGCCATACGTTCATGCTCCTTTCTCTACCTTAGGATTCTGCAGTAGAACAATTAAGAATGACTATCTTAACATGTACATAAATGCCTTCGGTTCAGAAGTTCTGTATGCCATCTACCATGCAGAGCACCTTCTAAAGACAATGAAACTTTCGGTGAAATTCTTTAGGCTTTTTAAAAACTCCTTAAGTTTGTCTTTTGCGTGTTAGAATCTTGTCAAGTGTTTGCAGAGGTCAGTAAAAGTTATGAAAAGAAAGAAAATTGGTTAGTGTATCACTTTAAGGATAAAGTTAGATTCACATCATCTAAACAAAAAATATTTCCTTTGTAAAAGGTGCTTATTTCCAATATGTATTCACAGTAATCACATTAATAATAATAGTCATGTAACATTATTGCTTGTTTGCATATAGTACTGCTTTTCTCTTTAGTAGTTCAGCTCCAGATTTAACTTTTGAAGAAATCAGAATGTGCAATGGCTTCATTTTGATTTCAGATGATGGGGCGCTTCTTCAGTGGCTTGGCGCAGTCGGGGGCCTGGTGCTGCTTCGATGAATTCAATCGAATTGACATTGAAGTCTTGTCAGTCATCGCACAGCAGCTCATCACCATTAGGAACGCCAAAGCTGCAAAGGTAGGGCGTCGGCAGCCCTCCAGGCAGCTTTCCTCAAGTGTGTACGTAAACCATGGCAGACTTCAGGAAGATGACGCTAACCTCGACGTGTCTAGTGCATGTTTCCAGGATCATTTCTCAGTGCTACAGCAATAGGACTTAAGTGGGTAAATCAATTCCTCATCAAAGCAACACAGAGAAACAATGTGCTGGGATCTGGGGTTGCAGATACTGTGAGACTCACTCTCTGCCCTCCTGGAAGTCTGCTTTTCTTCTTGCCTCCAACACACACACACACACACACACACACACACACACACACACCCCTCTTCAATGTTCCGCTTCCATTTCCTTCTCACTTCATTACTTCTCTGCTGTTTCTCTAATGCTGCCTCTTCTGACCTCCATCACCTTCCTTATGGCCCCCAGGCTCAGCCCAGGGCTGGCGGGAAAATAGAGGAGTCTCTGGAAACTCAAAAGCACCTTACCTCTCCAGAACCCCTTGAAGGGAAAATCCAAGGTGTGTAGGGTCACCTGAAGATAATGAAGTGGTCCTGTTATTCAACATTTGTTTTATGAGTTTGTTGCTGGAGAACGGTTTGTATTGAGATGCTGATGGCAGTGAAGGATGCCATCTGTGCCATCTACTCTGTGCTGAACTTCTGAGACTTGGTCATCAAAGGACAGCACTGAAGTTCAGCCTACATAAGTAAGAGCAGCCTCAGCCCCAAGCGCCTCAAAGGTCCTTCACTCACCCTTTGGCCAGTTCACTCTGGCTCATTAGATGCCCTCAGGTCTCAGCCAGAGGACAAGGACTAATCTCACTGAAAGGCACCCTGATGAAGAGTTTTAAAGCATTTCAACTGCCTCTTCTGCAAAGAAACAAATCATAGAACAAATAAAAAGCAGGAATTGGACTTTAGCAAGCTTCTAAATGGTGCTTTCTTTACAATTATTTTATGTTTACATCAAACCTCTGTGAAGTCTGTGGCACTTTCATGAGATTATAGGTAAAAGGGATCCAAAGCAGTTCAATATTTCAGTAGATGCCGTAGAACCAAGATACTCACCTAAAGCCACGGGACCCTAAAATCTACCTCCTCCAGCCACATCGCACCTGCTTCCCCTGTATTCTGGGAAGGTCTGCATTAAACACGAGGACCTGCAGATGTAACCGGTAAATCACTGTCATCTTGTTGAGCGATTATCTGGAGCAAAGTAGAGAGCCAAGGGGCAGGAAGGAAAGAGAACAGAGGCAGGACTGAAGCTTTGCCAGCTGGAGGCAGCCTGTGGGGTCAAAGGAAAGTGGGAGGACTGTGGGTTAATTGACCTTGTCCTCAAGTTGCCGGGGGCCAGAGGGACTAGGTGGAGTGGGATGTTGTCCTCCGGGATAGAGGAAGCACCAGCCTCCTCCAGGCTGTCACACAGGCCCAGCTCCACTGGTTTTCCATTATATTCTCAGGGCTATCATGCCTCCTTTATTTCATGGCCCAAGTGGAAACCTTAAATTTAGCCCTGATGTGTCCTAATGCTATCAACCGGAATCTAAGCCATCCCCAAATTACATCTGCTGGGGTCCCCTCACCCCAGTTTAACATCTTTCACATTCTGGATTGCACTGTCTCCCCAGTGACCATTCCTAACTGGTCTCCCTGTCCAGACTTTGTCCAACTTCTCCACCGCCATCTCTGATCCTATCACTTCTCTTTAAAGTCTCCGTTTCCCCACCAAGCATGGAACAAAAGCTAAATTCCTTAGCTTAGTGTGCCAGGCTCTTGGGGCTCAGCCCCATGACCCCAACGTAAACTTCACCTCTAGAACTGAATTACCCTTTACACAGAAAGTTGCTGCCACTCCCTGAGCATGCAGTGCTCTTTCTTACACCTGCTTCTTTTGCCTGGGAAGGCTGCCCCTGCTCATCTAGCTGAAAAGTCCCTCTCCATTCTTCAGGTCTCAAACACACAGACTGCACACACATCCGCTGTAGAGTCTGTTGGACGGAAAGGTCACCATTTACAGACTTACAGACCCAATTCACTTACCAAGCCTGAGAGCCTCTCCAGGAGTGAGACTCCTTCAGTTCTGCACCTCTAGGGCTAACCTAGGGTCTCACTTGCAACAGGTGCTCAACAAGCATTTGCTGTGGAATAAAGGGAAGGGATGGCACCAAGTGTGATGAGAATGTGGCCTCACCCACCTAAAGACTAAAAATGCATTGGAATTTCTTGAGGAGTATCAGGAAGTGGAAAGGGAGGAGGCTTCATGGCTATTAGTCAAAGTTGAATTGAGTCCCAGCAAAAGATATTGAGACCCAGGATATTCAGGACTTTCCAGGAAAGGAGACAAAGGGAGCGAGGCGGGGACAGGAAGGCCGAGAGCAGTAAATACAGAGCACAGAAGGGATCAGAAGTATCCAGAACAGAACCAGAGAGAAATGTTACTGATTATTCCGCAGCAGGACTTGGCAGTCTTTGTCTGAATGCTCCTTCTCCTTTACAAAAGTCTTGTATTCAAGCAGTAATTATGTTAAAGAATTTACAAACATCCAGCGGTGTATTAATTTGTACTTTCTCTTTAAACAGCTCTCTAGATTCATGTTTGAGGGGCGGGAGATAAAATTAGTCATGACTTGTGCAGCGTTTATCACAATGAATCCTGGATACGCAGGCAGAACCGAGCTGCCGGATAATTTGAAGGCTCTGTTCAGACCATTTGCGATGATGGTTCCTAATTATGCTTTGATTGCAGAGGTAAGCTGCACATCACGGAAAAGCGCATTCTGAAGCACAGTTGCTTTTATTTACCATTCTACTCAAAGTAGAAATTTTCCTGTAAGATTGCAGCCTAGTAAAAAACATATTATTGGGCTTTTTATTTAAGTTTTTAATTTTTATTGGTATGTATCTGCTGTACACAATGATTTCATTCATCATAGGGAATAGGTACATGCACATAAGACCTCTTAATTCTTTTTTTGTTCCTTTCCTCCTTTCTCTTGTCTCTCCCTCTATATCTTGACCTTTTCCCCTTTCAAAAAAAAAAAAAAAACTGTCTCCTTGTTTCTATTACTTCTTTTATTTTGCCCTTTATTTATAATTTGGGAGTCTCACATAAGAGAAACCATGCAATAGTTCACATCTGATTTATTTCACTTATCATTATGATCCCAAAGTGCATCCATTTTCCTAGAAGTGCCTCAAGTTTATCCCTCTTTTTGTTACAGGAGTGCTCCACTGTGTTAGATACCACATTTTCTTTATCCATTCATCTGTTGATGGACATATAGGCTGCTTCCAAGGTTTAGCTATTATGAATTATGCTGCTGAAAACAGGAGTATGTGTGTATCACTGTAGAGTGGTGTCTTCAACTCTTTCTGGAAGAGGAATAACTGAGTCAAAGGCATTTCTGTTTTTGTTTCATGAGCAGTCTCCACACTGATTTCCGTAGTGCTCATGCTGGGTTACATTCCCAACAACAGTGGAGTAGGCTCCTTTGTCCCACAGCCTTGCCAGCATTTGTTATTAGTTGACTTCTTGAGAATAGTCATTCTTTCTAAACTAGATAAAATCTCAGTTTTAGTCATTGGTATTTCCAGAACTGTTGAACATTTTTTCGTGTATTTATTGGCCATCTGTGCTTCTTCTTCTGACAACCGTCTATATATTTCTATTACTCAGATTTTATTGGGGCTTTTATTTGAGGGAATGTAATACTGTATTTTTTTCAGTTCTTTACAATATTATAGATACCTCTGTCTGAGGTTTAATTGGCAATTTTTTCATACTCTGTAGATTGTCTCTTCATTCTGTTCAGTGGTTCCTTTGTAGGGCATTAGATTTTAATTTGATTTAATCCCATTCGTGGATCCATGATTTTCTTTCTTGTGCCACTAGGGTTCTGCTCAGAAAGTCCTTGCCTAAGCCTAAGAACTTCAAGACTTCTTTTTTTATTAATACGTGTTTACATTACATGAAGTTTACTTTCGTCTTGAGGAGTAAGTGCATGTACAGAACACATCTTGTTCCTTTTTATTAAAATCCCTTTCCCGTTCCCACCCACCTCCCTCTGTCTATTTCTAAATCTGTTTCTCCTTTTGTTGTTGTTGTTGTTGTTAGCTCATGTTTACACATACAATGATTGGATTTATTGTGGGTATTGTGTGGTCCGTTGTTTCTCCCCTGCCCTCCCTTTCTTTCCTCTCCCTGTCTCCTGAACTCCTTCCTATATTCTCTTGTTTCTTTCTATCCGCCCTGTATTTTGCTCTTTGTTTGGACATTGCTTTACCCAAACAAGTGATAATGTATATCTGCGTGTGTGACTGACATTTCACTCAGCCTTGTGCTTTGCAGGTTCATCCATGAAGTATAGATACAGTTGCTACCATACAGCCTGTTTCATTCTGCATGCTTGATTTCATTTTTTACTGTTATTATCGTAATGCCCAGAACAGTATCTAGAAAATAGTACACCCCTAGAATTGGAATGAATCAGTGAGTTTAACTGATCAGTCTATTGGGGTTTATGAGCTCACCTCTAGGAATTAAAATGTCAAGATTAGTTCTAAAACTACTGTGCTTTCTTACCTTTCTCATAACTTTGTATTAGAATCAAAGAGTGTTGTTTAAAACTGTATTGATTGGGGCTGGGGATTTAGCTCAGCGGCATAAGCGCCTGCCTTGCAAGCAGGCAGTTGTGAGTTTGATCCCAGGTACCGATAAAAAGGAAAAAGACAAAACAAAAAAAAACTGTATTGATAACTATGATGGAGGGAGAGGATTGGTTTATGCATCTGTAAAGCTTAGTAAGAAACCAGTGATCATTAATGTATTATTTATGATTGTGCTTATTCTTTCTGTCAAAAACATCTATCAAGACATCTGTCTATTTGAACTAGTTTTTGATCCTTTATACTAAGAATCAGTGTCCATAAATTTTACATGTATTTTCCAAGCAAGTATCTACTGATGTTTAATTTATATACAATGCAGTACAACAACTTTTAAGGGCACAGCTCAGTGAGCTATTTTGACACATGTCTTCATCTGCCTGACCACCAAGGACTCCCAGGGACTTGAAGGGAGGGAGCAGGTGATGTGCACTGATACTGTCCACTGTGGTGGTATTCTTGTCAGACTGGAGAAGCTCAGTGCTTACTTTTGTGCCCAGGAATTGCAACACCATCCAACCTCCACGTGAACATTTTAAAATTGGATTCTGCCCCTTGAACCAAATGTCACCAAGTTGACGCCTTCATCTATAGAGAGAAAGTAGAATCAGTGCACAGGTGTTTGTGTACAGTATCCTACCTGCTGCCTTCCTGTAGCAAAGAAAAGTCTTCTGTCTTCAACCTTTGTATTCATTTGTTAAATGAGATAACAACATGGAAAATACATACATCCTAGAGTAGGCTTGTATACAGTAGTATCATGTTAATATGTTGTCATCCATGCAATATAAAAACATCTTATTGTATTTTCTATTCTAGGTAATCCTCTATTCTGAAGGATTTGAATCCAGTAAAGTATTAGCGAGAAAAATGACTCAGATGTATAAGCTCTGCAGTGAGCAGCTCTCTCAGCAGGATCACTATGACTTTGGCATGAGAGCTGTGAAGTCTGTGCTGGTGATGGCTGGGTAAGAAACGAGGGTCGTCAGGAGTGAGATTCCAAGCCACATACTCAGATGCATTAAGTGGGTAACTCACAGAAGGCTATTGGAGCAACACTTGATCCATCGTAGGTGACTAACAAGTGCCATCTGTTGCTGAAGTTAGCATTCCTTCCTCTGATGCTCCTTGACTCAGCGACAGATCTTCACTGTGAGTCCCAACATGGTTCCCCTCGGACTGAACCTGAATCCAACTAGTGTTCCGCTAACTTTCATTTCCCCTGAGCTCCTCACACGCTGGGTTTTGGTATACAGACGCCTGTGTACTACCGTCAGACAAGAGGACTAGATTTTAAAAGCACACAGTCTGATGTGCATCTACAATAAGACAAGTCATACATTTTGCTTTTAAAAGCATTGAGAATTACAAGAGACTTCATCATTCCATTTTCAATTTAGGCTTAAATCGCAGGCTCCATCTCTGTCTACAAAGCCCTTGAAGACTGAGCTGTTCTCTGGCTTCTGGCAAAGTAAGAATCTTTCTTCTTGAGGGCCCCAGCTTATCTCTTTAGAGCCACCTGAAACGACTGTGTCTGGAATCTGATTTGTCCAGAGTCTCCAAGGACATCAGTTCTCCTTCTAATCCTTCCTCTCAGGCTGACCCACCGACTCAGGCCTGGCACAGCCAGGGCCCTGGTGCCTGGCTCTTCTTCTTTGCACACATCCCTCTGTACTATGTACCTGTGCTTTCCTTTAAGCTCTCAGATTCAGCACATCTCCCCTCTACAGCATGGCCATCACAGACTAGGAATTAAGAGTTTCACATACCTTTGCACTCAGAGAACACGGCTCCAGCCCAGTGGGTAAACCTGGCAAGTGGTCACTTTTCTACTCAGTGTGATGAGGGCAGCAAAAGGACTGCACCCAAGGCCCACTGGAGAAGTAGATGGATAGCACAGGGGCTTTTAGAGAAGGGAGTACTGGGATGGGTTTTGAAGGGTACGTAAGAGTGAGCAAAAGAACAAGATAGAATGTTGTAGACAGAGGAAACAGCAAGTGACAGGGATGTGTCACCATAAAGCATTCAGAAGACTGTAAACTCAGGATGAATAAAGTCTGGGATGAGGGAGCAATGTGTCTGAGGAGGTGGCCTTGTCATTCTCCTCAAGATTGTTGCCAGGGTGGGTGTCTAAGTTGCTTTTTACTCGTTGCTGAGACAAAATACCCAGTGCCCAAAGTTGGGAAAGGAAAAGTTTATTTCTTACAGTTTTGGGAGGTTTCAGTCCACACTGAGTTGGCTCCAAGGCAGGTGGGCATGGCAGGGCCGCAGTTCATGACGGCTGCAAACAGCAAGCAGGAACCAGCAAGAGGGAGAGACACACCTTCTTCCTGCCATTACATTGTATGCTGGCTCCACCCCTATGTGGGTGTAGCACTCACACCATCAATTCAAGGGCGAGATAATGAAACAATCACAAATGCACAATGCAAATACATGCGGCCTGGGGGTCACCGACATAAACCACAAGAGCAGGTCTCATCCCTGTGTTGTGATAGAGATGGATGCTGAGTACTCAAAGGAAAATGATCCTCTCCCTCCAACTGGAATCTTGGGATGAGGGGAAGGGGAATCCACAGTTTCCTACAAGTAGACTCCCCAACCTGCAGTTTTGGAAATCACATTCAACCTTACATTCTTGTGACATCTTCAATATTCCCTTGAATTTAGATCTTTAAAAAGAGAAAACCCAGACCTCAATGAAGACGTGGTGTTGATAAGAGCTTTACGAGACTCCAACTTGCCAAAATTTCTAAACGATGATGCTATTCTCTTCAGGTAGGGTTCTGCATGTCAGAGAATAAAGCGTGGATGTCACCTAGACAGAAGGGGTAGTCTCCAACTATTTCCTTCTCTACAAACTAATGCCATTTAATTTAAGAAATATTAGTTGGAACTAAAGACACCAGATGTTCAGTGTTATTCTATTACTTTTTATTTCAAAATATGGATCATAATCAGGTGGTGTGCTATATACATTAACATTTGGTTACAACTTCCTATTCTAAGAGAAATTTCTAGCTTGAAAAACAGTAGATCTGGGCCTTAGAAATGTGATAGCCTTTATCCATTTCTTACTCAATGTTTAAATTTTTTTCCAAATTACATGTATGCATAGTTTTAAAAAGAACATAATTTCATTAATGAGTCCTGTGAAAACCAATTCCTTGCCCTTAAGCAGCTCCCACTCCCCCAAGATGATCAACGTTCAACTCTTATTTATTTTGCAGTCTTCCTTCATACATCTTAGTATTTATGCTTATGCCATTTCTTGATTTTCAGTATTAGGCATTAAATTAGTAAAGGAAAATAAGGATATGCTTGGAGCTTTTTCCCTTCTTCCCATCTTCTCGGTATAGTTATATGGTAATACAGTTTAAGTTAAGTAGCCAGGGTGTCCAGAACTTATTGCAGCTTAATTTATAAATATAGTGGGTAATTTGTAAATATTACCCAATGAACTATTTTTTTTATTAATTTATCTTTTTAATATTTTTCCTTGGAGTTGTTTGTTGGCTTGCTTTTTATTTTTAATTATATATATGTACATATATTTGGACCTGTGATGTTTCTAGAAAAAAGATTCTTGAAAGCAAGTTTCCTGGGTCAGAGCATTCACCCATTTTTCATTTAAACAGATTCTATCAAATTGCTCTCCAAAGAGGTTTTTCCCACTTCCATTTATAAAACGACTTCATAAAAATTCCAATTTCCCCTTAAATATCTTTAAATAGTGTCCAAATACAGTAGCCTATTTTATTATACATGTTTATTATTAGTGCATTATGCATCATTTCCTATGTTCTTCACCATTTCTATTTATTATTCTTAGAGCATTTTTCTGTCGTGCTTTTCATTTATTTCTTACACGACTTAATAAACTATAAGTATTATAAATATTGGAAATATTTCTCTGAGCCTCTCTTTTTTTTAAGTTTATACATAAAGCCTTTTATCTCAAGGAGATTTGTTTTTGTCTGGTGTTTTCACTGGGCCAACATGTTTTTACAATTGTAGATTTCACATCTTTTTTATAAAGATCTCTTTATCACAGTGTTGCAAAATTCATCTCTTCTACTTTTATCTAGTACTGTATTTTCTATAAGGTATTTACTGAATCTCCAATGTTTTTGTGTTTATATTATAAAGTAGTGAATTATTTTCTTTTCCCCATAAAACATCTATAAACTGTTTTGCATAGAACCAGTGAATTTTATCCTTCCTCCCTTTTTTATTGGCTACAGATTTTCCATTTCATCTTCATCTTATTTTTCTAATTATCCATGTAGAGTTATAAGCATATATAAATGCTTTTTGGAAAAGTTGAGATACAGATATAATTTTAAATAAATTAATAAATTCAATACTTTCTATATATTTGCTACTACACTATATACCATGGACAATGTAGAAGTGTAAGAGATATTGCTTATCTTCAAGAAGCTCCTACTATACTTAAAAACACTTGTCTTTCATACAGGAAAAAAAATCATACAAAATAATAGAATCATACAAAATATAGGTACAGCAAATGGCACATGCAAATAGTACAAAATTCTGGTACATGCAAAATCATGTTGTGCATATCCAGGATGATCAATTAGCTGTAATAAATATGGGGAAATGTCAATGAAAAATAGTTCCTAATTGATTTTAATTTTGTTTTATCAGTGGAATCATATCTGACCTTTTTCCTGGAGTCCAAATTCCAGAACATGACTACGGTATTTTACAGTCAACAATTGTGGACGTCATGAATGGACAAAACCTTCAGCCTGAGATATGCATGGTTAAAAAAGTGATCCAGTTCTATGAAACTATGCTCGTGAGGCACGGTGTTATGTTAGTAGGGCCGACAGGAGGGGGCAAGACCACAGTTTATCGAATACTAGCAGAGACGTTAGGGAATTTACAAAAACTGAATCTAGGCAATCCCTTTTATCAAGCAGTTAAAACCTATGTTCTTAATCCTAAATCAATAACAATGGGTGAACTATATGGGGAAGTTAATAATATCACGTTGGAATGGAAAGATGGTTTGATGGCACTAAGTGTTCGAGCAGCTGTGAATGATACCTCAGAAGACCATAAATGGATCATCAGCGATGGGCCAGTGGATGCTCTTTGGATTGAGAACATGAATACAGTATTGGATGACAACAAGATGCTTTGCCTTGCTAACAGTGAGAGGATTAAACTTACGCCTCAAATCCACATGCTGTTTGAGGTAAATATTTAACTTACTGGGGAGTGAAATTAGTCATTAATTGGCTCACTATCATTAAATTTTTCCTCTCACACTATCATTTACCATCTGTGATATGCTCTGTTTACTTAATAAGTTTTTATTAAGTTGTCCCTGTGAAATAGACTGTCACTCCTGACAAAGTGTCTGAAGTCTTTCTCTCTATAATGAGGAAATAAAATCCAGTTTCTCAGCACTTGCTATAGATAGATAGATAGATAGATAGATAGATAGAATTTCAAATTCTAAGTTTAAGAATTATGTTTTTATATTAATAAACTGGGGGCTGGGAATTTAGTTCAGCTGCATAAGCACCTGCCTTGCAAGCAGGCGGTCGTGAGTTCGATCCCTGGTACCGATAAAAAAATAAAAATATATAAATAAATAAATTGTTCCACCATGGTGTGAATGTTTGATTAAGTATTGGATCAAGGATATGAACCAAATAAACCTGCAAACCGTTATGGAAGACACCACCCAAGTGCTATTTGTTTATGGAATACAGATTGAATGCCTACTGTGCTAGGTATCAGACTGGGTTTTACATATAAGAATGAGTAAAGAAGAGAAAACTCAGAAGAAGAAAAGTAAATGCCTATTTCCACCCACAGAATTTGACTATATCCTCTCTCCCCCTGCTTTTATTTCCTCGCCCTTTGCCTCCTTTAACATTTCTTCTCCATTTCTGATTATTCTCACTCTTCTGTCTCCCACATAGTCTTTCCATGTCAAGCTTTACAAGTGTGAATTGGCCGGGTGTGGTGGCGCACTCCTAATCCCAGCACTCAGGAGGCTGAGGCAGGAGGATGGATCGTGGGAAGTGCAAGACCAGCCTGGGCTACAAAGTGAGCCCAAGGCCAGCCTGAACTGCATAGTGAGACCCTGTCTCAAAAAGATCCAAAAAAAAGTGTAAATTATTAACAGTGAATCTGGAGGAATAAGGAAGCATCATATTACATTTTCCGGTTCCACTTTTTCAACTTCAGGTGCAAGATCTACGAGTTGCCTCCCCTGCAACAGTCAGCCGGTGTGGAATGGTGTTTGTGGATCCTGAAGAACTGAAATGGATGCCCTGCGTTAAGACGTGGATGAAGGATATTTCTAAAAGAGTAAGCACAGCCAGACAGTCCGGTCACTCCATCTGCCAGGGCGCCCACTACCCTAGAATAAGGGAATAGCAGTAGGTTAAGGTAGCACCCGGCCGCTCCCTTGAGGGAATTCCTTTATTTCAGCTTGTCTCTCTTCCCAGAAATTCCTAGTTCTCCAGGAATGTTTGTAAACTCCCTGAGGCCGGCCTGATAGCCCCTACTCATTCTGTTCCTAGCTGTTTCTCAGATTCACTCCCAACAAGTGTAAATACTAGCCACTTTCTCAAATTGCTAAAAACACAGCTAACATAAGCCAGGGCAGTGAAAAAAGACTTTCCTCCTTTTCACTGCTCTTCCTCAGGGAAGTTTATCAATGAAGAAATGTACATAACACGCGTTGACAGTTTGAGGATACAGTTATAAAATGAGCTTCTCCGTACCCATGACTAAAGCAAGAAGTAAAACACTCTCAACTACCCAGAATCTCCTGGGTTTGGCTTTTTCTAATCATAAAAATTTTCCTTAAAATTTATTCTATTTAAAATTTTTCATATTTTGTTTATATCCTTTAATTTAAAGGTTACTGGATATATTGAAATATATAGATTTTAACCAACTGCTTTCTAAATTTAATGTTTCATCGAATCTTGCTAAATAAAACGTTATTTGCTTATTTCAGTTTCAGCTGAATGAGGAAACCCAAGGATATATACTGAACCTTTTCCAACGCTATGTTGATGAAGGCTTAAATTTTATTAATAAAAAGTGCAACCAAGCAATCTCCCAAGTGGACATCAGCAAAGTGACCACACTGTGCTACTTACTGGAATCTTTGCTTTTTGGCAAAGATGGAGTGAACTTATCAATGGTATTGGAAGGCTTTTCTTACTGCTATGAACCTGAGAAAATGGGATTATTGTGTAGATTCTTTGTACCTATCTAATCATGAAATCTAATCATTTGGCTTTGAAGTTAATTTTTCAGAGAGCTAATGTCTATGATTGGATTTACAGAATCTCAAGGTCAGAAGGAATATTAGAGAGCCTCTAGTTTATGTCTGTACTCAATTTTTAATTCCCTGGTAATCTACAACATCCAGGATATTCTCAGTGTTTATAAATGGCTTTGTGCAAACATTAGAAAGGTTTAGTAGAGCCTTGCTAAGGCAACCTTGATCTATCTTCTCTTTGGGTTTCACCATTTTCTCACCAGTGTTCAGTTATGTAGATGATGAAACCACTCTGTGAACCACTGAATGAAATGTACACTGTTCCTGTTTTTAAAATCATGAATTTAAATGAAGAAAATCATTGGACTTTCCAATTTGAGATTCTTTGTATATTTATATATAGAATAATAAAAGTATTTCTCTTTACTTTTCCAGGAGAAAACCAAACTGAACACTGTGATATGTCAGACTTTTGTATTCTGTTATTTATGGTCCGTGGGTGGAAACTTAACTGAAAGCTATTGGGATTCTTTTGATACATTTATTAGAACACAATTTGATGATAATCCTGATGCCAGGGTAAGGATAAAATTAACTTAGCATTGTAATTTTGAGTCATCAAAATTAAATTTTAAAATCAAACTTTAAAAACCTTAATTCCATTATAAAAATAAATTTTTCACTGAGAGTTTTTTTATGTGAGTCACTTTCTTATCCATAGATACCATTTATTTTATTGTTTAAAAATTTAGGGATCTTTTCCCAGCATACAAAGAAAATAAGCTGTGGAGTTAATTAAAAAGAAACTCTTTGCTATTAGTGAATACTGAATTCTAATTAGTAAACTGATCTTGTGTTATGTGATTCCTTAATACTTCTAAAAGTTTTTCAATACATACTAAGGTCAAAATGAGTGAATATATTGAGATTTCTCACTGTTACAGAAAAGATTTACAAACATGAAAGGAAAATATTAGAATGCACTTGTGTTATTGGATTGAAAATGGAAACATCAGTATTCATGGGTTTCAAAATATTACCTATGTATACATAGAATTGTACGAACTTGCTGTGTCTACTGTTGTCCTTCAGTATCCATGAGGGGTGGAGGTTCCAGGACTCTTCAATGGATGCCAGAATCAACAGATAATTATGTCCCTTCAATAAAATCCTTTAGTGTTTGCATATAACCTACACAGCCTTCCACTGTACTGCAAATCATCTCTAGATTACTTAATAACACCTAGAACAATGAAATACTGTGTAAAAAATTATTAGACTGTATCTGTTAGGGAATAATAACAAGAAAAAATCTGTATGTTCAGTAGAGATGCGGGTTCTCTTGATCTGTGATGGACTGTGTCTGTAGAAACAGAACTCCTGGATACAGAAAACCAACTTCTTTTGTATATCACACACACACACACACACACACACACACACACACACACACCATGATCCCTGACTTGCGATGAGAACATTTTGATTGTGTGGTGGTGCAAAAGTGTATACACCTAACCACTCTATTTTTCACTTATAGTACAATAGTCAATAAATTATATGAAACATTTAGCACTTAATATAAAATAAGCCTTATGTTAAATTATTTTGCCCAACAATTTGTGAGGATAGTTAAGATAGGATAAACTAAGCTATGATATTCATTAATATTAAAAGCATTTCAACTTATAACATCTTTAGAAGATTAGCATAGGATTAGCAGGATGGAAATAACCCTGTCAAGGAGCATATATATTCATACATACATTAATTTCTTAGTTCCATGTGTTGAGAGGAACTAGAAACAACAGCTCAGCAGCTGTACATACCTAGCATGGTAATGTCTAAATACTATTCTGCACTAAAGGAAACAGTTAAATAATTGTTTCCAAGATAGGGGCAGGGAAATTACCAACTGTGCCTGTAACACTTCATGCCAGCTAGTAATGATGTGCCTGAGGAATGATGGGAAATGTCCAAAGAACATGGAACCCAGTATTAAAGAACCCTAACTAATCAAAACTGGGTAGATTTAAACATCAAAATGTATACTGGCAATGTGAGATTATGACCCTTTGAAGGAAGTCAAAATCTATGAGCTTATACTGATGATAAAAATATACATAACAAAAAATAAGTAGGGGAGAAGGGAAAGCTCTTCCTTCCAAGTAACGCCAACCAGTCTATGATGAATGAGTTACTTAGTCAGCACTGAGTTAGAGACCCATATCAGAGCATAAGGCAAGAAAAAGAAATAAAACACGTATGCTTTGGAAAGAAAGAAGTAAAACCATCACTGTTCGCAGGAAACAATGCTAAATATGTAGAAAATCCTAAACAATATGTAAGTAAAGTATTAGAATTAATGCTGTCAAAACCATTGAATATAAGTTCCACAAAAATTAATTTTCAAGTGATACACTTGACAATGGCAACAATATCAAATACTGAGGAAGAAATTTAATAAAAGATATAAAAGACGTGTACAAATCACCAAATTTCACCAAAAGAAACTTTAAAAGGTTAAACAAAAGGAGAGATATTGTATGTTTGTGAACTAGACTGTTCACTGTTATTATTGAGGTCTGTTCTTCCCAGCGTATTCTGAATATTTAAAGCAATTCCGATTTCAAAACTCCAGCAGATTTTTATGACAATCTCATCCTAGAATTTACACGAAAATATAAAATTCTTACAATAATCAATCTTCAAAAAAGAAAACAAACCTGGAGAATTTAAACTACATAAATTTAAAGCAACAATAGTGAGATGCAGCACTGACAGAAGGATAGATAAAAAGAACAAATAAATTACATCTTAAAATTCTGACAAAAATGAATTTTTACAATAAAGTTCATGAAATAACATATTTCTTGATCATACCTCATGTGTGTACGGCCCTGTGACAGTACTGCTTATCGACTACTGAAAGTGACATTTCTTGGCCTGCTGCAGCTCCCCACTTCCGGTGACCTGTGGAGCATTCACATGGACTTTGACACCAAGCGGCTGGACCCTTGGGAGCGAATCATCCCTGCCTTCAAGTACAGCCGGGACGTCCCATTTTTTGAAATGCTCGTTCCCACCACGGACACAGTGCGCTTTGGGTATCTGATGGAGAAACTGCTGGCGGTCAAGCACTCGGTGTTGTTTACCGGGATAACTGGAGTAGGCAAGGTAGGAATCTGTGTGCAACAGGAGGCTCTGTCCAAAATTTAGAGCAGAGTGGCCTTAGAATTCTTGGCACCAGATATAACATTATTTCTCAGGCATGTAGCCCTGCTGAATATATACCGGCCCTAGAAATTACTCCAGAGTTTGCCAATTTCTGAATAAATCCTGGAGTTGCTTTTATATAAACCATAGGAACTTAGAGACCGGTGTTCATGTTTCGGACTTTCATACTGCAGTCCCTGGGTCTTCTAGAACCGCCACTGCGCTGGCTGGGTGGAAACTGGCCAGAATGCTTGTGTCCTCAAAAGGCCTTTGAAGGCCAGCCTGTTCCCTCTTACGTATTTACTATTTAACATAGTAATGATGCAGTATTAATGTTTTTGGAAAAAGTAGAGTAGAGGGAGAATGTTTGGGAGGATTTCAGACAAACAGGAATTCACGGTTTCCCCTCTAAATTATTTCTAAAAGAAGTTCGGATCTTTCTGTGGCTCTCATTATCAAATTGGTTTGGATAGTAACCAGAATGAATTTTGGCATGAAGCTAAAATAAAATTTTATGATGAGGTGGAGCTGATTAGAATATTTCTTTGGTCCTGATAAGTGTAAATACCTAAGTGGGTTGTCTAGTAAACTGGAGAATACAGACATTTCAGTCTGGATTTAATCTCTCTCCTTTTATCCTATTTGTCACTTATTGTACTGGATCTTTAGTGATTTAGGATATTGAAAAACATTGGGATAAATCTGAAATCAATTAACATTTTTAATTTTAAAGTCCGTTATTGCAAAAGGATTGCTAAATAAAATTCAAGAATCAGCTGGCTATGTCCCTGTTTATCTAAACTTTTCTGCACAAACTTCATCTGCAAGAACACAAGAGATCATTGAATCAAAACTGGAAAGAAAAAGAAAAAATATTTTAGGTAAGAATTAGTTTATTCTGCACAAATTATTTACTAAGCTAATAAACTGTGTAAATAATGCATGTAATAAAATTATATATCTTCTTTGCTTAACTGATTTGGAAAGGTGTGTCTTGGCCTGATTTGTGTCACTATAATAAAGTAGCAGAGATTGCCTACTTTATGAAGAAAAGAGGTTTATTTATTTCTTAGTCACAGAGATCCATGATGCCAGCATCAGCTTCTTATGTGGACCTCATGGTAGATGGCATCGAATGGCAGGAGGAGATGCAGGGGGGAGGGAGAAAAAGAGAAGGAGAGAAAGAGAGAGAGAGAAAGTGATGGAAGAGAAAGAGAGAAAGCTAGAAACTGGCTTTAGATTTCTTGTGGCAACAAATCCAGTCCCATGAGAGCAAGAATTGATTTTCAAGAAAAAAAATACTAACCCCTGTTTCAGGCCCCAAGAGTTCTCAACACTTGGGGACAAAGTCTCAACATGAGTTTTGGTGGAGGGGAAAAAAAAAACATTTTAACCATAACAAGGGGATTATGTCAATGTATTTTTCAAGTGCTGGATATCTAGGTATCTTTCTGTTAAAAACCAAATTATTTCCTTCTATCATCGTCAACCCAGAACATCTTCAGTTTCTGCCGCTTTATGGTTTTTCCTCTCTCCATGGCTCTTCAAACCTGAGTTGATTTCCTTTAATTCAAAACCAATAAATTTCTTTATATCTGATACAATGAGTTTTCGAACTCAGTGGCAAATAGACATGGAGTTCTTTGGATCAGAACTTTCAGCCAGGCTTTGGTATCTTCCCTTACCCTCCTTTATTAATTGGATAAATAGTACAGCTTTTGGGTCATTTTCAGGTATTTTGAGGTGTTTTCTTTGTTTTGTTTTTTAGTCTATGTTCAGTTTGGATCTGGCCAATATAAAGCTTCATCCCAAACCCTAATCTAAAGCCCCCCATCCTCATCATAGCCAGGTTTGTGGCTCCCTCTAAAGGGGACATAGGATGTTATTTACTCCCCCTCACTCTCCCTGATGTGTTGGAACAGAAGAAGGAAAGGACAGGTGGCTTCACCCTAGCGGCACTTAGGTGGGCCTCAGGGGATGATCCCTACTTCTCTGGTCAGCACTGGATGCCTGCCTGTGCCCTCTGCCAGCAGGCTTTCAGGAGCAAGTTCTCATGAAGGGCTCCTAAAACAGCCGTGTGCAGGTCAGGCATCAGCCTCCCCAAAGGAAGGCTCCCTGAGGCTAGGGATTGGGGTCCCCAGTCCATCCTGCAGCGCAACATCTTCCCACTTCTCCCTGGAGTTTGTCTCAGTTACTGTACTTAGAGTCTCGCTCCCATGATTAAGTCCAACCACATGGATTTGGCTGTATGCCCATCAGTCTCGAGCGCTGGGTGCCAGAGCAAGTGGCTCCTTCTCTTTCTCTCTCTCTCTCTCTCTCTCTCTCTCTCTCTCTCTCTCTCTCTCTCTGTGTGTGTGTGTGTGTGTGTGTGTGTGTGTGTGTGTGTGTGTGTGTGCGTGTTTCTGATGAATGTGTGTGTTGGTCATCTTTAAATGTAGCCCTGTGCAGGGAATCCACTGTGTGACTGGGGCCCCTTTGAAAACCAAACCCTATTTTCCCTGTAAGGGTGGTAGATGAAGGGAAACTTGAAGCATTTTCTGATTCCCAATGTGGAAAAAAAATAGCCTTCCTCACCCATGCCCAGGGCCATATTGGGTGAGGAGAATGAGCAGGGCTAGGACTGAGAAAGCCCCAGACCTTGTTGGAGAGCTGCCATCATCCTGTATTCTGAGGGTGAAGATGATGGACCAGGTGACACGACAATATGGGCATCTTGGCCAGGCCTACATCTCCCTGCAGGATGGGCCAGGGGGACCCTTCTGAGGTCCTCCTCACTATGAGAGCAGAAGTGTGTTCACTGATTCTCTGGGTGTCACTGAATCCAATCCCATACTGACCTTTTGCTAATGTTTTATGTTGCTATAATAGAAAACTTGAGGCTGGGTAATTTATAAAGAAAAGAAGTTTCTTTAAGTCAAAGTCCTGGAAGTCCAGGAGCTTCTGTGTAGACCTCATAACAGCTTCAATTCATGGCAAAAAGTAGAAGAGCAAACAGACATATACATAAGACAAAAAGGGAGGACCAAAATCACGCAGTAGCTAACCCATTCACATGATGACAAACATTAATCCATCCTTCAAGGCAGCGCCCTCTTGGCCCCCGATGGCTCTTAAAGGCTCCACTACCTGTCAGTAGCATTACCTTGGGCAGCAAAACTCAACATGAGTTTTGGTGAGGACAAACCACATTTGAACCCTATTCAAACCATAGCCACTTTGTCTTTACATTTCTAGGTGTGCTTCGTAATTCTTAAACTGCATTCCTCTTATTTCCTCAGGAGCCCCAGGAAACAAACAAGTCGTGATTTTTGTGGATGACTTGAACATGCCCAGACTGGATCGCTATGGATCTCAGCCTCCAATTGAATTACTTCGGCAGTATCAGGATTTTGGTGGATTCTATGACAGAAACAAACTCTTTTGGAAAGACATACAGGTTACTTTAGGTTTTAAATTGCTCAGTGTGCTCAAATTTAAATGACAAGAAAACATGGTTATTAGTTTTCTAGGACTGCAATTTAAAAAGTTCCACAGACTGAGTGGCTTAATTTACTTTCTCATAATTCTGAAGGGTAGACTGACATCCACGGTCAAAATGTCAGTAGAATTAATTTCTTGGACGGCTTTTTCCTTAGCTTGTAGGTGATGATCTTCTCCCTACATGTTCCCATGGTTGCATTAGTCTGTTTTCTGTTACTAATAACACAATGCCACAGACTAGGTAAGTTATATAAAAAAAAAAAGGTTTATTTTAGTTCATAGTTCTGATCCAAGGGCAAGAGGGCAGAGTATCAGTGTAATGCAGGGCATGCATGGCAAGAGACAAGGAGTACTTGTGTGTATATCTTCGGGTCTCTCCCTTTTCTTATAAGCCCATGAGAATTTTATAGTATGATTCTATTTAATCGTAATCATTTCCCAAAAGCTCCACATGTTAACATCAGTCAGGCAAAGTGTCCACCTTGTTATTATGTCACAGTGGACATTAATTAAACATGACTTTTGGAGGAAAAACTGTATTCCAACCAGTTCCTCCCTGTCCCCCAAAACTCTTGCCTTTTTCACAAGCAACATGCTACCCGTCATGTCATCAAAATAGTCCCAAGTCTTACCTCAAGCCAGCATCAATCAAAAAGTCCAGAGTTTCATCAGGGACTCGGGGCAAACTCCTGGCTGTGAACCGCTAAAAAGAAAACAGATTTGCACTTCCAGTATACAATGGTGAGACAAGTGCGGGGTGAACATTCCTATTCCAAAAAGAAAGAATGGCCAAGCAGGAAGACATGATTCGCCCACAGCAAGTCTAAAATTTAGTGGTTAGGAGGCAGATCAAAAGTGCTTCTAGAGAATGGAATCAGAGGAAAAAGAGAATACACCTTGTTTCTGTTCTGGAAAGGGCACTAGTTAGGTGAGTAGTTTTGCTCACAAGAAAAGCAGACTGTACCCAGCACTGTTCTAAGTACCTCCCACTTACTAACTGCTTTAACCTCCTGGCATCCCTGTAAAATGAATAGCACAGTTAGCCCCAGAGGAGACAGAGACAGCCCAGATTCTATAGCTGCTCTCTAACACACAGGACATGCAGCATGAATAGTTCTTCAGTCACATTTCTTTTCATTTCCATAGCCAGTCCTCTTTCTGCTGGAAGGCTGAAACTAATGCATGCCTCTGACACAGTTGCTGGGCAGGTTGCACTGACAGGGTTAACTCAGTAATGGAAAACATTTTAGAGACCAAGTGCCCAAACTGTGACCCCAAACCCACTTATTTGTCGAAGTGCCTACACTGCAACTAAACCTGAATAACTAAAGTTTTAGTTTAGAAAAAAACAACTCATACACTAACCTCTTTTGTCTTCAAAGAAAAGCACAGTAACAGAGCTTTCAGCAGTACCTTTTTATTGAAAGGTAAAAGTTTGAATTTGACATGCTTTTGCACAGTCATCAGGATCTTCGCTGTTGTGTGCTTGCTCATAATTTGTCAAACCTTGGCTCGCACTTTGTTAGTTTGAGAGGAATACATGCAGCATTCAGATCACCTTTTAGTCTATCTGTTTTATCAAAATTGGTATAATTCAAAGCTGAAAACAGCACCTCAAAGGAGAACATGATCCAAGCAAAATAAGAAAAGCAACCCTAAGTGCTTTCATTGACTTATTTGGCAAAGAACTCCTCACTTTAAGGAATTCAGAACTACGAGCCATGCATACCCTTCACACTCTGGCTTCTCAAGTGTTGCATGCAGGTCACAGAATTTATTTTTCCAGATGGAACATTCTTAAAATTCTACTAAGTTCATTTCTATATTTCTAAAGTCTAATTAGTATAAGCAGAAAAGGTCAAGAGCTTCAGATTTGGCTTCATCTGAAGAAATAAAAAAACACAGGGCCGTCTCCATCTTATGTAACTGTAAAAAATCTGTTACTAAAATTCTACTTTGTAGCTGCTACAATGCTAGAAAATTCCTTGTGGATTCCCTGATGGTTGATAGGCCTTTCTGAAAATGTAGAATTTTCTAAATGCACTTTTAGATTTGAAATAGTTCAGCTACCCACTTGCAGTGTCTGAGCTGACTTGGCTTGTATGCCATAAGAAAAGGTTCCGAGTGCCTGCTGTAGCATGCATGCCCTAGATTTGCCACCATTGGGGTTGACTGATCTCTGTGCACCTGCGGTCTGTTCCCACCCTGAAAATAGTCCAAGTGGCCTGCTGTTACCAACCTTTCCTTTCACCCTGAGAAACTTACTTAAACATCCAAGACCTTGGTTTTGTTTTTGTTTTTGTTTTTGTTTTCAATTTATGAGTGTAACAGTAGTGACCTCCTTGGCAATCATGCGGCTATGTCACTGCATGTATACAAAAATGTAATGCAAAGCTGGCCCATGATGGGTCCTCAAGAAGTGTTGGTAGTGAATCATTGGGGAAGAACAGATCTCATCTCTGTCTCTGCTGGGTGACCCGAGTGGATTCCTCTCCATGCAGGACGTAACGATCGTATCAGCTTGTGCCCCTCCAGGAGGAGGCCGCAACCCCGTGACCCCCCGCTTCATCCGCCACTTCAGCATGTTCTGCCTCCCGACGCCCTCGGAGCACAGCCTGAAGCAAATTTTTCAGGTGAGTGTACATGTAAATGTAGAAGAGGGAAACATAAACCCATGTGCTCCAAGGTTCCCGCCAAAGGGCTCGGTGACTTTCTAGAGAGCGCATCCATCCTTTCCTGAGCAGAAAGCCGGTAACCATGGCACCTGGAGAGCAGAGCTGATTCCATCACCGCCTTCTGCGTTTGTGGTCTCAGACCCGACCTCCCAGCCTGTGTGTCCCCTGGCCCCACACACAATGCCTGACACTGACCTCAATCTAGGCATCATCTCTCCTGCTGCCACTGAGAAAAGAGCAGAGCCACCAAGGACACACCCTCTCATACACGGAGGGGGCTTCTTTGTTCACGCTGGCATGGCTTACCTCCCTGGAAAGTGATTTTTAATAAACTGAATAGTTTCAGTAAGTTCTTTAGGAGCTAACACCAAAATGATATGTAAAAAACTTTAAGAGAGTGCTTCAGAACATGAAAAGACCACTGGCACGGTGGCTCATGCCTGTGAACCTAGCACTCAAAAGGCTGAGTCAAGAGGATTGCCTTGAGGTTGAGGCCAGTCTGAGCTACACAGTGAGTTGAAGCCAGCCTGAACTACATAGTGAGACCCTGTCCAAAAATAAAAAATAGAATATGAAAAGATGGCACTCTATCACTTGTATCACTTGTAATTAAGTTCCAGAGTATAGAAGACATGAAGCAGCAAGGGTTGTGACCATAACTGTTAGGATTTTAAAGTCCTGCCAGCAATTCCTTTTACAATATTTGCACTGCATTTATATTCTGGGTTTGGAATGAGTGAGTCCTACCCGTGTTATGCAGATACTCATGTGTTGTGAGTGCCGAGGGTTGTCCTAAGAAACTTAGGCTTCATTTAAAAAGTGATAAATCAGAAAATTACTTCATTTCTTTAAGAGTTAAGGCAAATTCAAGGTTATACTTACAAAAACATCATACTCGCTCATTCCAAAACACTTTTCTGAGTGAGAAGGAAAAGGTAGCGCCTAGTTCCTTGGGAAGAAATTGTTCCTAATCCTCAGCCTCTTGTGGGATTGTCAGAACTGTGGGACTGTGTCACTCACAGGAACATCATCTATCAATCACAGGCTGGGATGGAGCTGCTTCTTCCCTTGTAACTTACAGACAGAATTAAATATGTGCAAGCTATGAGTGTACTGGGGACCTGGCCAAGATCCCCAATCTCCTAAAGGAGTGTGTGGCTTAAATAAATAAGTAGTGTGATTTTAGGGCTCCAGGAGGATCAAAATCCTCTAGCACAGTTCAAGATTCTGGGGCTGGAGACAAAGAGCTTCTCTGGAAAGCTCATATTTATTAGGTTTTCAAACAAAGAGGGGATACTGAGCAAAGCGTGGGAACTGAGCAGGATCTTAGGAGTCACTTCAAAGACTTCTCCAAGAAGTAAATTATGCCAATTTAGGAGAATCGTCTTGTCTCTGTGATGACATCTATGGTGAGAATCAGACAGCAGGAGTGAGAGGCCCACAGCTGCAGTCTCTATCTACTTAATTGGGGTTTGAGCCAAGTGTCCTCAGCTGTGGCCTTATCTTGCCCTTTGAGGTGTATCTGGCCTCACAGGCCACTACAGGCCTCGACCAGGACCTGTGATTCTTAGAGGTTCACTTACTATGAATCAGCTCCCATCGCCAGGCAAGGGGCAGAGGCCTAGAACAGACTCACAGATAAACATAGAAAGCCAATTAGTAAGATTTAAATCCTGCTCAGAGCCATGTTGTAGTGGTCTCCAACGTGAGTGGAAGTGGAATGAGAGGATTCAGCACAGATTCCAGGGCCTGTTAGATGGATCTGGCTTCAGATGGGGTTAGTATTTCCCTCACTACCAGAACAATCAGGATACTTCACTTAATAGGAAAAAAAGGGACTTGATCCAGGCCCATGGACCTCATGTTAAACACATCCATCTAAGCAAGACCCATGAGTTCATAACTCATTTTCCCTGCCCTCTATCATTGTATGGGTGAGGCAGAACTGAAGAAGAGGAGAATGAGCTAATTTGTTAGCAATATATATTATAAATGATTCATTTATATTGTATAAAGGAAACCTGTAACATATATAGACATCATTGTTATATGTATAATGTAATATACATAATATTTTAATCACTTACTACTTTTAAGGCAGTCTATGGGGTGACTGTGGTATCTTTAATTATCTGTTGCAAGTTAGTCCAACTATACATATGTGCAACATATTACTAATGACCAGGCATAGTTTGCACAGATTTGGAAGATGTATGTTACAGGTGATTCCTCCCTTGAATCACAGTTTATAGACACCTGCCTGTTTACTTATTGGAAATTGATTTGCCAAAGTATGCATCAGTACACATCCTAAAGAACATGCAACAAATAAAATTGATGATGCTGTCACTAAATGTAATTTCTAATTAGAAAGCTATAACAGCAGTAATTGAAAGCCTTGATCAGTTCTATAAAATACTAGTAATACCCATGTGCTAAAGAATCCTTCCCCAACTATGAGAATTCTGGCTAAGTTTTGTGTGCATATTCTTTGGGAGCTTTGCAAAGTTGTGAAACATGATATAACCAGACCCGTAGGCTGTGACCTTCAGGAACCTCTAAAATGAAATGCTAATTTTCATTTATCAATACCAATTAAGTGTCCATTAATTCATTCATTAAACAGATATTTACTGAGCACTTACTATATGCCAGATGTTAGTATAACATTTTTAATAAAGCAGATACCATCTCTGGCCTCATGGAACTTCCATAACAGAGACAGATAAACAACAGATGAAATATAGATACATGCACAGTTATATCTAAATAACTATGAAATATAGATAAAACACAGTTGTAAGATCCACGTTATAAATTGTGTTTTATTTGCATGACAGAGAGTAACAGGTTGGAATTTTTCATATTTTTAATACATGTTTATATACATACATGTATATTCTTCCTTCTCATATATATTCATTTATTTCAACTTGTCTATTTTCTATCACACACAACTGACTGTATTTTTGTCATACTTGACAGCCAGCTTTGAGATGCTCCTACTCAAACTACTGGCCATGTGGAGAATGTTAAACTCATGTCGGGAACCCAGGAATACATCTCAAAATACAGATAGTTGCATAAGCTGTTGAAACTAACATTCAGCCGAGGGTCCACTGAGAATAAATAATCTGGTTATTTTGAAATATTTTATATGTGAGATCAAAATCTAAAACCATAAAGAATACCTTGAAAGCATTCAGACAACTTCTCCTCCTTTAATTTGGTGTCTCCTCCCATGAATAACTCCAAAGTTCCTAGAGAAGAGGATTTATATTTATATTGTAAAGATATTCCCTGGCAACTGGAAATTAGTTAATACATGTATACCTTAAAATTGTGGTTAAGTTATGTAAGAGATCAGAGAGACTGATGGGAGGACATATTTAGACTGGATGGCCAAGGAAGGTCCTCTCAGGAGAGATGACACGTAACCTAGCCCATGAAGGATGAGAAAGTCCCTGTCAAGCAGACAGTCACGTGGAGGGGATGCTGGGTAAGAAGAGCAAGTGTGGAGACTGAGGGAGGAAGGAGCCTGAGGTGGTGAGGCCTGTGTGACTGCGACCATGAGCAGTGGCGATGAGGAGGGAGGTGGGCAAGATGGCGGAGTGAGGAGTGAGGAGAGTAGAAGTGGGAGAGGCCAGTGAATAAAGGAAGGAGCAAAGAAGTCCAAATGGAAAAGAGTGGGAGACAGAATGGGGTGGTGTCAGGGGCATCAGAAGGAAGCAGGTAGATTCAAGTAGTGTCTTCAAGACTGACTATGGGGGACGGATGGGAGGTGTCAGAGAGACTTCCAAGTTCCGGGTCTGAGCAGAAGCAGAAGAAGAACTTTCAAGTTCCCGGGTACCGTGCTGGGAATGAGAGGTAGGAGAGCTCATACTTATTAGTACGTCATACTTTCAAATATCCATGAAGCGGCTAGGGACATAGCTCAGCACCACAACACCAGCCTAGCAAGCGCAAGGTCCTGAGTTCAGTTCCTGACACTTAAATAAATAAATATCCATGGAGGTGAAGTCTATGTGATTGTTGGTCATTCACCCATAGAAGACTTCAGTTCATTTCTAGATGAGTTTGTACCCTGCCCAAAGACCTTCTGGACCCACAGTCAGCAAAGGTCTTAAATTACTTAAGAGAGATTCCTGTTATATTCACGGGTCAGCCATGAATGCCAGTCAGACATCCCAAGACAAAGGTCAGGAACAAATCCATTTGTTAAAACATATTCTGAACAGAAGAGTTTTGATGTGATATCTTTCTATTGGCATTTAGTTGGGTGTTATTTGGGGGGGGGGATCAGAGCGAGAGTATTTGAAAGATAAATACTTGTTTAAAAAGAACCTAACCCTCTCATGTTATATTTCTACTCCAAGGCCATCTTAAATGGTTTCCTGAGTGACTTTACACCAGCTGTAAAGCAGACTGCATCGAACATTGTAGAAGCTGCAGTTGAGATTTATAACCGAATGAGTGTTGATCTCCTGCCAACACCGGCCAAGTCCCACTATGTCTTTAACTTGAGGGATTTATCGAAATGCGTGCAAGGTATGGAACTGAACCCTCATTCCCTGATCTGTGCCCTCCTTCCATTTCTATTGGCTTCCAGACCTCTAGGCAGAATCATGTACCCGGGTGTCCAGGGCTCACCTAGAAATCCCATGGCATGTCCTTGGTTAAGTCTTCCTTCCCTCACATCCCACTCTGAACATTGCACAGCGGCAACTGTTTATATTAATTAAAAAGTACACAGAATCACTTGAATAACAGCCAGAAGACGCAGGAGCATTGGATGAGACTTGAACACTGAGTCAAGAAGAGAGGAAATGAGTGTTTTGAAAAACTTATAAGCATCAGGAGGAAAGTTGTGAGATAAATAAACATGTATCTCCTTAGAGAAATGTAACACTCTTCACCTAACATATTGACTGTTGGTGTTTAATTAAGCAGATGTCAAGAAAGCAAGGGAGAAAATGTTTTTGTCATATAACATGTCCCAGTTTTGCTTTCAAAACATGAAATCGCCACTGTTACCATGAACTGCTGGGGAAGCACTCATTTCTGCTAATGTGGGGTAAAGTTGGACTTAAGTGTTTCCTAGTTAATTAGCTATGACTAGAAATTTCACAAATGTAGAATTTTTATTCTTTTTTTCTGTTTCCCTAAAACACAGGTATTCTCCAGTGTGATTCAGGAACAATAAGAGAAGAAATGCAGATATTTAGACTCTTTTGCCATGAATGTCAAAGAGTCTTCCATGATCGTTTGATTAATAATGAAGATAAGCAATACTTCCATGTTATTTTGACAGAAATGGCCAGTAAATATGAACCTGTATTTACTCATTCTCTTTTTTTTTCCTTGTAGAAAAGCAATTTGGTTCTTTGGGGGGGTAGTTTTGTTTTGTTTTTATTGATTGGTTTGTTTGTTTTTGCTTTTGTATCTTTCTTTTTTAGTTTTTCTTTGTTTTATTAGTATATGTTTGTAGTGCATGAAGCTTACAGTCATCTTTAGGAGTGGATAACAATGTGGTTTCGATAAAGGAAAATCGCCTGGGTAATGAACCATGTTTATTCATGAGTAAAATTTATGTTCTTTGATAGTTCATATATATAAAATATTACAAAAAAACCTTTCTAAAGTTCAGAAAGTTTTAATTCAAAATAAAATTTTAAGGAGAGGAAGGGAAGTAGGGGAAATGACACTTTGTCTAAGAAGCCACAATAATAGTGTACTACTTATTATTTATTATCTGATATTTATTATTTAACAAAAGTTTTAAATATTTATCAAGTATTCTTAATCTTAAACTTTGGATATTACCAACCAAATTGAAGGAGCGTGTGTTAACAAGACTTTCAGTTTTCATTTAAGGTAGTCTGAGCTTCTCAGTAACTGCTCACGCTGTTCTGCATACCCTACCAATAAAATGCAGTGTTCAAGCCTGTCATTCTATTGAAAACTGCTTTTGCTTTTTAACAGACAAACATTTTGGAATTGCAATTGACCTGGAATACTTTTTAAATAAACCCATCATATTTGGAGACTTCATTAAGGCAAGTATGTTTTATTGATCTGACTACATTTGAAGGTCAGCAAGCATTCACTGTGTTCAGTGCAGGTATTGAGTAAGGACTTTACATCTTCACAAATTAAATATCTAGACTGGGTGTGAATAAAACCGAAGCTCTGGGTGTCACGTCCACCTGCAGCCTATTCTTATAAACCAAGTTTCACCAGAACACAGCCACACGTGTGCGTGTGTGTAGCATTTGTATGACTGCTTCTGCAGGACAGCGGTAATGACAGTGAGCCTGCAAAACTGAAAATATTGCCATTTACTGAAGAAAAGAAGGTTTACCCAATCTAGTTATCTCATTTTAATAATGGTATGAATCAAATAGCCACTAGAGAATTCGATTTGGAAGAAAGCACAGAGGTTGGTCTCTTAACTCAGACCTAGAATCCCTCCTTGTATTCTTGAAGCTTACACCCTGCTATTGGAGTTACCTTGTCACTTCAGGCTAACTCCATTAGAAGCCAAATTTCCATTATATTTAACTTCTTCTGTATTTCCTACAAGCGTCTCGTGTCTGCCCTCACTAATGTCTATGTACTGGCCTGCCGAAAATAGGTCTTCCATCCAGGCCCCACACCTACACGGGCAGGCAGCCTCCATGTTTCAGCAGCTTTACTGTTGCACAGGGACCCGTACCCCATCTCAGAGGACAGAACCTCTGGATTCTCCCGCAGAACTAGGAGCTCAGCAGGCTTCCAGCCAATACAAGCTCAGCACGACTGAGTACATACATTAAATGTGTTCAGGACCTCACCACTCGAAAGCTCCTCCAGATGAGTACAAGATAAAAATAAAATAAATAATTTATATGCGTGAAATCTATCTGTTTAAATGTACCATTAAAAATACAGTCCAAAGGAATTTTTAATATTGTATTCTGTGTCTTTTTCTAGTAATGATTTTATTAAACAGGGAAATAAAGCAAAGCAGAAAGAAGAGCTGAACTCTTTTGGTATTGCCTCGATATGTCAGTGAAAGTTGCAGTGTATTCGGGACAGTTACTAGAGCAAAAATACCTCACTGGGTCCAAACAGGATTTAACTCCCTTTAGTTTACACAACTCTCATTCTCAGCAATTTAACCCTAGATGCCTGCTGTGTAAAAGCTACTTCTATAAAGCAAGATTGTTTGTAACAATGGCAGTTTCCCAGGAATAGTTTTCAACCAGATAGCTTTTCAAGTTCACAGCCTCAAACAAAAAAAGACGGAATCAGAGTGTGGGATTGTGAGAAAAACGAAAACCCTATTTTAAGGTCCTTCGTGGATGTTAGTACAAAGATCACTGAAATTACAGTGTGCTGTTTAAAGAAGTTAAATGAAACGAGTTTCCCAGACTGTGGATGCTGGGTGTATTTACATGTCAGTACTGACCCAACTTGGTTCTTCTCCCATTACTCATCTTACAGTTTGGTATAGAGAAGTCTGAACGGATTTATGATGATATGCCTGATATGGACAAAATCGCAAACGTCCTACAGGACTATCTTGACGATTATAACCTCATAAACCCCAAAGAAGTACGGTTGGTGTTCTTCCAGGATGCCATAGAACATGTTTCAAGGTAAAATTCTCTTAGGTGTCCGATAGATTGCTAGATGGACTAAAGTTTAAGTAATTCCCAATGCAACTTAAAAGACATTTTAAATATATATGGTGGGAACTTTCTATGAAATCACAAGAGTTATTATTTTTGCTGAATATTAAAAGTTTGGCTTTGTTTTTATAATGTCCTGTCTTGTTACTAAAAGAATCTAAGGTGATTTGCAATAATACAGATACCTTATAATAAAGCTAATGACATGTGTACCTAAAGAAAGAAGTTCAAAATTATAGCAAACAAGGTGTATCCTGATCATAAAGTCTATGTTCTTATGAATCTGACTCCCCCATCTGCAAGTACTCTTGGAAGAATGTCCCTGAGACATGGGCATCCAACCTGCACAGCCATAGTCCCTGGGGCACACACCACTTTATGAAGTGGTTCCTGTTCTGTTTGGCAATTCTGTGTTGAAAAGACCCTTCCAGCACAAGCCATCTGCTTCCTGTGATTTCTAACATCAGTTCCATCGTATGCAGCAGGAATAATTCTGACATCCAATGTGCATATAAAATCATGATTTAGAGCATCTCATTTAACTGTCACAACATCTCTCTTGGCTCAGTGTCAGGCTCAGAGAATGTTCTAGTGGTTTTTTAGTCACTCCAGCGCATACTGGCTTCACTTTTATCATCACCTCTCCTTGTCCTGGGTAAGTCTTTCTTGGAATTTCTCTTTAGTTGCACACAGCAGCAGCTGGAGCATCTGGATCATCTCTGCCTCCATGTTACCTGTCTTCATACCTCCATGGCAATATCGGAGTGTCTGGGCTTCCTATATGGTGACCCAGGACTCCAAAGGCAAGTGATCTAAGACAGAAAAGCAGGCAGAAGCCTTGGAAATCACGTATCATCCATTCCACCATACTCTTTTTACTCAAAGGAGGTATAAATGGCTATGCATGTTCAAAGAGAGAAACAGAGACTCTGTGTCTTATGACACCCAAGAGAAGGTGAGAGCACAAATATCATTGCAGCCATTTTTTTGGAGAACACGGTGTGCCACAGAGCCATGCAGACATTTTCCAAAGTCTTCTGGTTAGAGGCAGACTGGGGAATCACATTCAGTCCTTTGGCTCTAACTGCACTTCGGTTTCTCCCACACACAAAAAAACATGCCTGTTCATTTTCATCACAACACACAAATACTTGAAAATCATTCCCATACTTCTCTCAGCTTGTCTTCTTCAGGCAAAATCATCCCTGATCTTTGAAGCTACTCATTAAAATGTATTTCTAGCCTTCAATATCCTTAATATTTCATAACTTTTCAATGTTCCACTTAAAAGTGGTAATTCGATTTGATACCATATTTTATGGAGTAAGCAGTATAAAATATGAGTTGAGAATGGAATTTTCCATGTTCTACTATTGCAGAAAGATTTTACTGACTTTTCTTTTCCCTATGTCAGCTACATTTTAATGTAGATCCTTGTTAAGACTGATCAAATTCCAGCACTCCTTCACTAAACCATAGATACATTAACTCTACATTTCTGCTCTTTAATTAACTCTAATTTGGATGTTATGTTTGTCACAGCTTACGTTATAAGATATGATCATTTATCATCAGGTTGTCAAAATATCATTTGCTTCCCATCAGTCCCTCTACCAGCATGCCCACACATTATATGCTAACAGTTTTTATTTCCATAACTTAGGAAGCTTTAAGTCTATTGAGAGAGAAAGAGACAGAGACAGAGACAGAGACAGAAACCAGAGGGGGAAAGAAAGAGACAAAGAAAAATAGTAATGATGGCAGCCCTCTGTTCAGAAAAACTTCCATAAGAACAAGCCAGACAATTGGCAAATCCAGCTTAATTATATTTATTTATAATTATTCTTACCTTTGTGAAAGAGAATTGCTAGAAGCTTATGTTTGTTTAAAATATTAAAGGAGAAAATTTAAAACAAGTTATAGAAGATGGAGATTTGGTTTTCAGACACCCAGAGGACCTCCATGAAAAAAACATGTAGATGTGTTGTCTTTTTTTCTAGAGAGGATTACTAGTATGGAATCAGGGAAACATTTCTATTTCTTTTTTTTTCTTTTCTTTTAAATTTTATTTAAGGAGAAAAAGAAAAAAATAGAAAAAGGGTACAAGTTATACAGAGTTTCAAAAAACAATAGGAAATCATTAGTTAATAGATTACATATTGTCATCTTAGAAATAGTTGTTCAAATTACAAAATTAAAGTATGTATAGTGGACATTCGAACAGTGAGAGTGCAAACAGTTCTGTTCAATGATCCAACAAAAACTCAGTAATATGGTTATCTATCTTATACACTTAAATATACATGCAGTTATATCCTTTAGAGAATTTTCTTTTCCTCTCTTTTTTACAATGACAATTACACATTTTGGTTTTTATTACTCCCACAGTTCTTATTACTTTTTTTTGAAGAGAATAAAACCAAATGTGACATAACAAAACAAGTCCGTCAAATCAAAAGGATGGACATAGTACATAATGTAAAAACAGAATACAAGGTGATCAACAATGCCTCTTGCTATCTTAAAAAGAAATGCCTGTATCATCAGTTATAATAAAATTGAACAAAACAGTAAAGAACAAAACCAATAAAACCAAAACATTGGAGACATTACAGGACTTCAAAAGAAGATAATAGTCAAACCAAAATGGGCGTCATAATGAATCTCATTGTCTTCACAGTTTTGCCTATATTCTCAAACTTGGTACTATCAAGCAAAACAGACTAAAGTCAGTCAAAACAAGATGGTGAGAGCAATACAGGGTTTCAAATCAAGTTAATAGGAAATCAGAGTGGGTTCCTGTAATATATCCTGCTATTTTTTCCTTAATTAAAAAGATAAAAATTAAAAAATGAATAATAAAGGAGACTGAGATAAAAGAGGACATAACAACAAAACAGCACAAGTCAGAACATAACCATTTAAGTAAAATAGTGTTTGACCACAAGATATCCCGACATAAAAGTGGTCACCATAGCGTCTCTTTCCCTGAAATCTTTGAGTATAACTTCATATACTGTAGCACCAAACATATCAAGACAATGTAAAACCATTCAAGAGAATGACAGTGTTACAGGGTATTTAGAGCCAACTAACAGAAAATGAACAATGGTTTCTGTGTTATCTCCTTGTTTATAAAAGTTTTTATATATTATCACATATAATAAAATCCAATAAGATACAACATGCTAAGACCAATAGAGACAGAAGAACAAAAGCTTGATGGGACTTCAAAACAAGATATTAAATCAGCACTAGCTATTATGATGTCTTGTTTTCTCCAAAATAGCTGTTCCTACCATCCAACCTTCTCTGCCTCATTTCTGTTGAGCTCTTTTTCTGTTATTAGTTGTCAGTTTGTCTTCATTTCGCTTTTTGCTCCATTCATTGTGGCCTCTCTATCACTGTTTCTGGAATCTTGGTATTTTTCTCTTTTAGAATGTCCTGCAGTATTCTCTGTAGAGTTGAATCATGATTGCAAATTCCCCTAGTTCCTCTTTATCCTGGAAGCACCTTGTTTCTCCATTAATTTCTAGGGACAGTTGTGCGGAATATATCAATTTTGGCTGGAGGTTTTTGTCTTTCAAAGCTTGAATTATTTTGCCCCACGCTCTTCATGATTTGATGGTTTGTGCCAAGAAGTCTGCTGTAATTCTGATGGGTGTTCCTTTGTAAGTGACCTGTTTCTTGTCTCTGACAGCTTTTAATATTCTGTTCTTATATTGGATTTCTGGAATTTTGATTATTATATGCCTGGGTGTAGTTCTGTTTGAGTTGTTGGTGGCTGGGGTCCTGTATGCTTCATAGATCTGAGGTTTTTTACCTTTTCTCATATTAGGGAAATTCTCTTTGATTATTTCTGTGAATAGCCTTTGCGGTTCATTTGTTTGTATCCCTGCTTCTTCCTTTATATTCTTAATTCTTAAGTTATGGCTCCTCTTATCATCTTCTAGCCTTTGTATTGTTACTGCTTGTTTCCTTGTTATTTTTAAGACGTTTTTTCCTTTCATGCTCCCACATTACAAATCTGTCCTCCAGTTCAGATAATCTATCCTTAGTTTCTTTCAAGCTGTTATGCCAGCTTTCAATAGAGTTTTTAGTTTCCTGGTAATCTCTTTGAACCTGTTTCATGTATTCTATGTTTTTCTCTATTTTCTCCATCAAACATTTCTCCCCTTTTTTTCTGTTCTTCCATTCCACCATCTGTTTTTTCTTGGGAGGTGCTTAGCATTTCTTTAACTATTCTCCTTATATCTTGCTTTACTTGGTTAAATACTTCACTTTTGAACTTGTCTATAAGGTCCCTAAGATATTGTTTTCTGTCTATTGGTGCCATGTCTGATATTACATGTTTTCTGTCCTCATTCTCCTTTGCATTTACCTTTCCTGGATCAGTGTTCTCAGGATTGGGGACTGAGGACCCTTTCTTGTTGCTCCCTCTTCCCATACTTTTTGTTCCTTCCATACAAGTGTATATAGGGGGCCTAGTTTCTTTCTTGTCAGTTACAGTTTGTTTGAATTGCACCAGCTAGGTGTTCCCACCCACTGCAGTGTACTAGGGGGACACAGACCTGAGCAGCCTATGCTGGGCCCGCCCCTCCAGGTCAGTCAACCTGTGAAGGCTTCACTGTATTAGGGTGCACTGTCAGGTGGAGGGACTTGGTTTGGGCTAGCCTACTGGGTCTTAGTCCACGGCGTCACCCAGGTCAAGCACTCCCCATCAATCCCACTTGAGAGGGGAATATGTGACTGAAGTCACTGCAGTGTCCTGTTCTGGCTAGTCTACCTGGTCCCAGAATGTCCTCTGTTGGAGCCTCCTAATTTATGGAAGGGTCCCCATTCCTCTCACTCACTGCAAGCCGATGCAGATCTCCCTGCCAGCTCTGCTCTCAATTCAGTTCGCTGATTCCCACTCTTAGACCTTTCACGTCTCTATCCCTGCTAATTGAGATGCAGCGGCGGCAGCATGAAATTCAAGCCACGGTTTCCAGAGGCGTGAGTTCCAGCTTCGGCGCTGAGACTTTAGCTGTTCTAGTCATAGCACCAGGATTGCATTTCCAGTTGGTTTCTCTCAGCTTAGTTCGTTCCTGGGTCAGCAGGGTATATCTCTCCCTGCTTAGGACTCCCCATACCGCACCATTCCTGGAATTTAAGCTGGCTATCTCAGAGAACCTCTGTAGCTGCTATTATCTATCTGCCATGTTCTCCCAGAAGTCCAACATTTCTATTTCTAAGAGCTTTCCAATACCTATTGCTGATTAACAGTGAAAAGGCTTTCATTTTGAACATGAGTTATGATCAGTAATTTATTTCATAAAACATGTCCATTTCTTGGTGATACTTTAGTTGGTGTGGTTTTTTTGTTTGCTTTCTTGCTTGTTTGTTTGTTTGGTTGGTTGGTTGGTTGGTTGGTTGGTTGGTTTGGTTTGGCTTTTTTTTTTTTAACCATAGGATAGGTGGATTAGTCTTCCCAACTCAGAGGGGGAAAATTTAATTCAGAGCCTGTGTTTTCAAAGTACAGATACATCAGGCTTTTCCTAGCTGTCACATGCCCCAAAGTTATCACCAAGCTCTAATAATGAGTGGATGTTCTCTTCTTTAAAATACAAGCCACTACATTACATAGTATCCAGCCTACTACATTACATAGAATGTATTTTGTCTGCTACAATGAAGGATTCTTACTGGGAAGCATTATCTATTCACTTAAATGTACTGTTCAGGATAAAACTGTCATTATAGACAAGACTTTTGTTTTCAGTAATTCCAGATAAAAGTAACAAAACTACAATGAGTAAAGAGACACACAAAATAAAATAAGCATGGCATAGGTAGCGAAAAAAATTTATATTTAATATCTTATCCTCCTGGTCATTATGGTTTGGTTTGGTTTGGTTTGGTTTGGTTTTTGGTACCAGGAATGGAATTCACGACCTCATGCCAGCCACACAGGTGCTTACACTGCTGAGCTAAATCCCTGGCTGCATGCCTATGCATTATGAAAAAATAAAACTTTCAGTCTTCAGTTTTTATTCACACCAGTAACTGAAGAGAAGTGAGCAGATTGCTTGTCTCCCAGTAGATGTGTACCATGACAGAGATGTAGCAATGAAGACCACGGCTATGGGTCTTCCTTGTTTTAAGAAACTGACAAGGGTTCTGGGGAAGGAGATGAAAAACTTCTTTGTAAAAGGAAGACAGGGAATATTCTAAGCTCCACAAGCCGTACAGTTCCTGTTGCCCCTGTTTAATTCTGCTGCACAGTGTATGAGAAGTCACAGTCAACAACAAACGAGCGTGGCTGTGTTTCTGTAATACTTTATAGATGCTAATGTTGGAATTTCTTGTGATTTTCACAAATCATAAAATGTTACTCCTCTTTTGATAGTTTTCAACCATTTTTTTAAAAGCCTAAAAACATTGTGGTCCATCGGCTATAAAACACACACAGGCACACACGCACAGTTGGGAAGTGGGATTTGACGTACAAATCATATCTTGGTGAGCCCTGTTATAGATAAAAACATGTTATCAAGACAGTTAAAAGAGCAGAGCTTCCAGGGGAGCAAAAGGGGTTCAGAGAGGGAAGAGACAAACCTGAAAGCTTGTAGTCACTTTAGAGAACCCTAGGTAAAGGCAGGGAGTCTGGGGTCTGTCCTGGAAAAGCATTCTTCAATACATTCCTGTAGATGCCCTGTTCTAGTCTCACACTACGTATAGCGCCTTCCTCTTGCTTCCAAGGATGCCAGGACATTGTGCTCTTCATTTTACAGATTTTCAAGCCCCTACTTGTTGGTCACTTGAGTATAGATGGTCTATGTGTTTCACTCGCCTGCCATAGAGAGCTGGCCAAAATTGATTCTGTCATTATGGGGTTGACATTGGCAAGGTTTGGCAGTGGTTATCTCTCATGAGTTACAGTGAGTTATACTTCCATAATTTATAAAAAGCCATTATAATTTTAAAATATTTGAGCCTACCTCTCCCCAGTTATCAGAATCATAAATAAAACACGGTCAGTAGGAAGGTAACTAGGTAGGTAGGTCCTTCTGGTGCAAAACAAAAAAGAAACCTGCTTTTCAATTTCTCCCATGATTTGTAGTTTCTGGTGATCTAATCTGAGATTTTAAGCAATGACTATCTTTAAAAAAGAAACTATCAGGCCAGGGATTTACCTCAGTAGTGTAAATACCTGCCTGGCAAGCACAAGATCATGAGTTTGATCCCTGGAACCAAAAAAAGAAAAGGAAGGAAGGAAGGAAGGAAGGAAGGAAGGAAGGAAGGAAGGAAGGAAAGAAAGAAAGAAAGAAAGAAAGAAAGAAAGAAAGAAAGAAAGAAAGAAAGAAAGAGAAAAAGAAAGGAAGGGAGAAAAGAAAGAAAGGAAGAATGTAAGAGAAAGAAATAAAACTATCTTTACATTTTCCATCTTTGACTTTTTAAGAAGAATTTATTAGCCTTTTTGCCACTCAGTGACAATATGCTGTGTAGACCTAATTCATCTGTTTCCCCCTTCTTGGATTTTTAAATTTTATTCATACATCTATATATATTCAAGAATTCTTTTAGGAAAGGTTTGAAAATTATGTTTTAGATCTGAACTATCCCTCCCCCAAAAGTGTCGTGCTCAGAGGTGAGACCTGATCAAAGGACACAGGTCACTGGGGGCGTGAGCTGGAAGGGTATATTCTTGGCCCTGGCTCTTCCTTTCTTCTCTGCTTCTGGGCTGCCATGGCATGAGTGGCTGTTCCCTGCCATGACCTTTCACTGTGCCCTTCCTGCCTTGGAGCTGCCAACCATGAACTGGACCTACCGAAACTCCAAATAAACCTCTTCTCCCTCCCTTGTGTCAGGCACTGTGTCCCAGTGATGGGAAGGTAACTAACACAGAAAATTTAATCTCTCTGATTTAAAATTAAATATCTCCTGTTTGGTTTCCTTTCATCATGACAGTGGCTATTACCTCAGTCACTGTTCCATCAACTCCGTTCCCTCTTCTCTCTGCTTCTATAAATGCTGTCATGTGGCCTCTGTGATCTCATTTATTCCTCTGCATTTGCCCCCCCCCTCCACTTTCTCTCTCCTCATTTTGATACCTCTCACTGTTCCCTGTGTTCCAGGTGAATTTCCTGAGCTCATTCTCCCTACCCGGGGATTTGTGAAGTTCATCTTCCATAAGAAGCGTCGCTCTAGTTACAGTCAGGGTCTTTGAGCTCTCTTCAGTTTTTCCTAAACTCACATTTTTTTCTCCCTCTTTCCTGGGTCTTTAATCTAGCTCATGATTAGATTGGTTTTGTAAAATTCTCATTAGCACTAATCAGAGCTTTTCTGAAGTTTTGCTGATATTTTGCGGTACTTGTTCCCATGTATCCCTCCTTCTGACCTGCATGGCTCAGACCCAATCCTCTCCCTCAGAAATGGAGACCTGAGCTTGCCAGTACCAAACTAGTATCAGTAGGGGCCTAGCTTAAGGCAGGATCCCTGGAAAAATCCCACTTGACCCAGAAAAAATTATACTTTATTTTAAATTCATCTTACTGTATTTGAAATATTACTTTATGCTTCTAGGACAGAGAGTCACAGGTTTCTAGGAGACAAGGGAAAGATGGAAAAGGGAAAGGCCCCACAGTACTGTTCTCCAGGCTCCTCAGTTTACCGGCCTTCCTACCCCGTCAGCCCTCTGAGCAAAGCCAGGTCTGTGAACCAGAAACAAACCTTCTGCTTTGCTTCCTGCAGGATCGCCAGGATGATCCGTCAGGAGCGAGGCAATGCCCTGCTGGTCGGAGTGGGAGGCACAGGAAAGCAGTGTCTGACCAGGCTTGCAGCTCATATATGTGGCTACAAATGTCTGCAGATCGAGCTTACCCGGGGATACAATTATGATTCTTTCCATGAGGACCTGAGGAAGTTGTACAAAATGGCTGGCGTAGAGGACAAAAATATGGTTTTCCTTTTCACAGACACCCAGGTATGTAAACAGCCCACGTGTAAAGACAAGAAACCCAGGAGTGGCCCAGTCCAGCATGTGCTTTGAGCGATGAAGTTCAGAGTATCCTTACTTCTGATAACAGATCTCCTGTACCTTGTAAAAGACTTTTGTGATATATTTTTGTTTATTTCACCAAGTTTTTTCCTTTAAATGCTAAGTAATTATGATTAAAAGTAAAAGAGAAAAAAGTTAACTGCTTGCTGGGTAAAAGGACAAAGGTAGCAGAAGGTGGTAAACTCTTTCTTCAGAAGTACATGTAAGAAAATGATTACCTATGGGGCTGGGGATTTAGCTCAGCGGCATAAGCGCCTGCCTTGCAAGCAGGCAGTTGTGAGTTTGATCCCCGGTACCAAAAAAAAACAATAGTTACCAAAATGCCTTCTGATGTCTTTACTGCTGCAGATAACTTTGGGCATAGTGAAAATCAAACAGAATAGAATAGAATAGAAACAATAAAAATAAGACAATGAATGTAATAAAGGACTTCAAAACAAGACAATAGTAAATTCAAAATTGCTACCATAATATATCTTGCTGTCTTTGACATAGCTGCTCCTGCCATTGGATTTGACATAAACAAAACAGAAGAGAATAAAACCCAACCCAACAGAACAATAGAAATGATATAGGACTTCCAAAACAAGACCACAGGGAATCAACAATGGCTGCAGCCCTCATAAAGAGATCCTCCCTAGATGTCATACTGAGTACCACTATTCTCTGAACCCATATTCAGACCACTGGCCCTAGACCTGCAGTGTTACACCACCAAAGCATCACAGGCATCCAACTGCATTTCACCTCCACAGCGATCATCACAGCCTGTTTTTCTACAGATAAGCTGGTCACGTACGGGAGTGGAGGGAGGGAATGATTGGCCCTTCTTGTTTGCCAGTTCAAGTGCTGAAAGGGGTTGGAGTCTGGCTGTTCCAGACCAGCGGCATCCCGTACAGGGTACTGGCTCCCAGTCTGAGCTTGCTTGCTGATGTAGCCTACACTCAAGTATTTTCACTTCCAGGGAAAATAACTTTCTAAAAATGAACGAAGGAATTAAAAAGTGACCCATTTGATTCATAAATGTTTTAAATTTCTTTTTAATTTTTAAAACTGTAAACAATATTAATTTGGAAAACAGTGATCATATATTAGACCTAAATAAGTTTTTCATTAAATTTTAGAAAGTATAATCTTTATAATAACATTTTTGCCCATTCCTTTAAGGAAGAAATTAATGATGTGCATGATAACTTTAAAATATTCATATAAAAATCAATAAAATCAAAATCTCTATCTAGAGAATAGGAACAGTAGAGTTAATATAAATAAAATCTACATTTGAATCAAAAAATTATAGAAACAACCAAAAATAGTTTACTTAAAAGTTTAGGGAAAAAACACAAGGAAGTACCAAGACAAGTAAAAACAGGTAAAAGAACAAATAACAAAAATTCAGACAAAAAGAGAAAGTATTTATTCTTAGAAAAAACTTACAGGCATTATTAAGGCAAATTCATATGAGGAAAAACAGAAAATTTCATATGAAAAAAATAAGATAACAGATACCTTGTAATAAAATTCTAATTTCTATATAATCAAACAGTTTACTGAAACAAAAACACAAATAAAAGATTACTTTTAAATATTTGCATCAATTATGAGGAAAAAGCTTTATTTCATAATGTATAAATTAGTCATTTCTATTTAAAAGAACACTCTAATATAGAAGTAATTATGGAGTTTGAACAGATTTTTTAAGGGAAAAACACAGGATGACATTTGCTCTTGCTAAAAAGCAAAGACATGTAAATTAAATTCTCCCAAAACAAACATTTGTATTTTCCAAGTTAGCAAAAATAAATATTAAAGATTATTAAAGTCATACTTGAATTGAATGAGAAATAGTAAAATCTTCAAAATCCAAAAACTATCCATGCAATTTAGTTGCTAATCTCACTCCTGAGAACTTTTTCCAAGAAAATAATCCATCTAGGGAGAAAAGCTATGGGCCTAAAAATGTTATGATGTAAACCATTACTCTGCAAACCCTCTGTATCCATGTAAATGTATGGCTTGGCAACTCCATGCTGCATCTGCTCCCATATTTATGGTTAAAATATGCTGAATACTCTACAAAAATGTAGATTAATATTCATAATACCACAGTAATTCAAAGAGACAGAACATAAGACATTTGTACAGATGATTTGAACCAGGTAAGGTATAGATGCCTTTTAAGAAACAAAACAGGAAGGAAAAGTGAAAAATCAATACACAAGCTATGCCATCTTAGGATTTAATCTAATTCTTTTTTGAGATAGAAATCCATTATGCAGTTCAGGCTGGCCTTGAACTTGAAGTGACCCTCCTGCCTCCACCTCGCAAGTACTAGAATCTAATTTTTAAGATTATCATCTCTTAAAGATAAAATTAACGACCTTCTTTCAACTCGGGAGCTGAGGCCATGTGAGGTGAGTTCCAGGCACGGCACTGGACCAGGGACAGTTTAAGACCATCATTCCCAGCAGTTAAGTGCCCACACAGCTTCCTGAAACCCTGGACTAGGCTCAGGAGGTTTTGCTGGCCTGACTAGACCACGCCCAGGGACCGTTGTTCAGTCCAGGGGACTGAGGGCACGCGAGTCCCAGGAGCTGAAGACATAGAACATGTTTTCAAATTTGCCCAGGGGAAGCTTTGGAACATCACTCAAAACTCGGAAATATAGGAAAATGACAAGAACAAAAGACCAAAATGCAATCTCAAAACTCCAGTCCATTCCAAGAAAGCCTAGGAGCCATGTACATAGAAGAAAATATAAGCCATACACCTGAAATGTCTGAAATAATAGCAACTAAAATAAAGAAGCAACTCTGGGAAGCTATAAAGGAAATCAAATTAGAAATAATCTGTTCACTTTATATGCTTTAATTTTGTAATTTGGACAACTGTTTCTGGGAAGATAATATGTAACCTATTAACTGGTGATTTCTTACTGTATATTTTTTTCTTGAAATTCTGTATTACTTGTACCCTTTTACTGCTTTCTTTTTTATGTTCTTTCTTTTTTTTCTCTTTAAATAAAAAAAAGAAATAATCTCCCAGGTAAAAGAAGAAATGATAAAAGTAATGAAACACATCTAAAAGAAATGAACACATCTAAAGAAAACACAGTTAAAAAATTAGAAGAACAATGCAAAAAGATAGAATCCCTGGATGAATAATGTAAGAAACAAACAGAATATATGAAGCAGATTCAAAGAAATATATAGGAAATCAAAAATTCCATTGAAAGTTATCAAAACCACCTCAATGAAACTGAAGATAGAATTTTAGTCCTTGAAGACAAAATTGTAGCTAGTGAACAGGAAAGGAAAGATCTCAGGAAATAACCATTCAACAGCTGAAAAATGATGCAAAGAAAAGGAACATAAGATTGTCAGAAATACATGAAAAAGAAATGGACAATACAAATGATATCAAGAGGCTATTTACAGAAGTAATAGCTGAAAAATTTCCCAGATATGAGAATGGAAACTGATATTTGGATTAGTGAAGCATATAGAACTCCAATAGCCATAATCAAAATAAAACTACACTCAGACATATAATAATCACAATCCCAGAAATCCAACATAAGAATAGAATATAAAAAGCTGTTAGAAAAGACAGATCACCTATAAAGGAAAACCTATCAATTACGCAGACTTCTCAACACAAACAATGAAGTCAAGAAGAGCATGGAGTGAAGTATTTCAGATCCTAAAGAAAACGACTTCCAACCCAGACTGATGTACCCTGAAAAACTGTCCTTCAAAATGGATGGAGAAATACAATACTTCCATGACAAAGGACAGCTAAAGAACTTCATGATCACCAAACCAACCCTGCAAAGAATACTGAAAGACATTTTAGATACACATAGGAAAAACCACTAAGCAAGGCAGACAATTAAACAGAATGGAAAGGTAAAGATACAACAGCAGAAAGATAACATGTCAATAATAAACCAATATGTAGCAGTTATAACCATTAATGTAAATGGTCTCAATTCACCAATTAAAAGAAACAGATTGGCAGAATGGATCAAAAAACAACATCCAACCATATGCTGTCTACAAGAAACCCATCTAACCCAAAAGGAAACTCATAGACTGAAAGTCAAAGGATGGAAAATAATACTTCATGCAATAGGAACCCAAAAAATAATGGGGATAGCTATTCTGTTTGCAGACAATGTGAACTTCAAACCAAGAATGATCAAAGAGATAAAGAAGATCACTACAAACTAGTTAGGGGAAAACCTCAAGAGGAAGAGATAACATTCTTAAATATATATGCACCAAATTCCAGAGCACCCAGCTATGCAAAGCAAGAATTACTAGAAATGAAAAATCAAATAAGCAATAACACAATTATAACAGGAGACCTTAACACACCATTGACACAAAGGGACAGATCAACCAGACAGAAAATCAGCAAAGAAATAACAGAAGTGAATCACACCTGTGAACAAATGGACTTGATAGACGTATACAGTGTTCCATCCAACAACATCAGAATATACATTCTTCTCAGCAGCACATGGGACATTCTCTAAAACAGGCCATATACTATTCCACAGAACATATTTAGGTAAATGCAAAAGAATTGAAATTATCCCATGTATGTTATTGGATCATAGTGCCATGAAGCTAGAAATTAATGATAAAAGAAACTGCAAAAATCCCACAAACACATGGAAATTAAATAATACATTCCTGAGCAATCAGTGGGTCACAGAGGAAATTAAAGAAGAAATTAAACAATATCTACAAGCAAATGAAAATACAAATACAACTTACTGGAATTTGTGGGATGCAATGAAAGTGGTCCTCAGAGGAGAATTTATTGCACTGTGTTCCCACTTCAGGAAAACAGAATGAACACAAAAAAACAATCTGATGTTACACCTCAAACATTTAGAAAAAGAAGAGCAAGTCAAGCCCAAGGTCAAAAGAAGGGAAGAAATTATAAAAATCAGAGCAGAAATTAATGCAATAGAGACTAAGAAAACAATCCAAAGAATCAATGAATCAAAGAGTTGGTTCTTTGAAAGAATAAATAAAATTGATAAGCCCCTAGCCAACTTTATTTTAAAAAGGAAAGAAAAGGCTCAAATTCATGCAATAAGGAATGAAAAAGGTGAAATCACTACAGACTCTGTAGAAATACAGAAGATCATCAACACCTATTTCAAAAACTTCTACTCACATGTTCAATAACACAGAAGAAATGGACAGATTCCTAGAAACATATGAACTAGCAAAGCTGAGTCAAGAAGATATAAAACTGCTGAATAACCCAATTTCTATTAATGAAATTAAAAATGTAATTAAGTCTTTACCAACAAAGAAGAGCCCAGGCCCAGACAGATTCACTGCGGAATTCTACAAGAAATACAAAGAAGACTTAATGCTAACACTGCTCAAACTCTTTAGTGAAATCGAAAGAAAAGCAATTCTTCCTAAGTCATTCCAAAGCAAATATTACTCCAGTACAAAATTCTGAGAAAGATCCATCTAAAAAAGAGAACTACAGGCCAATCTCCCTAATGAACATAGATGCAAAAATTCTCAATAAAAATATTGGCAAATAGGATGCAGCAAATCATCAAGAAGATTATACACCACAACCAAGTGGGATTCATCCCAGGCATGCAGGGATGGTTCAACATACATAAATCAATAAATGTAATCCACCATATCAGTAGAGCCAAAAATAGGAACCACATGATCATTTCTATAGATGCAGAAAAAGCTTTTGATAAGGTCTAACACTTACTCATGATAAGAACCTTATAGAAAATTGGAATAGATGGTCTTTACCTCAATACAATAAAGATCAGGTATGACAAACCAACAGCCAGAATCATATTAAATGGCCAAAAACTGAAAGCCTTTACCTTAAAATCAAGCACAAGACAAGGATGTCCCTTATCACCAGTCCTATTCAACATAGCATCGGAAATGCTAGCCAGAGCAATTAGACAAGAGAAAGAAATAAAAGGAGTAAAGACAGGAAAAGAGGAAGTTAAATTATCATTATTTGCAGATACTTTACATAGAAAACCCCCAAAACTCCATTGAAAGACTCCTAGACATAATAAATAAGTTCAGCAATGTAGCTGGATACAAAGTCAACACTCAAAAATCAATAGCATTTCTATACACTAACAACAAAATCACTGTGAGAGAAATAAGAGAAGCCACATCCTTCACTAGCATCCAAAAACATGAAATACCTTAGGAATTAATCTCATGAAAAAAGTAAAAAAAAAAAAAAAAAAAAAAAAAATCTATACAGGGAAAATTATAATGCCCTGAAAAAGAAATTGAAAAAGATCTCAGAAAATGGAAAGACATCCCTTGTTCATGGATAGCAAGACTAAATATTGTGAAAATGACCATTCTCCCAAAACTGATATACAGATTCAGTGCAAGCCCAATGAAAATACCACTAACATACCTGATAGATCTAGAGAAATCACTCCTAAAATTCATCTGGAACCAGAAGAGACCTCGCAAGCAACTCTAAGCAGCAAAGGCAAGGCAGGAGGCATCACAATCCCTGACTTGAAGTTATACTACAAAGCAACTGGAATAAAATCAACATGGTACTGGAATAAAAACAGATCTGAAGATCAATGGAATGAGAAGAAATAACCACAACTACAAATACACTCAGCCACCTTATCTTTGATAAAGGAGCCAAACACGTTCACTGGAAGAACAACAGTCTCTTTAATGGTGCTGGAAAAACTGGCTCTGATATGCCAAAAACTAAGACTAGACCCATGCCTATCACCATGTACTAAACTAAAATCTAAATGGATCAAAGATCTAAATATTGAAACAGAAACATCAAATCTGTTGGAAGACAAGTTAGGTAAAAATCTTGAAGACATAGGGGTAGGTAGAGAATTCAGGAACAGGAATCAAACTGCACAGGAAATACTTTCCAGAACCAGTAACTGAGATTACGTCTTATTAAACAGTTTCTGCATGTCGAAAGAACTCTCCAGCTAGTGAAACGAAAACCACAAACTGGGAAAAAATCTTAGTGAACTCTCCCTCAGACAAAAGACTTTTGTCTTGAACATATAAAGAATTTTAAAAAATCACACTCCCAAAATTCAAAGACCCAATCCAAATATGGGCATCCGAGATGAATACACAGTTTTCAGATGAAGAAATACAAATGGCAAATAAATACATGAAAAAACATTCATCATCATTACTCATTAGAGAAATGCAAATTAAAACCACACTGAGATTCCATCTCAATCCTGAAAGAAGGGCCAGTATCAAGAAAACTACCAACAACAAATGCTGGAGAGGCTGTGGGGTAAATCAGCTCTTCTGCACTGTTGGTGGGAGCGTAAACTGTTGCAACCATTGTGGAGGTCAGTCTGGAAATTCCTCAGAAACCTAGGATTGGAAGTCCCATTTGACCCAGCTATTCCACTGCTAGGCATATTCCCAGAAGAACTGAAAACATCATACCACAGTGATACATGTGCACCCGTATTTATAGCAGCACAAATTGTAATAGCCAGATCTTGAAAACAACCTAAGTGCCCATCAACTGAGGAATGGATAAAAAAGTTGTGGTATTTTTATACAATGGAGTACTACTCAGCTATAAAGAATGATCACATTGAGACATTTATAAATAAATGGATGCAACTTGCGACCATACTCATAGACGAAATAAATCAAACTCACATCTATAAATACCATATAGTCTCCCTAGTGTAAGTAATGGTAAGAGTACATAAGATTTTACAGTAATCATGGTTTCCCATTACATTGCTTTGAAGCCCTATAATGTTTTCATTCATTAGTTGAAATGGTTTTATTCTGTTTTGTTTGATTTTAGTATGTGGTATGAACAGCTATTTTGAAGAAAACAAGACATTATGGCAGCCATTGCTGATTTAATATCATCTTGCTTTGAAGTCCTACCATGCTTTTGTTCTTCTATTTCCATTGGTTCTATCATGTTGTATCTTACTGGATTTTAATATGTGTGAGAGTATAAATACATTTTTTATGGAAAATGAGATAATACAGTAGCCATTGTCCATTTTTTTATTTGGTTCTGAATGCCCTATAATGCTTTCATTCTCTTGAAAGGCTTTATACTATTGTGTTATGTTTGATATTATTGTATGTGAAGGTATGCCCAACTATTTCAAAGAAAGAGACATTAGGGTAGCTACTGTTTATATCCAGTTGTGAAATACTATGTTGCTTATGTTGTTCTGTTCTAGTCCGCTTTGTTCTGTCCTCTTTTGTCTTAATTTCTTTAAAATAAAATACTATAGAAAATTAGCACTTAGTAATTTTTAAATAAATATTTGCTTTGTAATTTACTTATCGTAAATGTAAAATGATTGAGTTACAATGATCACTCTGCTTTCTTCTGCAGATAGTAGTGGAAGAGTTCCTAGAGGATATAAATAACATCCTGAATTCAGGAGAAGTGCCTAACTTATTTGAAAAGGATGAACTGGAGCAGGTTTTAGCAGCCACCAGGCCAAAAGCAAAAGAAGCCGGGATTTCTGAAGGAAATAGAGATGAGGTAACACACACCAGGATAACTGCATGATTTCTAAAGAAACAGTTGGTCTTTCGTTCAGCCATCCACCAATCCCTTAAGGGATGTAGGCAGAGGGCCTCTAGGCAGATAAGTAGAACTAGGCCGAGGGCCTCTAGTAAAAGCACCCATTGAACCTTAGTAACAAGTGTGAGACTCTTTCAACTTGTTCAATGCAGTCAGACGGTTGTAAACTACAGTACAGAGAAGGTGTGTTTCAAAGTGTGCTGTAAATCATAGACCACAATCAACACGTTAAGATGACATTTTTGTCAGTTTCACTGGAGTTGTGTGATCATGCTGCTTCAGATTCCAGCTCAAGGGCACACAGAAGAGTAAACTTGCGTCTCTCCTCATAGTCCTGAGGCCAGGGTCCTGAGTGGAAATCACCCAGTTCTCCTCACCCAGAAACGATGTCAGGCAGGGGTGACGTCAATCAAGACGCAACATCAAGGTGATGTTGACTGCGTTTTTGACCTTGATGGGATTGTGCAAGCTGAGTTTGTATCCAGAACACCACAATGAACTGTAAATACTGTACAGATTTATGGGAGTGTTTCCAAAATATAATATTGGAGCAGAAAATGGCCTGAGAAATGGGCAGTTTCATTTTCCATCATGACAATGCTCTGTGCCACACATTGCTTCAGCAATGGCAATTTTCTGTCAAATAAAAACAGATTTGGCACCATGCAACTTCTGATTTTTCCCCAAAGTCAAAATGATGTTTTGAGTCAATTCCAGATATCAGGGGCAGCCATGAGAGTACAACTTCAAAAAAAAAAAAGCTACTTGCGAAAAAAGACTTGCAGAATTTCTTCAGGCTAAGCACGTCCCAAGCAAGGGAGAGCATTTTGAGGGTGACTCATGGCAATGTGTCTTTTACTGTAATAATTTTTAATTTAAATATTGACTATACCTTTTGATTATACTATGCACAGACAGCAAGTCCACATAAGCTAATGTGAGCCCACAGGGATTTAGGGGAGGGAAGAATCACTGGGATGGCCACAGAATGAGATAGCAGACTGAACTTTCTGGAATGAAGGCAGAGCACATGCTGTGGAGGTCAGTGGTTAGGCGTGCTGCGGCCTCTGCCACCACCTGCAGAAACCAGAAGCCACTCACCATTCAGCATGCCTGTACTTCAGCTGCCCGCCCCAAAGCTGTGTGCCATTCTCATGTGAGGAAGCAGCTCCAGGGACATATCCAAGCAACAACTGCAAGACAATGCCATTTCCACCAAGCTCTGCACCTGTGATGGAAGCTGGCACCCTGTCCCGCTCATTTACCCCAGAGCCAAACCTAGTTTCAATGTCTGTCTCCACTTTACTCAAACACACTGAAGAGGAGGACCCAAGTCACAGCAAGACCCTAACTGCAATGGAGTCTGCAAAATGTGTTTAATCTTCGCAGACTGCTTGAGAGAAAGGAACAGGAATGGATGTTCCACAAGGCGATTCACATGTCTACTGTGCTAATATTCCTCATGATAATAGTAGTTTCAGATGCATTGCCAGCACCAATTTTCATTGTTGCTTCATCCTGTTTTTTAACTGAAAAATATCTTTCTTTTGGCCAGGTGTTTCAGTACTTTATCAGCAGAGTTCGTCAGAAGCTGCACGTCGTCCTCTGCATGAGCCCGGTCGGCGAGGCCTTCCGGTCCCGATGCCGGATGTTCCCCTCCCTTGTGAACTGTTGCACCATTGACTGGTTTGTCCAGGTTGGTGATTTCCTAAGTGCCTCTGTGAGACGCCGTCCTCGCTTAATTTAACGGTGTACAACATTGTCTGGGAATAACTTACAGGGCTTGTGTTAACGTTAAAAGACTGCTAGGAAATTACTCATGCTGCCATAGAACAAAGACAAAACAATGTACAAAGGAAGAGGAGTCCTTTGAATTTCACAGTGTAGTTGTTACCGGTGACCACAAGAGCTGTTTCACTGGCTGGTGAAGGAGAGGCTTTAAGAGGGAAAGGAGAAGAATGAGAGATGAGGGCTGGGGATTTAGCTCAGCAGCATAAGCACCTGCCTTGCAAGCAGACAGTCGTGAGTTCGATCCTTGGTACCGATAAAAATGAAAAAGACAAAAAAAAAGAATGAGAGATGAGTATAAGTAACTCTTTCAACAGCTTTGCCCAGAGGAAGGCAGAGAATTGGAGATAAAGAGCTAGAAGGGTGTGAGATTGTGACAGAGGTATTTTTAAGTGGGAAAATTAAGCACATGCTGATGAAAATCATCCTGAAAAGGCACATCCATTGATGATGGAGCATGTCGCATTAAGTGTTGAAGGACCAACATCCCTAAGTACATAGTCAAGGATGAGTCTGAGTCATCAGTGAAGGGACTCGACTGACCTGAGCAGGGAGGATGGACAGCTCACCCCTGAAAGGGAGGACAGCAGAGGTGCCGAGTGGCCAGGGAGCAGGGACAGAGCTCATGGAAGTTCTGAGTGCAATGCTTCTACTTTGTCGATGTGAAAAGCAGAAGCTGAGAATGAAGAGGAAGTGTTAGGCATCTGAGGAAGTAAAGCAGGAAGTGAAATACTCAGGAGGGTACAGAACTGACATAGTAGAAAATGTAGAGACCTTTCTGGATGGCTTGAAGAGTTACCTGTTGTGCATTTAAAGCGAGGCCCATCTGCATGACCATGTGATTTTGTCAGCTGCACAGTTGCATCTGACCAAGGTTCTGGTAAGACCAGGAGGGGAGTAAAGAAGTGGAGGTGTGTTCAGGACAGAGATTAGAGTGGTGTGCCCGATGTTCCGACAGTATAATAAATACAGTGAGGACATGAGGTTCCCATAGTGTATATGATTCCATTCATGGGATTCTGCCAATGCCCCATCATTCATTCAGTCCATCAGCACATATTTTTGAGCAACTTCTGTGTTCTTGACATTGTGCTAAAGACCTAGGTCCCCTCCCTCTAATGGATGGGGAGGAAATTCATGTCCTTCATAACTCATATTTAACTTTATTTTAACTCCTAGGATTAGGAGTTATCTAGCTAAAAAGAGGGATCAGACAAGAATAAGGTCCAGAGAAGTACAATGTTCTTAATTATTATCCTGCATGTTATTGAAGTGACCGACAACTTTCTCAGGTAACTTCTTTATTTACAGTGGCCCAGGGAAGCACTGCTTTCTGTGTCCAAGACATTTTTCTCAACTGTCGACCCTGGCAACGAGGAACTGAAAGACAAGCTTTCGCTCATGTGCGTCAATGTCCACCTGAGTGTCTCCCAGATGGCAGAGCGCTATTACGCAGAGCTCCGCCGGAGGTACTACACGACACCCACCTCCTACCTGGAGCTCATCAACCTCTACCTGTCTATGCTAACTGAGAAGAGGAAGCAGTTGGTGTCGGTAAGTTCAGTGTGGTCAACAAGAGCAAGTTATTTGCTTGAACCCAAAACTTCGGGGAAGGAGTAGAAGATCTGAATACCTGTCTTACTCTCCAGAGCCATCTTCCTCCTGACCTGTTGCCTTAGCAACTGACCTAATATTTGCCCACAAAAGGGTCCCGGGCTGTTGCTCCAAGGGCGCCCCCTTCCTATTCCCTTATATCTTCCTTCTAGCATTTGTTTAATGATATGTGGAGTGATACATACGAGTTGAATGATGTAGATATTGCAACAGCATCAAAGTTAAGCAAAGTCGTGGTCATCTCTACCATATTTAATATGGAAGAAAACATCTTGTTAAGTCGTAAAGATGGGTTTTCAGTGCTGTGAGATATGCCATGCTCCACAACCACACACTTTGGTGTCAGCCACACACCTGCAACCTAAGCTCTTTTTGCAGCACACCCTTGAGCATGTTACATAACTTCTGTAAAAGTAGAAAACAAAGTTTAAAAGTATTTATACTTTTAAGGGGTTGCTAAGAAATTGTATTATGGTGTGGCCTCACAATGTGCTAGTTTTAAGTACCTACCTGACTAGATCCAACAAGCACGTCTATAATACAACATAAGCAATGATTTTATTGTAAAATTCACATTGATGGAAAATTAAATTGAATATTCTGTCCATTTCATTTTACCTAAATCTTACCACTTAATTTTGTATCATGTATTTTAATTGCCTATTTAGTGAAAAATAAAGAAATCTATAATTTTAAACTTATTTTTAGCTTAAATTTTCTCATTAAAGACCCCCACACTAAAATGTGCTGCTAACAGCCACATCTCAGGCACCTATATCAAAAATGTTTTGGTTGCTGCTTCATTTTAATGAAATAATCTTTGACCTTGTCACTTTAAAACATCAGTGTCACCGACAGAATTTTCTGTTTCTCACAACAAAATAAAAACAATCATCTCAAAAAATATCTACATGTTTCAGGTTGTTGCAGAATTTAAGTAATGCAATCCTTGAACTACATAAGATATTGAGAACATAATAGCTGCTGTTCTTATTAGCTCCATGGTATTATAATGTATGACCTAAAATTTTCAACTTGTTAAATACAAGTAAAACTGGATGCATTTAACATTTAGATATTCACAATGTTTTTCAGAGAATTTTTACCTCATACAATGCATGTCTTATAACATAACTTGGGAGATAACTTTTAGCCTACCCATTCAAGCCAAGCTTTCAGACTCACCTTCAAAACCCAACTCTTCTCAGTTGTCTCTTTTACCATGCTTGTTCAGAGTTTTTGCCTTCAGAACAGAATTCAGATCCACCACCCAAAGCTAGAAGCCCAGCACTCGGTCTCCTGAGCCATCAGCCCAGCCTGGCCAGTGTACCTGTTGTGAACAACTCCCAGAGCTGTGGCCTCCAGGGATTCTGGTCCGCATTTGTCCCTCACTCGCTCAAATGCCACATGGGAAATAAAAATAATATAGCATGAGCCTCAGTGAGTCACAGTCCAGCAATGCTCCCCAGCTGTAGCCAGGCGGCCTGAATCCAGATGTCTCATGGTACCCAGCATGACCATTTCCTAAAGTGCTGAGACCTGCATCACTTTCACTGCTCAAAGCATCACTCACTGACTTACTGATACTATAGATGTAAAGCTTACCATATGAGTAAAAGATAACTGTGAACTGTGTTTTATAATGCTCATTATATATTGTATTTTTGTTGACATTCAGGCACGAGATCGAGTGAAGAATGGTCTCACCAAGCTATTAGAAACAAATGTACTAGTAGATAAAATGAAGTTAGACCTTTCAGCTTTAGAACCTGTGCTCTTAAAAAAATCACAAGATGTCGAGGCCCTGATGGAAAAATTGGCTGTGGATCAAGAAAGTGCTGATCAGGTACACTACATTACCTGATGGTGGGTGAGAGGGCTATGTCCAGCAGTTGGCCACTCACAAAGAATGCCGCATGTTTGGATTATTTTGTTATGTATGTCATTAAAATAATTAAATGGAGAAAGGGATAGGAGTGTAAAGGGATCAAAAATAATCAAAATATGTTTTATGCATATACCAATTCCCTGAAGTGAACTTTGCTATTTTATATTACGAGCATGCACAAACACAATGATAATGATGATGTGATGGGTTTAGCCAGACTTAGCAATTTAGCAGTGTTTGTAAGCTGTGAGCAATCTCCCTGTATCAACTCAGCCTGGTTCTGTCTTAGAGGAGGGTGCAGCTCAATGAGTGGGACAGAAGCACTGTGGAAGGAGCACTGCCTTGCACAGTAGCTATTCTCCTGAGAAAGAACTGCTTGCTGTGATAATTTTATCTCTGTAATGCTACCAAGATAGTGTGAGATCAAGTAGCATCAAATGAAATCCAGCTACTTCCCTTTCATCGTTGGTCTAATACAAAGGGCAAATATAACTCATTGCCAGCTTTATTTTGAAACATTGAAATGCAAATACAGTTGACTATGCCTGAAATACTTGGAACTGAAAGGGTTTGGGATCTTGGATTTTTCCAGATTTTGAAATGCTTACATGACTATAGTGAAATATCTATGGGGAGAGAGCCAAGTCTATACGCAAAATTCAATTTTGTATAAAATGAAGGTCATTCCAGGCAGTATTTTTAATGTATCTGTGTTTTGATTGTGACTTGCGAGGTCGGGTGGGGAAATTTCCATTTGTGGCATCATGGTGGCACTTAGAAACTTGCAGATTTTGAAGCATTGCAAATTTCAGGCTTTTGGTTTGGGAGCTCAGTCTATAATGAGCCTATTAAAGCAGCTGTGTTTCTATTGGGTAGGTCCGTAATGTTGTGCAAGAAGAAGAAGCAATAGCTAAAGTGAAAGCCGAAGAAACCCAAGCAATAGCTGACGATGCTCAAAGAGATCTTGAGGAAGCTCTGCCCGCACTTGAAGCTGCCAATAGGGCCCTGGATTCTTTAGACAAAGCAGACATATCTGAAATCAGAGTTTTTACAAAGCCACCAGATTTGGTCATGACTGTAATGGAAGCAATCTCCATTCTCCTAAATGCCAAGTGAGTAATTCAGAATCCTATATCACTGGAACATCAAGTGGAATTTCTTTACTCTTCTTTCTCATTTTCATATGGTTTGTGCATTCTTTCCCATAACCTCTCATTAATTTGATAAGACACTAAACATTTTTTTCAGCATCTATTTTATGCTTAATCATCCAGGGGCCTGAGATGTCTGTGGAATGGAGCAGAACTGGGTCTGGGTAGAGGGGCAGAGACAAAATCATGAAAGATCTTGTATGAATACACAAGCAGTTAAGCTTTCCTCTTGAAAACATGTAATTTTCAAACTTTCCTAAGCATCCCCCAGGACCCAGCACCATGGCTGACACCATGGCACAGGCCAGGGGCCTTTGCAGAGCCCGGCCCGGATAGTGACTCCATGAGCAGAGGGAACTGAGAGCCATTAATCGTGTTTTACCCAATCATATTTCTACAATAGAAAGATCAGCATGGGAAAAGTTGCAAAGAGCAAGATTGGCAAAAACAAAGGCCAGTTAGAAATTTATCTTTTGTGGTGCTCTGGCAGGAAGTTTTTTTATGGATCAAAACTAAGCCAAAGGAGATAAAATGTAAGAACCTTGAGTATTTTTGAAATGAAATAATTGTTCCATAATATCTTAAATTCTATAACCCTACTATTTTATAATCTTTCTCTGCCAAATCTGATTTGTATGCTGCCTTCATCATCCAATTCCTCTTCTCATAAATTAATTTTTTATGCATGTAGCTACCAGTTACTGGGATTATGGTACTGAGATTAAAATTTCCCTCCTATTGGGAGAACACAGTATTCTCAGAAACATCTTTCTTTTACTTTGTTTGATTACGATGTTGTTAACTTATCACATCTGTCTTTCAGACCTGATTGGCCAACAGCAAAGCAACTGCTTGGTGACTCTAATTTCCTGAGAAGGCTTTTAGAATATGATAAGGAAAACATAAAGCCTCAGATACTGGCAAAACTTCAAAAATATATTAATAATCCTGACTTCTTGCCTGAAAAAGTAGAAAAAGTATCCAAAGCATGTAAATCTATGTGCATGTGGGTGAGAGCAATGGATCTGTACTCTCGAGTACTCAAGGAAGTCGAACCAAAGAGACAAAAACTTCGTGCAGCACAGGTACGTTATCAATCCTGAGATATTTAATAACATTAAAGGCCATGATTGTTGATCATTAGAGCTGTCTATACAGTGCCACTGATCCTATCCAATATGAATAGTGACAAGGTTTTTGAAAAATATCTTTTGTTTTAAACAATAACTGACAGTTTGGAATTTTTTTCATAAATTTTCTATAAAATCAGCCTTGTTACACTATATAGAAGGAAAATGAGTCCTTATCTTATTCATCTGGGGAAAAGGAAATATGACTTTGTATTTTTGAGGTGGCTGCTACCTCTGCATTTGATTGTCTGTACTGTTCTTCCATTTGCTAAATAAGCCTGCCTCTCAGATCATGTGAGGTTTTTAGAGCCACAGTTAGGTATAAGATTCTCAGTCTTGCCAAGAATGATCATTTAGTAAAGCGAAGAACAAAAAATCCACAGGTATAAAACACAGATACATAAAATTTTTCTAGAAATATCCAGATAATAAATAATTTCATTATTGTGACTCAATTGTCATTATTCTACACACACAAAAATAGTCATTGACAATAACATGAATAAACATGACTATATTCCAAAGTAATTTTATTTCACATTTCCGTGCAAGTATCACAGAACATCACAGAATATTCTTTTGATTTTTTTCCAATCATTGCAATGTCAAAAACAGTCTTAGCCCACAAACTGTAACAAAACCAAGCAAGCTAAACATGGCCTTCAGACATAGTTAACACACCCCTGAGACAATCAACTAGTTAGGAAAATTAGTTTTCACTATCACATGAATATTTTATTTGTTTCATAATCTAAAATAATTATCCTGGTAATTAATTCATCTCAAACACTTAGTACATCTATTTTTCAGTTCCTTTTACAATTCATTTCATTGGGTTTTTTGTTTTTATTTTTGTTCTTGTTTGCTTCTGCTCTTAGATTTTTCCCAAGTTTATAAATGTTTTAACTTTGTGTATTGATTAGTCTTTTTCTGGACACACAAAAGAGAACATAAGTCATATTTTGTTTTAAAAAAATCAATTATAATAAAGGGAAAATTCAGTGTTCTTATTTTTTAAATATTTGCTTGATATTATTAGGCTGAACTTGATATTACAGTTGCCACCCTGAAACAAAAGCAAGCCTTACTAAAACAAGTGGAAGATCAAATACAAGCCTTACAAGATGAATACGACAAAGGTGTAAATGAAAAAGAAAGTCTGGGTAAGTGACTCATACACTTACACTGGGCAGGAAGTGCCTGACTTTCAAAAGTAGGAAGACTTTCCAGCTAATCAAGTCTCAGCCTTTACCTGATATACAGCAAATACTTCTCCTGCTCTTCTTTCGCTATTCTGGTATCGAATGAGAACTGCAGGTATTATATAAATGCCATATCCTGTGTCTGAATAAGCTTTACCAAAGCACATTGCCTTGTAACTCAAAGCAACAGATGGATTTGATCTAGAAAATAAACACAGAGGGACATAGAGACCACTATCTTCAGCCAGAGTAATGTAACATCAAAAAGAGTTCTTGGGGCTGGATGTGGCACTGCGTGCCTGTCATTCCAGTACTCTGAGGCTGAGGCAAGAGGATTTGCAAGTATAAACTCGATCTGGGCAATTTAACAAGATGGGGACTTAGCTCAGCGGCGTAAGTACCTGCCTGGCAAATGCAAGGCTGTGAGTTCAATCCCCAGTTCAAAAAACAAAAAAAAGACTGTCTCAAATTTAAAAAAAAAAAATCAAGGATGAGGGATATAGCTCAATGTAAAGACCCTGGGTTCAATACTCAGTACCAGAGAGAGGTTTTGGAAGCCAGGCATGTGCCTGTAATCCTACTATTTGGGCAGAGGATTAGAAAGTTCAAGTCCCACCTATGCAATTTAGCAAGATTTTTGTCTCCAAATAAAGAACAAACCAACTCATTACATTTTTAAAACTTACAAAAAAGAGAGAGAGAAAGAGAGATCCTCAGAGAAGAGATAAATTTAGCTTGGTTGTAGAGTGGAAAATAATCTGAATAGCAGGCCGTAGACTTTGGGGACGATTCTTAACATGACTTAACATTGTGAAAATGTCTAGCAAAGAAGATGGCCCAGACAAAAGCGCGCCTGTTGCGTGCTGGAAAGCTGACAGCTGCACTGGGAGACGAGCAGGTCCGGTGGGAAGAGAGCATCCAGAAATTCCAGGAGGAAATAGCGAACATCACCGGGAACGTGTTCATAGCCGCGGCCTGCGTGGCTTATTACGGAGCTTTCACAGCCCAGTACAGGCAACTGGTGAGTCACCCGCTTCCAGGAAGAGGGGCAGCAGTGGGGACCGAGGCTGGGGCAGTTTCACCTTCCTGGGTGCAGATGGAGGCTCCCCATACAGCGGTTCACCAGGGAGAAACTTAGTATGCATACTTACATAATTACATAATTATGCATGAATTATACATTTGCATTCATTGTGTATAGGTCCATGTAAGTGTCTATTACCTTATTTTATATTGTGTGCAAATATGTTATATATATTTAATAATCATGCATAATTATATAGAGTACTTTGTTTTCCAGAGCCCTTGGCCTCTCCCGTTGGCCAGGGGTGGTTTATTCCTCAGGTTCCTTAACATCTGCTCCCTTTCCTTGTCCCTTTTTGCAAAGCTTTTCCTCCAGACCCAGGGAGAGGGAAAGGAGACCCTGAGTCCCTGCCCTTGGTGTCAGCAGTGACATGAAAAGTCCATGGGGTGAATGTTACCGAAGGGGTGAGACTTACAGAGGACCAGAATGTGAGGAGGACCAGGACACAGGATGAATCCGTGGTTTCGTGGGCTTTTGTCTTTCTAAAAACTAAAACCTCTCATGTATCAGAAAATAAAGGTTCCATCTTCATACTGTTTCCAGGAAACTAAATGATTGGGAAGGATTTTAGAGTCATTTTTATGAAATGTTTTCCTACAGAATATGTTGCTCTCATCTTGAGTTCTAAATCCCATCATAAGATTCATCAGAGTCCACAAGAGCTCGGGGGTCACCTGGTGCCATGTTGCCAGGGTGGTGTTGGGACAGACAATGTTTTCTTGTGCACTATTCACTGATGTCCCTCCTCTCCCACTGCCACACCTCCATCTACCAATTACTGGTGGCATCTCTGTCATTGTGACACCCCCAGACTTCACATGCTTCCAGACTCCCCTAAGAGGAACAACACACACCTGATTGAAAATTGCTATGACAACCTAGTCACTCACAGGACAGGGCAAGTGGCCTGCTCAAAGTCATAGCTCTGGGTGCAGCCCTAGCACCGTGGCTCCTGACCGAAGGTGCCCTTCTGGTGCCCCATGCTCTATTGCCAGCGTGGCCCAGGAAACTGGTAGGGCCTGGCTCTTCCAGCCACTGGCTTCCTCCTGTCCAACATATTTTGCGAGTGCCCTCCTCTATGAAGTGTTCCTGAGTCTCTATATGCAAACTCTGCTCCTTCTACAGCTAATAGATTGCTGGATCGAGTACTGCCAGCAGCTGGAGGTCCCAATCGACCCTTCCTTCAGTCTCATTAACATTCTTGGAGATCCCTATGAAATACGGCAGTGGAACGCAGATGGGCTGCCGCGGGACCTGATCTCGACAGAAAACGGCATTCTGGTTACGCAGGGGAGACGGTGGCCTTTGATGATCGATCCCCAAGACCAGGTATGCACCTCTGACAAAGAGCAGTGATTAGCTCTGCTCAATATTGACTATTAAAAACTGTAAAAGTGGACTTAGCATACCTGGAAGATCATGGAGATGTAGACTCAGGAGATAAGAAGCTTTCTAGTCTGAGTCCCTTATTGTGTGGCTATCGCAAGTAAGAAGAGATGTGTTTCCATGCTCTCCATATTTGATTTTGACTGGTATTGTTTGGGGAGTTGACTGTTGGTTTTTCTCTTTGTGTGGTGGCAGAAATTAATTCCAGCAGAGTGCTCATTCCCAAAAGGTCTAGGAGGCAGAATAGAGTCAAAGCATGATAGAAATTAGGGGAAACCTGCTGGAATTCACAGAACCCCATTGCCTGGCTCCCCAAATTCACAGATCAGATTATGTAAAACAGGGACAGACAAGGGGAGCCCTTATGAAAGCCAGGGAGACAAACCTGAGTACCTTAAGCACGGACTTTGCCCCGATGACTTTTTCTGCATTTATTGTAAATTTAAACCACATGGAGAATGCCAAATGTTGAGCTTAAAAGATGTTGTCACTGAATAGAGATTTGATTTTGTCTGTCTCCATTCTGTTTCTACACTGAAAAAAATGGTTAAACTTTCTCTAAAACTTTCACTTCCTACCCCTTTATCATATTCCCAGGCAAATGCCCTGCTCTGTGATTTCTCATACAGGCAAACCGATGGATAAGGAACAAGGAAAGCAAAAATGGTTTAAAGGTCATTAAGCTTACAGATCGTAATTTCTTACGAACTCTTGAAAATTCCGTCCGACTTGGTTTACCTGTCCTACTGGAAGAGGTTTGCTTTTGGTTTTCTTTTTTCATGTTAGTTCTTATCTTTCAGATCATAGCCAGTGACAGACATGGCCTGTGTCATGCTATAAACATAGTCAACTCCATTGTCAAATTAAACCAGTTGTTTTGCTTCTTAAACAGTGCATTCTTATATGGGGAGGAACCTGTTAATTAAACAAATTTTCCCCTTTCTGAATTGTTTTAGAGGGATGGCCTCTGCTATCCGACACCACTGACTTGCAGGACCAATGTTGGGGCTTAAAGGTTAGAAAATTCAAAGTAGTAGTGTACTCGTGATGTAAAGCCATAAAACAATCCTGATGATGGAAACATTATTTTCTTCTGGGCCATACAGTCAGCGTTAGATCAAGTGATGGCTGGTAAGAATGAACTTGTGTTTACAAGTCAGACCAGAATGTTAAACCAGAATGTTTCTCTTATGTGAGAAACCTAAAATATAAACAAACGAGTGGAACAAAAGAGAATGGCAGGAAACAGGAAGGCAGACTTTTCAGAAATGGAGAAAGGGAATTAGGGGATGGGGCAACCAGAGAGAAAGAATAAAAGGATCCGAGATCAAGATATGCTATAAACATGTACCAGCTCTCCAAAATGAACATAACTATTATGCATTGAAGACATACACTGATTTTTAAAAAGAAAAATGTGAACTTGTGCTATAATGTGAGCTAAGATTAATAATATCAACAAGAGTGAAAATTGGGGTAAGGGAACTAGAGGGGAGAAAGGATTTTTTAAAAAATAGAAACAGACTGTAATATGTGCATGTAATCATCTCCCAAGATGATTGCAACTCCATGTACTGCAATCATGCAGCATTATAATAAAATTTTTAAAAACTCCCCAGATGAAAAAATAAAAAAGAGTGAACTTGTACTTAAAAAGAGTCAGAGGGGCATTGTGGAGTCTCCATGCTCCTTTCTTCAAAAACCACTCCACGAATGATCTTTTTCCACATTGTATCCGTCAATCAAGAAACACTTGAAAATAAATGACAAACAATACTAAATGTGCTTTTGGTCCTTGATAGTTTAAGTCTAGTTGGGGGGAGAGATGGTAAACAGAGAGAGAGGAAATAAAAGGAGGAAGAGCTCTTTGTGATGAGGACTTTGAAGGAATAACCAGGGTTTAGAGATGGCCAGAAGGGACAGATGGGAGCCTAACTTAGCCAAGTGGCTGCAGGAGGTGCAGCGAGGCTGTGACCTCTGTGGTCATTTTCCCCACGCGAAGACCCAGCAAGAAGGGCTCCCAGGCAAAGGGATCCGCATGCCCAAAAGCCATGGGCAATGCGTGTGGTGCCAACGTGTACTAACATTTTTTAAGCCATGAGCACAGAAGACCTTGGTTAATAACTGTCTTTATTTCACTAATTTACCCTTCTATTTTTATAAGAGGAGAAAGTGAACAAAAGCATGAGCTGTGAGCCATCGAACCATGCCTAAAAATATCTCTGCTTCAGCAGAAATGACCAGTGACCTGAGGCAGCTCAGCCACAGCCCTCGTGTGGTAACCTGGAATCATAAATAATCTGTTAGCATTCAGTAGCATTTGCTGACTGTTAACTACAGCCCAGACCTGGTCCTCGGTATTTTAACCCATTCACCTTCACTTCGGCCTTAGAAGGTGGTCACTGTTATCCCTTTTTATCCTTTAAGGAAAATGAGGCACAAAAGTATATGCCTCATCTGAGAGGCCTTGCCTGCCAGAAAACCCACAGCATGCAGCACACTGCCACGCAAACCACCCAGAGCACAAGGGGTCCCAGTACAGCCGAGCTTTGGCTTTGACCAATGGAAGATGCTATAATGGATCCCAGGTGCTCCCTTCGAGCCCTGAAGCAGTATGAAGGAGGTCTCCAGGCATAGCCCCAAGCTGGAGTCTGAGACCCAAGTTTACTGCATGACACAGAGGTCCTGAGGGGCTCTCTTCTCCCGTGGTATTTGGAAGAAATCTTCTATAATGCCCACTCCAGCCAATGAGCAGAGAGCCTTTGAAGTGTAGCAGAGTCTTCTAGGCAATCAGGACCCCATCCAGGAACAGGATGCCCCAGCTGGGCCTTCCCTACAGCCTGGGATTTGGGGTCATTAGCATCACCAACCCAGCTGCCTTCTACCTTGGCCAGAGTGGTATTTTCAGACTTTGACTCCATGCATTCATGGTACAAAACTAACTCAAGCAGCATTTACTAATGAAATAGAACTTCAAAAACACAAAATTATATCACAGATAAGGATAAATTCCCTGTCCAGAACCTGATATAAGAATGTTCCTGCAGGGTCTTAGGCAGTAACGCAAACCCAAGTTTTAACCAACAGGCATGTTGGCTTTGAGGGAGTGAAATAAGTGTCATATAGAATAGGGGCCCACAAACTTTTCCTGTCATGAGTCATACAATAAGCATTTCAGCTTTTGCAGTTCTCTACGGTTTTGATTTGGTTTTAGTTTGTTTTTATAGTCATTTAAAATGGTAAAACTGTTCTTAGTTCAAAAGTCATACAAAAACAATCCACAGGGGCCCATATTGGATGTAGGCATCCTGTACATAGGATGTAGTTTGCCAGCCTCTGACTGAATAACTCTCAAATGGGTGTATTTCACTTGTCTGGGGACTGCTGAGATTTTAGTCAGCCTAGAGTGACTAACAGACCCAACGTCTTTTTTCAGTTGTCAGGGCCATGTAGAGTGTATCAGACTTGCCTAAATGAATTCTCAGCCTGAATGAGCTTTTATCTCCTTAGACTACCAATGAAAGAATCACTAGAATATATGCACTGTTAGTGTGAAAATATTAAAAATACAGTATCACTGGAAAAATTGTTCAAAGTAAATTTTGAGGCCCTTTAAGAAACTGTGACAAGCTAATACCATTCATGCAATTGCTTAGACTTTTGATGACTTTGTTTGATTGTTTGTTTGTTGCATTATTTTGTTTTGTTCCCGTTTTTAAGCTCAGGGAAACCCTGGACCCAGCTCTGGAACCCATTCTTTTGAAACAAATCTTCATCAGCGGCGGACGAGTACTCATTCACCTTGGAGACTCAGACATTGACTACGACAAAAACTTCAGGTTCTACATGACAACCAAAATGTCAAACCCCCACTACCTGCCTGAGGTATGGGCTGCCCACTGGAATTTGCAGCCTCACAGTATGACTACATGTGACATGTCTCTAAGCTGTGGTGGGGTCCCGCTGGGGGAAACAGCTAACAACTTCTCCCCTTCTCCCTCTTCCCTCTGTAACACTTCTTTCCAAGATTCTCCTCTGGCTTTGCATCTGAGTCCTGATTCTGATTCCAGTTGCCTTTCACTTCCCACCAGCTGGGACTCAAGCCACTCTTCACCGCTCTATCCCCAGGCTAATCTCCAAGCTGCTAGCACTGGGCACCCTGAATCTCCCTCCTGGTCCATCCTCTAACCAAGCTGCCGCTCCCTTCTAATCACTCTCCTCCCTCCTCCAGCAAAGACTATGGGAAAGTACAATGAGCTGGGCTAGGCCTGAAAGCACCTCAGCAATATGCAGAAAGACCATGCTGCATGGTGCAATTGAGGCAGCGTTTAATATTTAGGGGGCTGGTGCTTCAGCTCTGATGTGCAAACTCTTCTGCCCTGGGAAGTCATAGCCTCTTATTTCAAGGCTTGAACCCAGCTGACAGCCCTGGAGCTACGGCTCTTCATCCAACTGACTCAGCCATGTTTTTGAGAGTCCTGGGCAGGCAGGAGCTTCAAAGATTACGTATCAGCACCTCAGCTAACCCCACTCGTTGCTTAGAGCCAATCGTAGGGAAAGGGATATAGCCTCGCCAGCTCTGTATGAATCAGTACAAGGACATAGGGTCAAGTTTGTCAAAATGGAGGTAATTGTCCTTTGTTCAAGAAAAATCGTCCAGGTGGTCCTCCACAAAAGACTACTTTTTACCTCTATGTTGTGACTGATGAATAAATCAGGGCTTAATTGAGAGTCTGTAGCATTGGGGGCCCATAGCACACACCTCCAAATAAAATAGTCATTTACTTGAAACGTCTGGTGACTGACAACAATCAAGAATCATGAGCAGTGACATCAAGTGGGGAGGGCTGGCAGCATCCTGCCCTTTTCCTCCTGCTCTTGGACTCCAAGGGAAGTCACATAACCCCTACTTCCATGTGCACCCCTAAGCCACTACAGGGCCCGGAAGATCCGCTGTCCTCAGGCTGCAGAGCTGATGGTAGCAGAGTTGAGGCAAAGACAGCTGTGACCACTTTCTCTGCAGCACAGGCTCCACCCCTCTGTGGGTGGGGACCCCAGCGGTAGACACATCTGCAGGGCTTCCTAGGGCAAGGACTTCACATCAGGTGCCCTCTGCGAAAAATCCTTGAATACATCATTCCAAAGAGCATCACTTTTTTTAACTTTAGACCCGGAACCTCTCATAGCAGTCTGTCCTCCCTGGATTGTGTTCAGGTTGAGTGAACTTGACACCCTTCTTAATTAATGTGTGAAAAACATCGTTAAAATCTTATGTTGGGGTTTTCCTTGTCAAGCCTTGAGGAGCTTAATTACGCAGCCAGGGCTCACATCAGAGCTTAGAAGAGTGACCAGTGTGCCAGCTCACAGTCTTTGATCTGTCTGTCCTTCGTTTAACTTTGGGGAGAAAGTACTGAACCAAAACATGTGACTCTGTGACCAGTGCTCCATCACCATGCTCCTCAAGTCAGTCAGCTCTAAAGTGGGGGTAAAGCCAACGCCAGGGGTCTGTAACACAAAATGCTCTTAAATTTATTGGGCTTTGCTATATGACTTATTCAAGTGATATCAGAATATGATGTTGGTGTAGTAGCAATTTTCCATGTGAAACTTACAATAAGGTTGAATATGTAAAACCCTATTACCAATAATAGCTTCTTTTTAACAAAGACATACTGTCTCCAAGTCACTATGACTTAATTACCTTAAGTAATTTTTTATTATCTCAGTTAGTCTTCATAATTATCTTCTGAATTGTTACTATTATTATTCCAGTGTTTAAATATCAGGAGCTAAACCTCAGCACACTGACTGGCTTGTCAAACGTCAGACACACACGAAAGGCCCAGGCTGTGGATTCTAAGATAGTCTCAAACCCTTTTCTGGGTCATCTTTCTTTAAAACATCTGAAGGATTTCTGTAACTGCAGGGGTTGAGGAGCAAGACTGCCGCTCATCTTGGCAGGGAAAATCATATTGTGAAGTCACACTGTGCTCACGGTGTCGGGGTGGGGTAGGGTGGGTGTACGCACAGTAGGACTCGAGATGGATCTGTCTGGGTAACAGCAAATCGTGTTCTCATAGAGAAAGCACTCACTGTTGTAAGCAGGCTGCCCTGTGCTTCTCTTCCAGGTGTGCATTAAAGTCACCATCATCAACTTCACCGTAACCAAGTCAGGACTGGAGGATCAGTTGTTAAGGTAAAAAAGGAATGTGGGAGCAGGGGAGGCCACGGTTTATTACTATTCTGTTTAGAAATTTAGATGAAGAAAAACTTCAGTGTATAAAAGCATCACAAATGACTCAATGCAAAAAGGTAAAAATAAATAGCCAAGCTAGGCACCAATGTCACTGTTGCTTGCAGCCACTTGTTGGACCCATGGTCCTCTCAAGAAGGAACTCGGGGACTTCCCTGAATGCCCACCAGCCGCAGGGCCAGGCTGGCAGCGGGCCCTCTTCCCTCACTAGGATTTCCCAGCTCGGCAAGCAAACTCCCAGGAAGTCACTGCTCCTCCACATCAGTGAGGAAAGCAGTCCCTCTGACGTCCTATCTCCCGCTTCACTGGCCTTGAGGGCTCTTTTTTTAAATTTACTTAGTTGTGCTTAAGTTTATCTACCTCTCAAAAATAAATATCCTCCCTTGGTATATTCTGTAGGTGACTAAGTTCACGTTTCTCAAAAACAAGATCATGTATTGTTAATATTAATCATCAGAATTAGCCAAAAAGTTCAGGTGGTAAAATTCTTAGTATTTATTAAAATAATGATGTTGATTAAACTAATTATATATACTTAATAGACAGTCATATATCACCTAATGATGAGGTGATACATTCTGAGAACTGTCATTAGGCAGTTTCTTTGTGTGAAAATCACAGTGTCATTACACAAAGACAGCTACATCACTATAATAATCTGAGAGGACCACTGTGGCATAGGCAGCAATCTGTGACTATATTTAGTCAATATACATGAACACATGCATATGTGAACATATGTGTGTAAGTATCATTAACTCTAAAAGAAAATATCCTTTGGACCCATTTTCAGAAAAATATACTTTGGGCTGTAGACATAGCTAAGAAGAAGAAGAAGAAAGTACCTAGCTAGAGAAAGGAGAGACATACATATGCATACACAGAGATGTGTATGCATGCATCTCTATGTACATGTACATATGTTTAAGCAAGATCATCCAGACTCACCCTCGCTATCACTAATGGCTTATGACTTCATTTCCTCATTTGTTTTAGGTATTACTGGCTGCTAACCTAACTCCCACTAGGTTAATTCCTTTCCGATTAGGGGGTGTTTTGACACATTCTAAAGGCCTGACTGAGCGTTTGGCACACCAGTTGATTCCCGTGAAGAGCTATGCTTGGCTGTGTCACCCTGCCTGGGCCAGGAAAGAGAAGTACCAAGGAGAACAGTGCTGAGATCAGTTGGGAAGTGCAGCAGCTCCCTGCTCTCGCCCTGACTGATGCATCTGAGGTGTGGCTCGGTCACACGGGCTGGCATCAGCTCTCTCAGTGCCCCCCTCTCTGCTGAGCCCCTGGGCGGGCAGGCAGCAGCCATGTACTCAATGGTTCCTTGCAATTCCTCCAGGATCCTCCTCGTTCTTGAACACCTCCCAGCCCCTGGAGACTGCCAACCACGACTCCTCAGTCCTCCTGTGGTTGGACCAGTCAGTGCCCTTCTCAGCTCTGAGGAATCCTATTAAGCCACCGTTCTACTTCCAGAAACTCTAACCCTTCCTCGGCTTTCTGGGCAATCTTTCTTGATTGCTAACTTTCCTCATTTGGTTTATGCTTCTCCCGAGCTGTTTCCTGAGCTCACCTTTATTATAAAGATTCTTGAAACCTCTCCTCTGAAGGAGTTAAGTGCACAGTTTAATTGAAGATGATTTCTTCAATTAAATTGTGTACTTGTATAAATAAAACAATTTCTTATAGTCTCATAACAATTTTAAGGTGTCTGCATTCGGCATGTGCATAACAAATAAATCATGAATTGTTGTGTCAGACAGCACATCGTGGTATACTGTATGGCTCTGGAGCCAGCTGACGGGGTGCTAGCCTAGCTGTTTTTCATGTCTGTGCCTCCCCAGGAGTGACCCACTACTGAGGCTAGCACCACAGAGTCCACCTCACAGAAGCCTTTAAAGAATTAAAGGAAATAATCCTAGCAAAGCTCTTAGCGGGGGGTGCAGCAGAGGTGAGGGTAACAAAGATGACCACACGGAAGGCCAGGAGCAGATCAGCAAAGCACAGCAGAAATCAGCTTAGGCTCACATCCCTAGATGTGGTCGGCCTGATTTAGATGCACTCAGAAATTGTTCCATGAACAAAGAGCCTCTGCAGAAAAACTTTAGGGCACTGACAGAGAAGGAATGCAGGTATGTCACTTTGGTTCCAGTGATGTGGTGCGCCTGGAAAGACCAGAGTTGGAAGAACAAAGAGTTCAGCTCATCGTCAGGATCAACAGCGATAAAAACCAGTTGAAAGCCATCGAAGAGAAAATCCTAAAAATGCTCTTCACATCTGAAGGAAATATTTTAGACAACGAAGAACTCATTGACACACTCCAGGAGTCCAAGGCAAGTGAAATATTTTTAGTGTTATAGAAAGTGCATTATTACAGTCTTTGAGGGTCCTGTAAGGGTTTTAAAGCAAGAATGAGGATCACCATAAGCCACAGGAGGCTCACACAGGCAGAGTGCCTGGCTGCCGGGCTACTCACCCACAGAGAAACTGTAGACAAACAGCTCCTCTGTCTTCTCTGCACGTTTAAAAAAGCATATAATAAATATAAGGCCTAGAACAGGACGTAAGTTGAAAGAAACAAACACACTTATAAGATTATAAGTGCGTCCCTGGTACTCCCAGCTGAAATGACTTTTCTCCTCTTGGAGTTGCACTCAAGCCTTATCCAACCCTCGATTACAGCACTTGTCACCGTTTACCTTGTGTCACAGGTACCCAGTTACCTGTCTCATCACTTCTGTCAGTGGCTAGGTTCAATGCAGTGGTAATCCAGAAGCACCTCATCTGGGCTTTCCTTCTCCAAGGGTTAAGCATGGTGGTTACACCGCTGGTGTTAAATAAAAATGTGCTAATAGCATGGTGAGATTTTACAGTAAGTGCATAATACTTTAGTGAGTCCTTCCTCAGATTTAAACCATTATTTAAGAAGCGACGGGGAATATAAGGGCTGGGGTTGTAGCTCAGTAGCAGAGCACTCACCTAGCAAGCTTAAGGTCCAAAATTCAACCCCCCACACCACAAGAAGTAGAAAGAATATACAAGGAACCTATAAAACTAGTTCTTACCATTCATGAGAAACAAAATGTTTATCAAAAAAATCCCTTTGACTTTACTAGACAAGGGGCACATTAGGTTATATTTTCTGTTTTTCGTTGATGTCAAAAACGTACTCTTTACATCCTAAGGTCTGTTAAGAACCTAGTATTGAAACAACAGTTAGCAGTAGCTCGGGTTTTCACATTTCCTCCCTCTCTCTCTCCCTCTGCGTGTCCATTGATCTCTTTATCCTCCTGTCAGCCATTCTTCCCTGGATTCTTAATTTCTGCCAATTGGTTGATAACCATTTGTTTTCATTTTTTAGCCAAATTTTTACATGCAGACTGTTTGAAGAATGTAAGCTTTTTCTGAGGTTTGTTATGACAACATTACTGTCCTATCAGCACGTACAGCCATGACTCACTTGCATGTTACACATTGACTCTTGCCTTTACCACAAACACCCCGTACGTACACACACACCCTTCCCATCCCCAAGCCGGAGTTACACACTGAACACAGCTAACAGCCTTCCCATCGCTGCGGGCCTGTGGGAGCTGGGCATGTAGGGGTCCACAAGTTCACCTAATTGCTCTTTCAGTCTGGTACCTCCGCCTGGCTTCCTTCCATTGCAGAAACACTTTCTTTTACTTTCTCCAGAGGAGGAATCCTGAATTGCTTGTAGGAAAAGACAATCTCTTGGCTGAGTGTTGTGGAACAGAAAACCTGGAGGTCTTGTAACCGATTCTTAGGCTCTTCCCACGTTCAGTGGCAGCTGTCACCGCTAACTACTATCCCTTTGATGGTGATTCTGCTTCAGAAATTGGATGAGTTCCTGACTTTCCCCTGGTTCCAGTTTAAGAACCCGTTTTCTTGGTCTGTTCACTGTGATCGCTCTTCTGTCTGCTCTCCAGCTCCTGACGTTTCATTGTTTATGTTCTCCCATTCCTCCCGTCTTTGGAATCTACAGTTTTTCAAACTCTGTATTTCTGTTGGGAAGGACTGGTCTAGACAGAAGCTTAGTGATTCCCAAGGCTGTTCCTTCCATGGTGCAAATTGTGAGCAGACAGTTCATATAGTGATTTTTCATGATTCCCCACCACCACCAAATTCTTTGACTTTTAGAGACAAATATCTCCCAGCCTGAGGATATGCACAGCTGAAGATCGGTAGGCAAGAGAGGCAGACAGCAATACAAAGGCACAGAGAGGGAAACCTTGGAAAGCCCCAGAGCCACAAACCCAAAACACAAAAAATAACAGAAAAATATCAGATCTTAAAAATGTCTCCAGTTCACGTTGGTTTATAGTTTACCAAACATCAGCTTGGGATGCTAGGTAAGAAGCAAAAGTATCAGTCATGTTTGTTATTCAAGGCAGGATGGAGACCACTTCCGGCCTCTCTCTGTCCACGCTGATGGGCATCTCCCAGGGTACTTCTGCTCCCTTCATGTCTTTTCCGTCATTTTTCCATCATGCATGCCCTGAAATGCTCTCGAGGAAGTTAGAAAGCGACTAGGAGAGCTTGGGCAGTGCTTTCCTCTCTGAAATAACACAGATTTGAGTGTCAGAGAAGTCCTGCTGCCATCTTTTCAGGCTACTTAAACTGCCCATTTCCCTTTGCCCTTTCCTAACTCTGATGAGTCAGAAGGAAAGTCACCAGTGCTGAGACTCGGTCACTGTCCATGGCGGGAGCTTTACTATAACACTAACTCAGTCCATCCTCACTGGTTTCTGGACATGACTGGACATAGCCCAGATTTGTCACTACTTTCCTGAAACACATCCTTAAGAACTTGTTGTGTGTTTATTCAGATTACTTCTGGTGCCATTAAAGTCAGGCTGAAAGAAGCAGAGTCCACAGAGCAGATGATCAATGTCGCCCGCGAGAAATATCGCCCGGTGGCCACTCAAGGCTCTGTTATGTACTTCGTCATCGCAAGCCTCTCGGAAATGGACCCTATGTATCAGTATTCATTAAAATATTTTAAACAGGTAAGCATGTTGTTGCTGCTGCTGCTGCTAATGAAATTCATCTCTACAGCTTCCATTTAAACCCTGCCTCAGACAAGCGCCGAGTGTGGTTATTAAGGAAAACCCTCCCCAGGAGCCTGGGCCCAGGCGCATGGTTCAGAGTCACCCACCAGGTCTCCTGAAGGCTCCGTGCAGAGCTCTGCGGAGGAAGAGCAGAAAGCTGCTTCTCATTTCCTCGGCTTCCTCAGCTAACTTGCCCGCCTGCTGCCTTCTCGCCTGCCTAGCTTCTGTTCCGAATCTCAGCTCAGCCCTGTTTCTTCCTCAGTCCTCTTCCCTGTTAGTATTTCCTTGTGTGGTCCCCTCAGGCCTTGGGCAGCAGCACCCTGTTAATCAAGTCAGTGTGTATCTCTGTTTATTTTTCCCAGCATGTTGTATGCGGCAGCCTGTGCCTCCTTCCCTCCACCTTTAACTCAGAGGAACCGCCTTCCTTTGTTCCTTCCCCATTCCCTGGATGCCTGGGAGACTTCCTTGTTTTATTTTGGTCTGTCTTCCGCATCTTGTAGTCACTGTTGAATTCCATCTGATCTCTAGTGCACAGGAGGTCTCATGGGTCTTCCTCTTTGCAGCAGGGCTCCAGTGTCTACCAAGAGCAAATTCGCTGTCACAAAGCAAAGTTTGCAAGCTCAGTTGCACAGCAGCACTTACCAGGCATCCCCAGATCCCCCAGCTGTACCCCCTCATTCACCCCCAGTTACTCTCAGATGCCAGTGGCCTCCTCCCTCCAGCTCACCCCACACACACATTCCTGGCTCAGGCTTGCCACTGCCTGGATATGTTGCCCCATTTGTTAAGAAAATAAATTTTACCATGTATATTCAAGATAGGCAACATGTTAAGGAATACACATAGGTAGTTTAAAAAAAGAGATTACCGTAATGAAGCAAATTAACATATCCATCATCTCACATTATTTTTTACGGCAAAAGCAGTTGAAATCTACTCATTCACATGAGTTGCATACGCCATTGGCATTAGATCTCTAGACTTGTCACCCGCATATCTGCTACTGTGTCCCCCCAGCTTGCTCTCCCCTGCCCTCTCTCACCATGCTTTTTGTACCCTTTTCGGTGGAGCAACTTAACTTGCTCTCATCTTTCTAATCTTCTGTGTGCATAATTGTGACACAAAGCAACAAAAGCCTCTCTGCATGTCACTCTTCAGGGGAAGCAGTGGAGAGCTGTGGAATCTGTTCTTTCCCCGCAGTGCATCTCTGTACACAGCTGCCTCCCACACCCGGAAGCCAGGCCAGCCAAGACCTCATGTTTTCCGACCATTCTGCTGACCCAGGGCTTTCGTGGAATTTCAGTGGCTGCTCATTGACACTGTTTAGACGCCATAGCCCAGACTTCAAAGCCACCTGCAGCCTGTCCCTGTTTTATCTCTCCAGCCCTGTCTCTTCTCCCCTTCTCTCTGCATCAGCCAGTTGATCCATTTGCATTCCCTGCAATACTAGATGCTCTTGTATTTATGGCCCTCCCTCTGTTCAGATGCCTGCCCTCCCGGCCTGAATGCCTCCTTTCCCAGCACAGCCTATCTAGAGCTGCACACACTAGGAAGTGATGAGGCCAGACATCAGAGATGGATCACTCACATAGCTGGGCTGTTGACCACACTGACCTCTCCATGTGACTTTGCCTTCTCACTTCCAGAAAGCTGGGTTCCAAGATGGTATCTCCCTATAGTTAGTGTGCAAAGAAGGTGAGGTGACGCCTGCACCTAGCCCTGAAGGCCGTGCTGTAGCATTTCTGCTGTGGTCTGCTCACTCCTCTGCTGGGCCAAGCACCGTCAGTGGTAGAGGGAGGATCTCGACTTCACCTCTCAGTAAAGGAAGTCAGACACTTGAGCACCTCTGACACACCTCTGATCACACTTGCCCATCTTGTCTTGGGCAGTCAGGGTCTCCCTCCGCTGCAGTCTGACCTCCCAGAAAGCAAGACTAAAGCCTCCCCCATCCCAGAGTCCCCCAGGGGGCTTAGCACCCTGCAGCACTTCCTGCTTGCTTAGGGTTAGGGTTAGGGTTAGGGTTAGGAGAGTTGGTGGCTTAGATGGGCGGGGCTCTCTTTCAGTGTGTGCACTTCTTTAACAGCCTCCCCAAGCCATCCCTACCGGGGTCAAACCTCAATTCCTGTCGGCAAAGATTTGTGTTCTCAGATCTCTTTCCTCCTTCAAGTGGCAGTAATAAAGGGAAGTAAAGCAAGAATTAGCGAATCCCTTAATGCCACCAAAATGACTGATATCTTTCTTACCCTGGGTGTTGTAGAATGCATGCTTTTCAAGCTTTTAAAATCTTCTTCAAGAAATAAAAGTGGAGCCACTCTAAAAATATCACAGCCTGAGAGATAAAGGAGATGCAAGATGAATCATCAAAATCCAAGAAGTTTTATGGTTTGGAAGGAAAACCAGAAACCCAAAACAGATTTGTATCTGTCATCACTGGGTTTTAACCTCTATGCATCTGGTCAGGTTACTAAAGAAAGCTCAGTCCTGTTTAGAGTGTGTTCAGATAACAACCGTGTTGCCCCGTTGGCCAAATCTTCTGCAGGATGAACAAGAACATTTCCGATTCTCTACAATAATTGTGCACTTTCTCCAAGCCCTTTTTATTTTGGGGAATGGAGACCGGCTAGGTGGGTGGAAGCTACCATGCTACTCTTCCCATAGTGCTCCACCCATCACCTTAGCAGAGGGGTGGGGAAAAGAGAGGCTGGCCAATTGCAGATCAGTGTGCTCAGGGAGAAGTAATGTTCTTGGCCCTGCTCTGCCTTGGTGCTCAGCCGGCTTCCAGTTTCCAGTCTATGTGGATCTGTGTGAGCCCCCTATAAGTAACAGGAATTCAGCAGCCACTGTCTCACCTCAGGCTGTGGATCCTGACACTGCGGCCAAATCTCCCCCAGACCCTGAAGGAACTTCCCTGGAGTTTTCCCCTGCAAGACCCCTTTAACCCATGACTTCCAGCCAGACTCACGAGTTCATGCTCTGCTTAACTTCCTCACACAGCTAGAGGCCTTGAGAATATGGAGTCTTCCTTTATTGCACCCCAACAGTAAAGCAAATGGACAGAACCACTTCTGACCCTCCCGTGCCAAACCCCGCAAGGCCATCACCTCTGCTGTCTTCCTAGGGCCTTTGTAATGTGGGAGGACTTTAGGAGTCTGCTTTCCGTTTTCCAGATAGTAAATAGTGCACAAGTCTTCTTTAAGATCTATTTCTGTTATATTTCAAAACAAATTCTAGCAGATTCTTTCCATATCCTATCTTGAAATGTGCTAAGAAGGATGCATGACCTCACCTTACCCTTACAGTCCTTACTCAAAAATGAATTTAATCAAATCTCAGTTAAGAGGATTTAAAAAAAAAGAAAAAGAAAAAAACTGGTCCTGCCGGCTTACCTCAACTTTCCAGTTTGCTGCCTCACATCAAGGTAATGCAGCATTTTGAACATTTGCCTAAACATGGGAAAGGAAAAGGAATGCAGAAAATAAATGTCACATATCAACTTGGGATGAATTCTAGATTTTTTTTCATACAGCAGTATTCGCCTCCTGTGCTGTTATTTGCTCACTGAATATGGGGTGGGGAGGGAGAGGAGGAACGGGGACTTACTTTCTTCATAGCAAATTAAACCGGAGATATTCTCTCTTGCATGCAGTTGTTCAATACAACAATCGAAACTTCTGTGAAGACAGATGATCTACAGCACCGCCTGCAAATACTGCTGGAGCAAACCCTGCTAAACGCCTACGTCAACATCTCAAGGGGACTTTTTGAACAACATAAACTCATCTACAGCTTTATGCTCTGTGTCGAGATCATGCGGCAGCAAGGCTCCCTAACCGAAGCCGAGTGGAATTTCTTCCTTCGAGGTTCTGCGGGAATGGAAAAGGTACCTGTCCTGCATCTGGGGTTGAATGATATTCCAAGCAGAGCCCGCGCACACCTCCCAGGGCTCCAAGGTGACAGTGGTGGCTGGAGGTTACACAGCTGGCCATGTGGTCTGCTGTGACTCAGGACACCCAGGCTGTGGCGTAGCTCTGTCCCCAGGTGGCTGTGTGGCTTGGGGAACACTTTCCCTTTCACACATCAGTATGCTCACCTGCAGCAAAGGGTGTCGGGGTGACCAGTGAGCTAGTGCATGTGAATGTGTTTTTAAAAATTCACTGGCTCAGACTGGGGATGCAGCTCAGCAGCACAGCACCTGCCTGGCAAGCTCGAGGCCCTGAGTTCAATTCCTGGTACTAAAAAAAAAAGGTAACTCGCTTACAAGTGAAAAGAGTTAAGATCCAGTAAAATATGGACTGCACAGATGTACCAGTACTATTTGTGAAATCCCAACCTGCCCTCCCTGGAGACTCTCTCACTAGAAATACATATCAACTTGATTAGTATTTCCTGTGATGCTGAAATACAAACTGTTCCCCAGTGCTCTCCTTGGTGCTATCCCTTTGTCTAATAGTTCCAGCCCCTGAAATGGCCTGATCTGCCCACAAACTTAGTATCCCCCACAGGTGAGTCCCTAGCTCTTCCCAGTGGAGTTGGAGCCTCAGGGTAACGCTGGGAGTTTGGACTAGATGTTTTTATTTGACTTCTCAGCTTGTTCTGCTCCCCAAGCAAGCCCAGGCAATGCCTCTCCCCCAGCAGCTCTGTCCTCCTCTACTCCCGCCCATCTTGCATATGGGCATTCCTGTTAACCCTTTCTTTCTTTCAATTTTCATTTTTATCTGTATACGTGAGCAGTATGTAATGACGACATTCCTTATGGGAAGCTGGCACCTGTCATAACACATCTTAATTCTTTCTTCATTCCCTTCCACTCCTCTTCTACCCCCTCCCCGCATCTCTTAGTTCCCTTCCCATTTACAAAAGATCTACCTGTTTCCTATCATCTATCTTTTATTTTGCTCTTCAATTCTTTATGCTTTGGGTTTCTCATGTAATAGAAACCATGCAGTATTTAAGTTTGGGTGCCTGGTTTATTTTACTCAACGTTATATCTTAAAGGTCTACCTATTTGCCTACAGAAGATAAGTTTATCCTTCTTTATGGCAGAATAGTGCTCCGTTGTGTGTAAATACCACATTTTCTGTATTCTTTCATTTGTTGATCAACATGTAGGGCACTTCCAACATTTAGCTACTGTATAATATACAATATAAAAACCATCATTAATTTCCTATCATCTTATTTTGAAATTTTGTATTATTTTATTGGGGTTTTTTAATCCTCTTTAAATCAATAAAAAGATTTAGCTGTTATGAATCATGCTGCATAAAGATGGGCAGCCTCTCTTGATGTCTCTCATCATCACACGGTTCACTGAACAGAGGGTTCACTACTCACTCCTCTCACTATGCTTTTTGAGTAAATTCCTAATCGTATCTCTGTGTTCCAGATAAGATAATAAATCCCAGAAAGGTTAAATCACTCCCCACACAGCCTCTTCAACAGCCCTTTCCACAGCATTCTCGTGTAAACATGGATTCACACTAACACACAGTGGTGTGAATCTCTTCTAAACGTCCAGGGCTCTTGTCCATGCCAGGACCAGCTGCTACTTTTCATAAGCAACGTAGTTTGAATAGAAGTTTAAAACATATGTTATACACCATCAAGCCCCAAACTTAATTTATCTGAAATTATCTTCAGAAACTTCTCAGTTTTTATTAATTATACTTCTTTTCCTAAGCCATGAGGAAATTCAAATAATTGTTGTCTAAGTTTGCTTTCTTTAGAACTGCATGTGGGGATATTTTATTTTGCTACATTATTTTTTTTTTTTTTTTGTCTTTTTCCTTTTTATCGGTACCAGGGATTGAACTCACGACTACCCGCTTGCAAGGCATGCGCTTATGCCGCTGAGCTAAATCCCCAGCCCTATTTTGCTACATTATTTAGCGGTGTATTTTAAGAGTAATAATGTCCATTTTATCATAAATGCTACATGGTTGTTCACTACATTAAAGGCTAAATTTGATTTTCTGGAATAATTTATGAAACCTATTTCCATGTATGAAACTTTTTCCATAGAAAACTGTGTACTGATTGTTGGTTAGTAGTCGCTTAGGACTAGAAGGATAGGGATGTTTGCAGTACAGTTTATGGAACATTCTAAGCCTACCACGAGGCTACTGCTCCGGAAAAAATAAAAGATTCTTTCCAAGATATTATTACTTGCTGGCAATGTCCCTCATCACTCAAGAGCTTTGACAGAGAAATCCTGAGAAATAATATTGTTTTCATGCTTGCTAACAAAACCCACTCTGCAGCCTCTGGATCAAGGAGTAATTATGACTTCCAAGTCTTATTATTGAGGAAATTTATCTTAAAAGGATCTAGCTGGCATAGATAGAGATTCCTCTGGTAGATGTGGCCAAAGGAAATTGAAAACCTCTGGAAAGAAGCCAACATCATAGATACCATTAAGAACACACATGATTCAAAAGAGGTCAAAACACCAACATCAGCAAGAGGCTGACAGGAGTTTATTTCAGTCCCCAAGGATGACTTCAAGAGGTTCCAGATTTCAGTAGGGGAAGCAACCCCTGAGCATGGTGGAAATTTCCAGAGAACTAGAAATCAAGATTGATCCTGAAGATAACTGAATTAATTTCACAACAGAGCTTTAATAGCTGAGGCATTGCTTCTTACAGTTGAGAAAAGACAGTAGCTTCCTCAGAGGAGTCCACTCCCAGTGAAGATGCTATAAAAATTAGGGAAATGACAACAAAGGCTATAAAATACTAGCTGACAAAGCAGAGCAAGGGTTAGAGAGCCGACTCCAAAGCTGAAAAGAAGTTTGGTGGCCACACCTCTAATCCCAACCCTTGGGAGGCTGAGAAGTTGGAGGCAACCCTGGGCCAGGGAGCAAGTGCTAGATGAGTCTGAACTCCATAGTGAGACCCTGTTTCGAAAAAAAGATTCACTGTGGGTAAAATGTTATCAAACAGCATCACATGCTACAGGGGAATCTTTCATGAAAGGAAGAGTCAATAGATACATCAAACTTCAAGAAACTGCCGCAGCCACCCTGTCAGCCCACTCGGGGGGCCCCAAGGGAGATTTCCAAGAGTGAGGTCCCAAAGTTAAAGAACACAAGTTTGCAAAACATCAGCAACAACAGCAAGTATCACGGAGCAGAGCGGAGCACAAGAGCAGTCTGCATCCTTACTGTATAATTCTTAGATAGGTTGTTATATTTACCTTCTTACATAGTGTGGTAACCAGCACATGCGTGTTTATCTATACTAAGTCACTGTTACATGACTGCATCCCGGGCCGGGGTGTTAGCTCAGCCGCATAAGCGCCTGCCTTGCAAGCGCATGGTCATGAGTTCAATCCCCGGTACCAAACAAAAAAAGAAAAAAAAAAACTAAAAGCGTAACTGTATCCCTCTGTGCACCTGTACCAGACAAGCACAGTCACATCCTCAGGCGTCCTTAGATGCCCTTGAGCTTTCAAGCAATCTGAGTGGTGCCCCACACACCCCTGCCTTCAGCAGCTCCAATTTGATCCGTCATCAGCTGTCAGCACTGAGGCAAGACCCTCCCCTGGCCTGGCCAAGAGATTACAACACAGCAAGGCTTAGATGATTGCTAACATTTTTAAGCAGCAAAGTATTTTGAATTAAAGTATATATTAGTTTTAGACATAATACTATTATATATGATAGAATTTTAGACATAGTACTATTACACATAACAGACTATAATGTACCTATCTTTATGTACTGGGAAACAAAATAATTAATATGACTTCATTTATTGCAATATTCACTTTATTGCAGTCATCTAGAATTGAACCTGAAGTATTTCCAAAGTATGCCTGTATATAATTTCTCTGAAATTAATTTTATAGGAAAATGGATGCACCTTAAAGTCATAGTGTTAAGTGAAATAAATCAAACACACAAGGTTAAATATCACGTAGTTTCTTTTGTATGAAAAATCCAAGGTATAATTTAAAGGGCAAAATAAAAGACAGCTAATAGGAAATAGGGAGATAGATCTTTTGCAAATGAGAAGAGGATCAAGAGATGGAGAGAAAGAAAGGAAGAGGGGATGGAATGAAAAAATAATTGAAATGTATTATGCACACGTATCAACCCCGAATGCAGAATCATGATCATGATGTACTATAAACACATGTTGATAAAAATTAAAATTGAAAAACTCTAAAATAGCAGTAACTGTTGCTCATATTTGTCAATATCCTGCAATCACTGGATTTTATACTTTATAGGGATAAGTTGAGTGGCGTGTGATTTGTGTCAAATAAGTCTATTTTAAAGTGCTGCACAGAGTTTCAGGCATATATTCAGGAAATTTTCAAAGGACTAGTTTTAGTCTAATCACAGCTGCTTCTCTGCCTCTTTTAAAACTGTTAATTTACATGCAGGTGTTTCATGGAATACTGCCAGTTGGCATAATATCTTCTTAGACTTCCAGGAAGAGCTCAGTAATGAGATCTCACAGCGGCTGAAGTGATGTGTAGCTTGTCTTGGACTGATGCTGAGACTGTATATGTACTTCTAAGAATGTTGATGGAGTGGGGGAAGACTGGTGTGGGATGTTGGAGAAGACCCCGGAAGTAAACCTGACAGATCTGAACCTAACTTTGCAACTGTCAGCCTGGAAAGTTTCCACCAGCTACACTTTTGTACAGAATACTACACTCAGCGTCCTATGTCACTATATTTTGTTATTTATTCTAGTAAAATTGCTGTTTTTAACATGCTGTTAGAGCTTGATTCTTTTCCCTTAGACAAGATGAAATTGTGTTTTGTGATCATCTTTGTGAGTACTTACTCTTTTTTATTTTTTTTTTTCCTTGCTCTTTTTTAGGAACGCCCTCCTAAGCCAGAAGCTCCCTGGTTGTCTACCGCCATGTGGTTTGCATGCTGTGATTTAGAAGAATCCTTTCCAGTTTTTCAAAAACTTACAGAATACATATTGTTACACCCCATTTCCATACGCTTAGGTAATATGACAAAAAGTGCCTGCTGTGGGGGAATTGAAAACAGGATCTTGACCCCCTTTTTTGTTTTTCCAGTACTGGGGATTGAGCCCCAAGGAGCTCTGAGAAAGCAAAAGTCGTATCCCAACGCTTTTTAGTTTGAGACAAGGTCTAGCTAAGTTATTCAGGCTGGGTTTGAACCTGTATTCTTGCCTTGGCCTAATCTCATTTTAAATTCTTTGCTTCTTAATTAGGTGGAAGGGTGGTTTTTAACATGTTTGCATTTGTGGCTAAAACCAATAGTAAATGTGCAATTCTTTTTTAAATGATCAAAATATATTTCTTTAATCTCAAAATCAAAACATTGAAATTAAGGAGTCTTTTAAAATTGTTTTTCCAGGCTCTTTTGAGACCTCTATTAACCCACCAGTGTGGGAGGGCTACCCTCATTCGAAACGTGAAGAGCATGGCACCCACGGAAAGGCTACACACCAGGATTCTCGGATCTCCGAATTGAGTTCTTTCCAAAAGTTAATTCTTATTAAATGTTGTAAAGAAGAAAAGGTAGGTATTTTTTTAATTAGAGAACTGTTTCTAATTATTTCTACTAAGCTTACGAACCGGTTATGGTTCATAATTTATTTGAGATTTAACAATCGCCTTTAGGAAATGACTCTAAAATAAAAGAGAGACATTTACTCTATTACTAGACCATAATGTTTTATGCAGAGGATAATGAAAGAAACAGCCTGGACAGCCATCTAGGGACCTGATTGTCCTGTCTCTGCTGTGTGCTGTTACTGAATTTACACCATCTGCGTAGGTGGTACAGGAGTCTGTTGGAGGGCTCTGGCAGGGAATTAATCATAGCAGCAATGAGGAGGTGGTGATGCAGGGTAAAAGATCATAAACACCAGACCGGTTTGAAAACTAGTGAAGCAGTCTATGTAGGAAATTGTGGCAGCCTGGATTAAGGCAAAAGTAGTAGATTAGCGAGATGAAGGGGAATGCAATGAGGCACTCACCAGTGCCTCCCGGGCTCTGCTTGGGTGGTGGTGGGTGTGATCATACCAACAACTAAGCAAATATGAAAGGAGAAAAGTGTCAGGAAGGATGCACTGAGTCTACAGAGCCTGCCCGCTCTCGGGGTGGGTAGCAGTCTAGAAACCAGCTAACGTGTAGTAAAAACTCTAGAGATAAACATGAGTTAGAAATAGAGACTTGGGAAACCACCATCATTGGGCTGGAGAGTAAAGCCGTTGGAGCCATTGGAACCGTAGAGAAATAAGGCACAGCAGGAAAGGAGGTCAGGATGAAACTGAAGAGCACCGGCTTTTAAAGGCTACAGAGGAAAGATGAGTTTACAAGACGGAACAGTGGAACATTTCACTTCTGAACACTCCTTGCTCATCCAGAGTAGCTGTCTGTCCTCTCTCTTCCCCTTTTCCATCAACTTCAAATCATCTGCTTTTGCACAGGGCAGGAAGAACAGTAGGAGAAAGCAGCACCGTGGAGACAGTGAGCTTCGATGCAGCAAAAGTCCTCAAGAGAAGGGAGGAAGCACTGCAGTTTTGATAAATGCTGATATGATCCCCTATTTTAATGATAATAAAGGAATGATATTACCTAGGAATCCACATGATGAGTTGTCGGAGGTACTAGAGAAAGCAGAAGCTGCTCCTTTGGGGAAAAAGAAGCAGAAAAGGAGAGAGGACAGACAGACAGACAATCCGAAAACTAGAACTGGAAACGGTCAAAGCATAGGTGGGGTATCAGTGCAACACGGTAGGGATATCTCTGGGGGATACAGGTGATTGCAATAAAAGTTTAAAAGGTACAAGGTCACTGAAAGTGTTGACAAGAGCAGTTCTGGGAAGAGGAAGAGATATAAGAAATGCTTGCATACCAAAAAGGAAGTTTTCTTTGGGTGCAGATGAAGTTGAATTAGAGGCGTAGGACAGGTGGAGGAATGAGAGAAATTGTTTGTGATCAATTTGAGCTTGAAATTTCTAATGTTGACCAGTTCTAAAGATTGGCCATCAATAATGCTGACTATAGAAGAGATAAAATGATACTCCATGCAGATAGAGGTCAAGAAACTCTTAGGTTAGGATGTCAGATGTCCACGTGGACCCTAACCTGGGTTGTATCACGTCAGATGGTGACAGGAGAAGGCATGGAACAGGTTGATAAGTCATTAACATTTTGTTCAATAGACAAAGCAGGTGACGGGAAGGAGTTTAAGGGCCAGTTAGAAAGTCTTCAGTGAAAAGAGAACACTGGCTACTGGGTGAGATGGTGACAAAAATGAGAAGAAACCTCTAAGCAAAAGACTTGTAGCTGAGGGCAAAGGAGACTGCACATTCTCTGATCCCACAACATAAATGGGATTTGCAAAAGATGGTCTTTTAAGAAATGCCTGACTAGAGCTCAGAGATTATGAGAAATCGAAAGCAAATTCTGGCCATTATTACCATAAAGATCTTCATGTGAGTAAAGGCCGCAGAGTTCCAAGAGTCACAGGAGATGATCCGTTCTGGCAGTCACGTGATATGGTGGAGCCCTCGAGGGCCAAGCAGGAGAGCACACAGCGTGGGGGACTACAGAAGCATGGTGCAGGGGCGCACACAGGAGTAAGGGCAGACTTGCGCCCTCTACAGGAAGGCAGTGCTTTCTTGATAGAGTGGATCTGATCAATACTCTTGAAAACTGGGATTTTATGTACAAATTGCACAGCAGCTGAAACTGAGGAACCAACAAGAAACGTGAAGCCAGGAAACCTTCAATACTCCTGCAAGCTCAACACATAGTTGATCACAAAGGGTCACTCTTTACTTGAGCCACTGTGGGAATGATGTCTCAAAACCAAGAAACCAGCCTCTTCACTAACATGGACTAGAATAACTAGAATCCAAGAACCCTTGGACTGAGTAAGATAGGAGCTGTTGTGGTAAAGATTTTAATGCAGTACTGTAAACTCCAGAGAACTCTGACCCGGTTGGTGTGAACGTAGGGAGGACCACTTGGAAATGTTGGTAAGCCACACTTTGCTGGGCTGGTATGGATAACGCTCAGTTTCATGGTACAGCCTCTTCCTCTACCTGAGAATTGTCAACCCTACACATTGTTGAATAGACAAGAGCCCTGAGTCAAAAGAAAAGAAAATGCACACTAATTCTGTGGAAGTATTTGGCTCCATAGCATTGACTAATGGATACATCTCTTTTCTGAATTCCTTTATTCCATTCTGAATGCTTTACTGTGTTCCTTGATACATGTAGAACTAAATGTGCATTGGCTGATTGATTCTTAACTTGCATAAAGCAAGTTTATTTTCTTCATATTTGAAATATTTCATAAAATTGTTTCATACACATGAGAAATCACACTTGTAACCAAAGTTGCAATAAAACCATTCCAAACCTAGATCGCTATATAATGTTAATGACAATTTGTCTGTTGCAAGAGAAATACTTGTTCACTGTCTGAATTCAAATGCATTTCTGGGGTGTGCTACCATTTTAGTATTTCCATAGCAACCCTAAGAAAGAAATTATCAGTGCTTTATAAATTGTCATTCATTGTATACTCTAGGAGCACCTTTTAGCAAAATCAAAAGCAATTAAATAGTTCACATAATCAAAAGACTTTCAAATAAAAATAATAACAAAATTGATGCTAAAAAGATCACACAGTGACACAGCTAGAATGAAGCCCCGAGCCTCCTTGGGGCTGTTGCATGGCTGTTCTTTTGAATCTTGCCACGTTTAAGTGAGGTTGTCCTTCACATCTTAAGAGATATTGTATCTTTCATCTCAGGTAAGGACGGACCACAACACAGCCTCACTCCAGGGGGTAAGCACGTGAACACTTCTTCTCAGCTGGCCACAGAAGGGTCTGGCCCTAGACATGGCCTGAGTCAAGTTGAGAAGTCTCCTCACCTCATCTTATCTCATGGGCTTTGTGTTACCTGATTTCATCACAAGGAGACAGGGGGAGTACAGCACAATAAGATATTTTGAGAAAACCATACCCACACAACTTTCATTATAATACATTGCTGTGATATTCTGTCTTATTAGTGTTAATCTCTTACTATGTCTAATTTATAAATTAAACTTTCTGGTCCAGGGATTTAGCTCAGCACCGTAAGCACCTATCAGGCAAGCAGGAGATCGTGAGTTCAATCTCCGGTACCAAAAAAATACTCACTATAAATTAAACTTTCTCATAGGGACATATATATAAAGCATAGTATCTGGAGGGTCTAGTATAGTAGTACCCGTGGTTTTAGGCATTCATTGGGGTCATGGAACATGTCCCAGTTCATAAGCAAGGACTACAATAGACAGAGTGACGAGGGACTTTCTTCTTAGCAGTTCGTTTGTCTTGCTCCATGAAGTCATGAAGGTCATGGTTGTTGTGCGATATTAATGTACAAATCCATTAAATTACTGGGTGGAAACATATGCATAAAGGGAGAATAAGAACAGTGAAAAGGCTTGGACTCTGAGGAGTCACAGGAGGCAATCAGCAAGGACCCTCAGCCAACAGACCTTTTCTTTTGCTTAGTTTTTGTTTTCTTTTCTTTTCTTCTGTTTTTGCTAGTACATGTCTGCAGTAGGTAATGCTTGTGTCGAGTGGCTCCATGTACACAATACATCTTCATTCTTTTTCATCCCCTTTCCCCTTCTCTTCCTCTCCCTCCCTCTCTTGATCCCCTGCCCGTTTGGAAAAGATCTGCCTCTCTCTGCTTCCTGTTGTCTTCTACGTTGCTCTTTGTGTCAATTTGGGTTTCTCGTATAAGAGACTCTATCTTCCATCATGCTCTTTTTTATCATTTGGATTTCTCATGGATAAGACACCATGAGACAGACAGCACACTATTTTTTAAAAAAATTTTTTTGTTTCAACTTGCAGGTGGTGTTTGCTGTTACAGACTTTGTGATAGAAAATCTTGGCAAACAGTTTATCGAGACGCCCCCTGTGGACCTGGCCACACTCTACCAAGACATGTCATGCAGCACCCCGCTGGTGTTCATCCTGAGCACAGGCTCGGACCCCATGGGCACGTTCCAGAGGTTCGCCAGGGAGAGCGGGTATTCGGAACGGTAAGGTCTGACTGTGTGCCTCGCATCTCCATTAGGACTCGCCTCATTCTTCCCCTGTGAAACATGAATTCTTGCATTCAGACATCTGCAGTAAATAAATATTCAGCTATAGGTTGTTAAGATGGGGTAAAAAAATCATCAAAGCAGGTGCGATTTCATTTAAACTAAAAAAGATTGCTTAATGTATCACAGCATAATAATCAAGTGGAACAGTACTTGTGGACTGTTTACCATATTATTTCACTGTAACCGTAAAGGAGCTAAAGCTGACTCCCTCTACCCAAATGTACAAATCAACCAGGACTCCTTATGCCATTATTCTTCTCATCTTCCCACTTAGCCCCAGTGTGGACGCTGGCCTGGTCCCCAGGCTGGGAATTACACAGAACAGTGAACACCACCTCTTCACTGAGAGCTCACGGTTTTATAATACTTAAGCTTCTCCAAAGAAGCAGACACAATAGAAGGTGTGTGTGAGTGAGTGCATGTGTGTGTAAGTCAGCTTCCCATCACTATTATGAAATACCTGAGGAAGTTAACTTATCTAGAGAGAATGGACTTATTTTGGCTCATGGTCCTGGAGATTCCTACCCATGATTGTGCAGTCCCGTTGCTTTGGACCTCTCACAAATGTGGCACATCATGGCAGGAGGAAGCACAAAACAAACCACTCACCTCATAAGCCAGGAAGCAGAATAGAAGAAGAAATTAAGGTGCCATGAAGGCACCCCTTCAGTGACCTAAGGGTCCCCCTCGAGTCACTGCTTCCTAACACTTTCACACCTCACATGTTATCCAGAATGTGGAGCAAAAGGGATTCCCATGTGCTGGTGGATGCGTGGGATGGCAACATTAGTCTGGAAAACAGTTTGATCTTATACAAAAGTTAAATAAATACATATTCTATCAAGCAGCAGTTCCACTTCTGTGAATATACACATTAAAAAATGGAGCACACACGTAGACTAAAAGACATGTACAAAAATGATTTTATTTTCAGAAACACTATGTATAATAATCAACAACCAGAAATAATATCCATCAAGAACAGAATGGATGAATAAATTGTGGTACAGTCATATACTGGAATATTATACAGCAATGAAAGTCAATTAACTATATAATGACATGAATCTAAAAACATGTTGATTGATAGATAATAGAAAATAATATGCACTATGTGATTCATTCCTATAAAATTCAAAAATTAATCTGTAGTGTTAGAATTCTACATTGTTCTTGCCTTTGAGGATCAGATGGATGCTGATGGTAAGGATGCAGCCATGGCCTGTATTTTGGTCTGAATAATGGAACCACTGCACATTTACTCTGGGAGACTTCAGTAAGCCATACACAAGTGCTGGTGCACTTCCTCTGTACATACGCTGCACTTAATTTTTTCAAGCTTTTTTTTCAAAACTGACCTGCAATGCTTATTGGAAATTAGGACAGTGGTCACCTTTGGGAAGAAGGAAAGAGAAAAATGATTGGGACAGAGAGAGACATGGGCGACATGTCTCTGGATGTCAGCAAAGTTTTCTTCTCAACCATAGATATTTATTTGTGATCATTCATAGAGCTGTATGTTTGGTTCTTGCACTTTTCTATGTGTGGATTACAGTAAAAATGTCTTTAAAAATATGAAAACTGTTTGCACATCTATCCAAATTAGTATTAAAGGCTTGTGTAATCTGGGCAAGAGTTTCTCATACTTTGTTTGCATTTTTCAGACTATCTGCATTGCTTGAGAATGGCATAAAACAGTCTTTTATTGTTGTTCAATGCAGAGTGCAGTCCATTTCCCTGGGGCAGGGACAAGGACCCATCGCTGAGAAAATGATCAAGGACGCGATGAAAACAGGAAACTGGGTATTTTTGCAAAACTGCCATCTTGCCGTTTCTTGGATGCTAGCAATGGAAGAACTGATTAAAACTTTCACAGACCCAAGTATGTTGAGTGCATCACATTTCTATAACAACTCTATTTTATTTAGCTTTTCTTGTTGACTCCACATCTTATAGTAGTTCTTTACTGTAGGCATTACGTTTCCTCTTACTGCTTTCCTCATCCCTGAAGCACACCTTCCTCTCCAGCAGAGGAAGCAGGGAGAATGAGGGAGGAACCCAAAGGGAGAAAACCCTAGGAGGCCACGCCCCCGGGGGCCCCCTCTTCCCACCAGACCCCACCTCCTAGTAGCAAATCGCTGTAAGCACCGGAATCTGATCACCTTCCAAAATCCCCGCCCGCCCGTGAGCACAAGAGGCTCTTTGGGGACCGTCTTTGGGGACCATAAACCGAAATAGTCAGTTCTTTGAGGAGACTATCGGTTAACGCGTTTGTGGGATCTTAGTGGTCAAAGCTCACGAAACCTCAGAGTGGGTGCTAAAACCCTTCCTCTGGCTCTGGCTGTATTCATTTATAACCCAGCCATCTGAGTTCTGATACCTTTGAATTATAAATTAAAATAGATTTGGGTAGTAAACCAAAAAGATAAAGAAAAACTGAAATGGAAAAAAAACTCTCTGGATTTGAAATTCTAAAACCTCAGTAAAGTTTACTCACTTCTTCATGACTGTGTTTGGCACACCTTTTCACTGGGCCTCAGTTTCCCCACCAGAACATCACTGCTGAAAGCCCTCTACTGTGACTTCTAAGATTGTCTTTTAGCACTAAATTCCTGTAATGTCTATGAAAGTTAAGCAGCCCATGCTGGGGCCAGGGTGAGCTCAGGCAGAGAGCCTGCTTAGCGTGCTCAAGAATGGAAGTTAAGTCCCTGGCACCAAAAGCAAAAACAAAACTGATATTTTGCAATTAGAAGTGGAAAAGTTTGGGGAAAAAATGCTTCTCCAAACCTGGTCCTTTTCTGTGTTTGTTGTTTTGATTAACGAAATCATTTGCCCGTATGACTGGTTGCCGTTTACTTCTATGCCTGATTGTTTTTACCACTGTCTAGAATTGCACTAATTTAAAATTTAAAATTTTAAATTTTGTCTATTTAATCTGACTTGATTTAAATTACCAAACCAAGAAACATAAAATCAGCTTTGATCTGCAGCCATTCATTTAATGATCAGTTCAGAACCTACTACCTTCCTTGCACTGCAATGGGTTCTTAAAGTGAGTCAGTGAATTAAAACAACCATAGATATCTGCCTTAGTGGGAGGAGACCAGGCATGAATACATTAGTAAATTTATGAATAAATTAGTAAAATTATCTAGTACGATAGAATGTGGTTATGTTTTGGCAAAAATAAAGAGAAAAATAATGTCATGAGGGGCAGAAAGATCAGAGTGGGAGAATGGAGAGGAGTAATTTTAAATGATGTGGACTTTCTGACCTCTTTGAGAAAGGAACATTTGACCAAGACAGGAGATGAAAGCCTCTTATTCCCTGGAATAGTCGAGGAGCATTGTAAGCACAGGGAACAGCCGGTGCAAAGCCTAGGGAAGGGGCCAGCCTGCAGGTTTGAGAAACGATATAATATGTACCCAAAAAACAGGGCCGTGGAAATCAGGCCTGTGTCTTCCTGTGGTGGAAACAATCATTTTTTTCCAACTTCACTTGGCCTTTTGAACCAAAAAGAAGAACTTCGTTCTTTTTAAAATTCTCTGTCCACTGCTCAGAAAGTTAGCGTATTGACTTAAATTGTGGACACTCTCTGTGGGGTGTCCCAGTGTCCCTGCTCTCCTGTGTTCCCTTTGTAGCTTCTCTGCCAAAGGGGGCTTTCGGAACCTTTTATGCAACTTACCTTGAAGTGAACAGTTTAGAAAAGATGCGTGAGCTACATGTACTAGTTGTAACTGTCCTCTTTTTCAATTGAAAATGTCCCCCATTTCAAAGAGAAGTGCCTTAATATCTCATCAAATATTAAAAATTGGCATGTCCTTTACTTCTTTATCCAGCTTCCAGGCTGTCAAACCTTCCTGATGTGAATTTTTAGAACTTCCTCTACCTCACTTAAAATAACTTACAACATACTTGAAATAAATCCTCAATGTCTTTAGACAGTTCACAGCATTTTTCTTTCCATATGATAATCATTTCTTATTTTAAAAAATGCTACCACAAGCTAAACATTTACTTTTGCTGTTTTGTCTTTGTTTGAAATAGCTCAAGCTATCAAGGACACGTTTCGACTTTTTCTAAGCTCCATGCCCAGTAGTACATTTCCTGTTACCGTGCTCCAAAATTCTGTCAAGGTAATATACACAATGGGAACGTGAAATGACTGATCTTGGAGGGGTCACATAGGGGCTCTAGGGAGCTCAGACCCTGCACACTCGGTCTGTGTGGCCAGGGTGGAAGGCGGAAGTCAATGTCCTTGCAACCGACAGAAGCAGGGAAACGATTTCCCAAGACAGTGCCCACCCCACTGTGGCCTAGTCCTATTGGTCGCTCAGCTCTCCAGCTTTGACCCTCTCTACAAAAAATGCTAAGGCATACAGCGCGATGATAACAGATCCAAAGTAGAGGAATGTGTCAGCCTTTGAGAGGAAGGCCTACAGCCGATGTGGCTGCTGGATTTCATCCCAGGAAGTTTCCAATATTTGAGAAACCTCTGCCTATGAAGAACAAGGCATGGTTCTTCCCTCACATATCATGGAACAATGTGTATTTTGATATGACTACAAAATCCAGGGAAGATAGCCCTACCATGATTTCTGGCCCATGGTTAGAAAACTGGATACCAATTGAAAGTATCTGAGGTCTATATGCAGGTCTGTAGGTCTTAGGACTCTACTTGGCCCTGCTCTCCTTGGACAGTAGGTGACAAGCATGCCGGGAAAGTTCAAGGGATCCAGCTATCTGCATCCTCTCAGTGGCTTTGGTCTACATGTGTTATTCAGAAAAACTGCAATCTACACAATCACCTTATCTGTTGCATATGTTCTGTCTCAATCCAGGTAACCAATGAGCCTCCAAAAGGCTTACGTGCAAATATCAGGCGAGCGTTTACTGAAATGACACCTTCATTTTTTGAAGAAAATATACTTGGGAAAAAATGGAGACAAATAATATTTGGCATTTGTTTCTTCCACGCGATTGTTCAGGTACACTCAATTCTGCTTTTAATAGCAACAAGGAAGTTCATTGTGCTATAAATAAATGAATAATAAATAAATGAAAGCCTTCCAATAACACTGTGAAATTCTGAAGACCCAATTCTATATTTGAACCCAAGTTACAAGGGGTGATCAAAATATCTAACAAACATTTAATGTTTTTTAAATGTATTACAGTAAAAGACCCATTACCTTTAACTTCTCAAAGCATTCCTTCTCACTGCACTGTCATCCCATCGTTCTTGCCGTTTCCTGAAGCAATTCTGAAAGTCTTCTTTCCTGAGTGTCTTTACAAGGTGTGATCAAAAAATATGGGGAATGTTGCTACCAAGCATCTTCTACTAGAAAAGCAGGCTCACAAGGACTTGACAGTGTGTCTTCGTCTGTGTAGTTCACCAGATCTGGCACCATTCAACTTCTGGATCTTCCCCAAGTCAAAAAGACCAGGAAAAGTAAATATTTTTAATCAGTTGTGACATTGAGTTAGCCACACCCCACACCTAAAAACACTTACAAAAAAGAATGGTAGAAGACCATTTGGATGGCTGTCCTTGAAGGCAGAACAATTAGCTCCACATTAGTGAAACCAGGCCTTGTCTCCATGTGCTGATAAGTGCAGAGCTGGCTAAGTTACCTCCTTCTCCCTTCAGTTGGCTCTAAGCAAGTTAAATAGGGGCAGCTAAGCTACTGTTGTGTAATCTTTGAAGCCAGCCAACAGCCTATTTCCTTACCTTGTGTCTCCCTGTAAATGGTTGAGCCCAGCGAGATGGCAGAGCCACATAGCTCTAGGAATGTCAACTGGGTTTGAGCTTCAAGATGAGAGGCTGTAACTCTGCAGGGCACAAAAGTTTACAAATCAGAAACTGAAGCAACAGCCTCCTAAATATTCAAATGCTACTCCATTTGAGTTATGTAGATTGGTCTTTCTGCACACCCTTCTCTGTGCATATTGCAGAGGTGTTTTCTGGCCTCCTAGCTAAGCCACGCTCACAGACTGACACAATTCCCACCATTCTCACCATCACTCACCTTCTAACCACTGGCTTCCTCACAAGTTCATTCTCACCATCACTCATCCTCTAACCACTGGCTTCCTCACAAGTTAATAAATTCTAGATGAACCCCTGGGTCAAGGGCTTTGTCCCACAAATCCTGACCTCACTCAGACCCCTTGGCTGCTGTAACTATGACTATGTCTTAGTGTCTTTATTCTCGTTGTGGGTCGTATTAGAGGTGATAGATTGAAATTAACTCACCAGGATTCTAATAACATTTCAATGATAAACTTTCCGAACTGTGAGGAGAACAGGAAAAGGGATTACAATATTTGAATTACAATCAGGACCTAAAGAAATGCTTTAGAAAATAGCGAGAATAATGAGATAAGTGTGTTTGAAGAGAGGGGGAGTATTTTGAGGAGGTTTACCAGCAGGGTGCCTTTTACTGTAGTAAACTGTTTCCATTTAAACATTTACCATATTTTTGAGTCACACCTCTTATTTTACCTCCATCTCCACACTGGCTTCACCTCTGCATCTCACAGCTTCAGCCTCATTCTGCCCGCAGAGCACCATGACCTGGATGAGTGTAAAGGCTCAATACAAGCACAAAATCAGTCTCAGCTCAGCCTCCCCAAATCTGCTTCCTTCAGCCTCTTGTTCTGAAATCATTGACCCCATTCTCTCAGTCACCTCCAATCAGAACTTCAGGACTATTATATATATGTCACTCATCAGTGCCTGCTTATTTTTCTTGCAGTATTTTCATGCTAACCTGTTCCTTTAAGTGGCCTCGCCACGCTTAACCAGTCCCTCCCACCTGTTTGGAGCCCCAATTTCCCCTGAAAGATGAGCTTCAACTCAGCACCAGCACCAGCCCCTCCTCTGTGTCCAAGCCTCACTGCCTGCTCTGGCATCCATCCTGTGATCTTATCCTTGAATTCAGACATGGTGGTGTCATCTCAGATTGGCTTACTGGTTCTCAACTGTGCGTGATCTACAGAGAAAGGACCAAAAAAAGAAAACACAAAGACTAAAGATGCAAGATAGGGCGTAGATAAACCAAAAGGTCAAGTCCTAGAGGAAATGTGAGAGATCTGGAATTAAGAGCTTCAGGTACAGGGCTCTGTTTCAAGGGAAACAAGCAGCTAAGATGAGGAGGCGGTTTAAGAGTTAGTGAAATTTTGAGATTGAGGAGGGAACTTGGGACCATTGCTATGGCTTGGCCATCTGTTTGGAACTAAGGGATAGAGTGGGATAGGGAAATAAATTTATAAAAAGAATTTTACTATGGAATGTCATGAAACAAGGATTATAATTATGTGTGTCCATTTTTGTCTGTTTTGTTTTGTTTTGTTTTTATCTCACCATGGAAAAGTCCGTGTGTATTCAGCATGGTACGACATGACCAGATGCCATGAACAAACTCCTTAAAATAATAGATAGGTAATTTGCTCTCTACCAGATGGATGATTATCAAACGATTCTATGTGTATTTTTCCATTTCAATGGCAAAGTATTTTATGCTACCCTAAAGAACAAATCTGCTGAATTTTCAGTAATAGCAAATTTTCTTTTGGAAATACAGGCAAGGGCCAGGATTAGATGAAGATGCACTTCCTCTGTGATAAAAGCCTTGCTGGGTTACATTTCATGATGCTAACTGGTTTGGGAGTATGTCAGGGCCTAACTTTAATAGCAGACTTTTACTTTTCATGATTTTACATGAGATTTTATCAAATTTCATGTCAGACTATTTCAGTGTTCTATTCTAGGAGAGAAAGAAGTTTGGACCCCTTGGTTGGAACATTTGCTATGAATTTAATGACAGTGACAGAGAGTGTGCTTTACTCAATCTCAACCTATACTGCCAAGAAGGAAAGATTCCCTGGGATGCTCTGATTTACATTACTGGTCAGTATTCCCATGAGCAGGGGCATTCAGCCAAGGACCACAGAGTAGCTGGGTCACACCCACCTGGCCCATACCAAGATGGTGCCCCTCCCAGTGTTTCATGGTGCTGCTGATGACCTTCAGTGTTCTCCTCGTGATTAAGAACATGTGAAAAGCACATCATGAGACTGTTTACACAGAGGAACTGGGGCAGATGTTTTCCTCAACAATAATAACAGGGAAATTGGCACACACCTTGCTACACTCACGTACTACTTTAAGCACGTTACCCATCTGCCTATTTTATATTCACAGTGGCCCTGACAGCTGTCAGAATCATAGTTAAATCCTTCTGGGAACACTGTAGTGGTGAATTATAGCAGGAAATCTGGCCTTTTGCTCAGGAATTATGTCTGCAATAGATTTCATTCCAGTAGGGTTCCCTCCTACTCAAAATCCAGGATGACAATGAAACACACTGAAAGTAGCTTCTCTGTGGAAAAAGAGATAGTGTACCAATAAGTTTTATTTCTCCCCAATTCCTGTGAGGCAAATTCTGTTTCACCTTGGGCCTGTCTTTCCTCCTCACTTGATGGCAATCATTTATAAGGTACATATAGGGCTTAACTGTCTTGCTATAAATGTTTGGTTCCATTGTGTTCACTGACACTAACACACGTGCTATTTCACACAAAGTGTGCATATTTTAGAACCCTTCTGTTTTGATAAAATAAGACTCAAAATCTTTTTTTTTTTTGGTACCGGAGGTCGAACTCATGACCTTATACTTGCCAGGCAGGTGCTTATACCGCTGAACTAAATTCCCAGCCCAAAATTAATATTTTGAAGCAAGAGAACAAGAAGAAAGAAGAAATATGTAAATAGAACTCAGTGGCTTTAGTTTCTGTCATCTGAAAAAGCAAAACTATTAGGGTAGAGTACAATATTAGATCTTTTTAACAATTGAATTTTATTCTCCTTTGGGGCATTGGTACAAGTGCTGGTGTGCTCTTTCCATTTTTAGTAGCATATAAGCTTATTAGAGTTGGGGTATGCTTATCTTTTTTGGTTTTTTTGTTGTTGTTGTTCTTGGTACTGAGGATCAAATTCACAACCTTGCACTTACCAGGCAAGCGCTTGAGCCACTGAGCTAAATCCCCAGCCTGCGTGTCATTTTTTTAAGAACAAAAACATAATGTACTTTAAAATGCATGTACCTCCTCCTTCTCAGGTGAGATTACATATGGCGGAAGAGTGACAGACACCTGGGATCAACGATGCCTTCGTACGGTCTTGAAAAGATTTTTTTCTCCCGAAACATTAGAAGATAATTATAAATATTCTGAATCAGGTGAATGACTTTTGCATTTTACTAAAAGACCTTTCCCAAGCAGCCATCGAGAGTGTCCTCTGGTTTCCCGTCCAGCTCTACCGTTTGTGTCCAATCTGCACAGCCCAATGTCCACCCCCATCCTCACATCTGTAGAGCTGGTTTAATAGTAAAAGTACAAAAATATGTATTATACAATAGCGAGTTTGAATTATTTCTGCATTAAAGTTGGCTGTACTCTGTTTAAATGTATTTCAAGGTTATATTCCCGTATATTTTGAATGTAATTAAAGAAACCTTTCAATAAGGCAAATTGAGTAAAAATATAGATCTATGAATTGGCAGCAGTTTATTATGAGTCAGATAGAAGTTAGATGGAGGGTCCTGAGGGATCTGTTAGCACAGAATGGGCTGATAAAATTCCTGCCACCGAGATGTATACTCAGGTATACAAGGGGCGATTGAAAACTATGGTGAATGTTTAATTTTTTTAATTTATTCAAGTAAAAGACACATTACCATTAATCTCCCTCACTTTGAACACACTTTTCCCACTTGCCACTTTCTGAATCTGTTCTGAAAGTTCTCTTTTGTGTCTTTATGAGATGTGATAAAAAATATGGTGAATGCTGCTACTAAGTGCCATCCATTGGAAACACAGGACCATAAGGACATTACAGTGTGTCTTCGTTTACATCATTCACCAAATCTGGCACTGTGAGACTTTGGGCTCTTCCCCAAATAAAAATGGCCATGAATGGTAAATATTTTGCACCAATTCAGGACATCAAAGCAGTCACAACTAAAGACACTCACAAAAGAGGACGTCCAGAACTGCTTCAGAAAGCGGCAGGAACAATGTGATACATGTGTCTGAAGCAGAGAGGAGTACTTTGAGGGGAATTCATGGCATTGTGTTTGTTACTACAGTATTTTTCTTTCATACCTCATACATCCTGTCGTCACTGGGGAAAGTCGAGTAACTCTGAATTTTAATGTTTGGCAAAGGTAGCCTTTTGAGGAGTTAGAGAGGGTTGTTGTTTATCGAGTAAACAAGAATAAATTTATGGAGGCATAACTTTCAGCAAAGTATTCATAGGTTCTCAGAGCTTTCAACTTTCAGGAGGAGGCATCTCAAAAGGTTCAGACACTAACCTAATGTTCAAGACCTCAAGAACTAGACCCAGCCGTGAAAGCTGGGAGGCTTAGCAAATACAGTCTCTTTTCGGCCACCATCTGAATGAGTCAGAGAGAAGCACACCATGGCAGTACAAAGCCAGGCCATTTGAGATACGTTTGTGCTCTGTGTTTTAATAACAGGCATCTACTTTGCACCCTTGGCTGACAGCCTGCAAGAGTTTAAGGACTACATTGAAAATCTGCCTTTAATAGATGACCCAGAAATTTTCGGAATGCATGAAAATGCCAACCTAGTTTTCCAGGTAGGTGACCTCTTGACCAATACATTACTTATTTTGTCTACATAACTCAAAACTTCAATCATCAGCTCCTAGTTCTGTATTTATAATAATATCCGTGAGTAAACAAATAATTGCCTCCCCCTGCCTTCAGCAGTGGTCCCACCTTAGCCTGGGTCTTCCCCAGAGACCTGTCACCAGCCACCCTCTCCATCTCCAGGCCTCTGCATGAGCCATAATAGACTTGCTCTGGGTCAACCAGAACACTGAGATTCAGACAGTAATACAGCCTTTTCTCTCCCTTCTTCCTTCTCCCTCCCTGATGGCACACTTGATTACACCAAGGCCTCTGGATTCTGTGATTGGATCATGTTAGTGCAATTACAGATGTCCAGAGCACATAAGTTAAAGCACTGCTCACTGACAGCGTGGCTGCAATACCAGGCCACAGCAGTAGATTCAAAGACAGATGAGGGTTGTTTTACAGCTCTACGCCCAATCTGTGTAGCATCACCTAGAAGCAATCCAAGCTCTTCAGCAGGGCACTTGAGAGTCTAGGGCCTTGCCTGCCCTTCCTGTTCACCATCTCCCATGCACAGGCATCTGGGCTGAACCAAAGCCATGGAATGAGGTATGTCCCTGGGACTCTGGAAATTTCTAAAATTTGAACACTAGATTTGGGCTTTGGAGGCTAAGGAAACCATCTTTCTTTTCTACTTAGATTTTGCCCCAATAAGAGGTAGAGGGTGAAATCTCCCCAGATATGAAGAATTTCCTGAAAATCAATGGTGGAACCTCTAGAAAGACCAAGAGGTCAATGTTTAGCTACTCCTTTCCTATTTTCATGTTTTTATGCAACCATGTTAGGGAGCAGGAGTTCTTTCCTGAAACAGTAGATACAGGTTCTGGGGTCAGGAAAGGCTCTCTCTTTCCTCTGAAGACACTGACTAGGACATCATGTATCTTCAGCCATCTGTGACCTTGTTCCAGGCACCTCCCACCCACCCACCCATCCCCTCCCACCCACCCCATGGAGGCAGCTCCTCATAAGAAGAAATGAAGCCCAGGTAGAGAGAAATAACCAAGCCTGTACAAGAGCGTGTTGTGTCCATCATGCCTGTGTAGGGGAGGCAGAATCCCATCTCTGTTGTCTTAGATTCCAAGAGGGTCTGAGGATTAAGTCGACATAAAACAGATTACCAGGATACAACTTTACAGATTTAATGTAAGCTTTGTGTGACACCAATAAGGTAATGGAGGGTCATTCAAAGGAGTGGTCAAAACCAAATGCTTTTGTATGAGGTTGAGAATGGAACCTCAAGAGAATGGAAAAATAATTGACTGATATCAATTGATGGAGGCTAAAGAAAGGTAAGAAGCATCTTGACACAATCTGTTTGTATGGCATCCTCTGAACTATGGCTCCCCATCAAAGAATGCTCATTTTCTTCTGGCACAGGGAGGGCATCTTTCACACAGGAGTTTTTAATCTCCTGTCTTCAAAAGCAGAGAGGATTAGAACATCCTTCCACTTGCTGCTTTCCAAGAAGCCTCTATTTAGCTCAAGAGAATCCTTATGTCAGATGACTTATTCTGGAGTCACATATTCTGCTGCCTTTCACCTGACACACACATTATCTAACCTAATGCCTCTTGCAATCAGTAGAGTCTCAACATGCAAGATGTAAGTTACTCCTTCCTCCACTCAGCAAGCTGTACACATGTAGATGCTTACCAGAAATGAACAAAGACAGAAAGGGGCAGGGATGGAAGGGGTCTGAGGTCCAGAGTGCACCATCTCTGCTGTTGTCTGAGCCCCTGGCTCCTGCACCCCCGCTGTGTTGCCAAAATGTCCCTTCATCACATGACTCTGCATAAGCGGGATGCGAAGGGAGCAAGTTGCTCTGAGAGTGGCCTTGAAGAACAACCAGGTAACAAACCAGAAGGACAAGGCTGCTGTCCCAAACACTAAGCTCTTATTCACCTAGCACTTCCTGATGGTGTCCCCATGCTGACAGGTACTCCTTAGGGCCACTTGCTGTAGAGCTCAAGTCACTGCAGGCTGGAGACATTTTGTTCCTGGAGGACTGTGTGGACCCAGCCACGGAGGGAGTCTGTGCCCACCCCTCCTGCTGCAGAGCCTCCACTTTCCTGCAGATGAAGGACATACAGGAAAAGGTGCTCCTGAGAACAAGGTTAGAGTCAGCTTTCTGAGCATCACTTTGCAGATTCACAGCTGTCTGTGTCATTGGTGCCTCAGGCACTGCCCATCCAGCTCATCTGCTACAAAGGCCGGTGTTTTGTTTTGTTTTGTTTTGTTTTGTTTTGTTTTGTTTTGTTTTAATAAAGAAGGAGCTAAAATACTCTGCTGAGCTCAGAAAGCCCAAGCTGGAATTGCAAACAGGATTCAACTAGAGAAAATCAGTAAGATGACTTATTAGTAGTAGAATAACTTTTACCTTCCTTTTACTCAGTGGGCATACAATGAGAATTACACACAGGCATGATTCCTGGCATCCATCAAACCAGATGAATAAGCTTTAGAGATCTGTTGTACAACATTGTATCTGTGGTCAGTGGTAATGGATAGCATACATAAAAATTTGTTAAGAGAACAGACTTCATGTTCAATGTTCTTGCACAATGAAATTAAATGTCCTTGATTCTAGAACTGTTTGCAGTATCATTGTTGGAATGTCCACTCTACAAGCTTTAATTTTGTGACTTGAACAATTAATTCTAAGATGGCGATATGTAATCCATTAACTAGTGATTTCCTACTGTTCATTTTTTTCCTCTGTAAATCTGTATAACTTGTACCCTTTCACTGTTTTTTTTTCTTCTTTCCTCCTTAAATAAAATAAAATTTTTAAAAAAAGTCCTTGATTCTGACAACTTCCATTACTTCTGTAAGTAAACCGTATTGCTGCACGTTACTTTTTGAGAATTTGAGCTTTCACCATTCTCTCTGCCACCATTACAGTACAAAGAGACCAACACTTTAATTAACACCATACTTGAGGTTCAGCCACGATCATCTTCTGGTGGAGAGGGGAAAAGCAATGATGAAATTGTCCAAGAACTTGTGGCTTCTATCCAGACCAGAGTTCCAGGTAATAAATAATTCGTGGCATCTATAAAGAATAAGATTTTCAGAGATACAGTATGTTCAGAGAATTGAGGGGCAAGCATATGTTCAAGCCTGATTATTATATAAGCTGATTTATTTATAGCTGTCTTCTGACATGAGGTTCTCCAGTTAGGGACTAGAAGCCTGCAGCATCTCAATTGCCAGAAGCATTAGGAGCAAGCTGGTTTATAACCCAGCATAACTTTAACCAGGCTTCGTCCTTTGGCTTCCTAATTCTAAATCCTGTAGAACTGTGCTGTCCAAGACAGTAGCCACTTGCCACAGGTGGATAAACTGAGCTTTAAGTATACTTAAATGTTGTATTTCTTTTCAGTTGCACTAGCAATATGGTAGTTTCAAGTGCTACCATATTGTACAGCACAAATAGGAAGCATTTCCATCATCATTTAAAGCTCTACTGGACAATCCTTTCATTATTTTTTCCCTATTCAGGCGAGATGTCTAAATTATTTTTGTCTTGTTTCCCAGTGAGTTAAGGAACTTTCTTAAATGATCACAAGACATTCATCCTCACACTTTTCTTAGATTGATCATAGGTTTAGAATTCTAGATCTGTTGTTCACAGTTCATAGATATGTCTTAATAGGAAAAGGAAAATTAAGGCAGAGGAAAACCAGTGTCTGAGTGCTGCCTATATGCTAAAGCCCCCAGAGAAAAGGAACCAGGTGGCCTAAGAAGTCAGTTTTCTGCCTACAAGGAGCAGCCCTCAAAAAATACTGCTTGGGTTCAGAATTCTGTTGCTGTTGAGGCAAATTAAGGTAATTCTTTTAGTAATCAGATTATAATCAGTAAATATAATATGGAGGGCTAAGTGCAAGAGGGATGGATGGATGGATAGATAGGTGGATAGATGGATAGATATAGAGATCATGAACTTGTCCTTTTAACCCTGAAGTGGTGTAGCCTTAATGAGACCACAGTCACAGCTGCTTAATTTAGAATTACAGATTCACCAAAAAAAAAAAAACAAGAGCTTTTTGACACCAAGGTAAAGACAATAAAACAGTTTAATAAACTGTTATGTAACACACACACACACATGATGACACAGAAGAAAGCCAAAGTACATAAAGAAGTTTACCTCGCCAAATTGAAGAGCACCAACTCCTGAAAATCCAGCCCTGAGAAGTCCCAGGGACAGCTTTCAGAGTCCCAGCTGAGAAGGGATCAGGCAAAGTGACCTCTCCACAAATGGTACTCCAAAGTCCCCCTGCCAGTGATACCACTGGGGACAAAAGCAGCAGTATCTTAACTGTGTACACGACCAGGGATAGAGAGTTTGCAGCCCCAGAGCTGGCCAAGCCCCCAAAGCTTGCAAACATCTGCATCTAAACATCTCAATAGGAGTTTCAGAGAGAAAGAGTCCTCCAAGCTCACAGGGAGTCCCTTCACATCAGGATGCTCTGCCAAACATCTGACAACTAATCATTAGAACAAGGACAGATTGCTGCCATGAACAGAGAAGGTCTTTCTACATTTAATTTTAACCCTTCGGAGGTTTTTCTCACCAGGTGTCATAAATCTTGTCCCTTTACTATGAAATGAGAATTAGCAGGCCATCTGCTGAGCTTCAGGGACAGGGATGCAACTGGTCCAACAGAAGACCTGAAGGTTTGGAATGGCCCCTGAAGGGATGACAGTGGGAAGCCCAGGCAGGTATTAGCCCAGCTCTGTGGACCCAAGAGATTAGACTAACCCACACTGCTGCTGATTTTCCTCCAACAGCCACTGCATGGTTAAGGAATTTGACTCCCATATTCTGGAGTCACTTATTGACTCACACTTTCTTCAGACATCCCAGGAAAATGCAGCTCTTTTCTTTTTTTTATAGTTCATGCAGTTCTTCATTTGAGTCTCCTTTTGGTGGATTTTAAGGAGAAAGAAAAACTAAATTTTCCAACTGATTTGAACCATGGGCCTACTTAATAGTTCAGCTTCTGAATAATGCTTAATTACTTGGGTAAATGCTACGCCTCATCTCCTACTCTTCCACCAACAAACCCTCCTCTCCTAGAAGAAATTCAGGTGTGCAGGGAAAGGCAAAGCTGGCACACCAGTGTGCTAGAGGAAATACTCAGGGCCCTGGACGCTTTGGTCTCTGGAACATGCCCTGTCTGCCAGGTAGCTGTTTCACTCTGCTCCTCTTCCCTCCCGGCCCCTCTTCTATCCGAGAAGGAAGGGAAGCAGCTTCTCCCACTCCTGTTCACATCCTCCTACCTGAGCTCAACTTACTTACTTACTTACTTAAGCAATTAAAGACTTTCCCACCTCTGCCCCAAAGCTCAAACCAGCAGAAGATGAAAATGGCCATGGTGAGAAATGAAATGCAGTGTTTTCACACACACACACACACACACACACAGACATACACTCACACTTTTCCCTGCTGCTCAGGAATCCCTCTGTATAAACACAGGTGAATCACCAAAGAGTTCTAGATGACAAAATATCATAACATGTACAGCCACAACTCTCTGCCTTGAGTCGAGAGAGAAGATGGCTTTAGGTAGCATAAGATAAGCACACGCCAGTAGCACTTCAATGAGAACAGAAATCGGTGGTGACTGATCTGAGCATCATCTGTGTGTGTTTCAGAAAAACTGATGATGGAGGGAGCTTCTGAGAGCCTTTTCGTCAAAGACCCTCAAGGACGACTGAATTCCTTGACCACCGTCCTCAGCCAGGAAGTAGACCGGTTTAACAACCTACTAAAGTTAATACATGTACGTGAGCTCATCTCCACCCTTGCTTCTGAGTAGCCAAGCTTCACAGAGAACGGTGTGATTGTCTGGGTGTCCCTAGAGTTTTTAGTTCCCATGCACCACCACTTTCATTCAGATATGCTAACACCCCTTGAAAGCCAGCCTGTCTCAGATTGAAGTCACCCTCTGCTAATGAGACCCAGTTTCCTTTCTCTAATACTGACCGAGTATGTGACCTCGCGAATCTCCAGTCTCCTCATTATCCTAACTTACACCATTAGAATTACCAGACTTACCAGAAATTGATCAGGGGCTTCAGTAATCAACCAAGAGTGAGTGTATAGTGCTTGCCTGGCGAGCATGAGGTAGTGAGTTCGATCCCTAGTACCAAAAAAAAAGAGTGAGTCTATGCTGGCTCCTGATGTCTGGCTTGCATTTGGTAATATAGTTATTATAGAAGACAGTGAAAGACAAAGTGGGCCACAAAATGCCCACATTAGAATCCTCTGTGGCATGTGCTTATTTCCTGGCCAACAGTCTTGGCCCTGACTGAGGTCACCCTTCCTGAATTCTGCTACAGATGACCCCCATGCCAGAGCTGGCTGTTTGTTATTATTGAAAGTTCTTAAAGGTTTGCAATCATGCCTCAGTCCCTAAGAACAAATTACTTAAAGCCCTTTGTGTGTGTGTGTGTGTGTGTGTGTGTGATATACCGGGAGTTGAACTCAGGACTTCGTGCCTTCTAGGCAAACACTCTACCACTAAGCTACATCCCCAGCCCTAAAACCCAACTTTCTTCCATTGCCTCTAGTAAAAAGAGGAATGGGAGGGGGGGGGCCAATGAGTTAACCTGAAAAGGAACGGATGGATCATGAGCCTGATTTCTTCCAGTGCTGCCTGTCTCTAAGACTGTGTACACGTGGTCCTAGGTTTTATTTTGGTATTTAACCAACAAAACGTTGCCTCTAACATCTTCCTGATATGTTTTCCTAATATATGAAAGCTCTCATATAACTGGAACCCAGAAGGGCCATCACTAAGCTGTCTGCACTGCCTTAGTCATTAGCTGGATGGCGAACATCATCTGTATTGCCAGCCCTGCACCTCCCAGGACTAAAGCCTGCCCCTGTGGAGAGGAGGAGAGGCTAAAGGTCATGTTTTAAGGAAATGTTTCCCATACTAAGAGACCCTCTGTTGTCAGCTGGAAGATTGATCTTATCTAAGAATCTTTCCTTTCTCCCATAAAAACCCCAGAAGCTGTAGGAAGCCGTTGAAAAGCAATGGCCAGTGGTGTGAGGGGGTCCTCATTACCCCTGCCTGCATATCTCCAGGCCCTCTGTTCCCACGTTACTATCACATCCATTTTCCCCTTGGCCTGAAGAGAGCTGGATGGTGGCTTCCTGCAAGCCCCCCTCTCCAGGTCTCTGTGAACATCTCCCTTGTTTGTCTTCTTTTCACCACATTGGCCTGTCATAATAACTGCCTAAACCTTATCCTGCACCCAACTGATCACACACTGTAAAACAAAAAAAAAAAAAAATGTGTGTAATATTGCAGAGTCTGGCCCAGCTGACAATATGCACAGAGAATGGAACCCAATTGGCGGATCCTTCATGAGTGTCATGAATGAATGTCACCTACCCTTGATGATTAACGCTGCAAAGGACACCAATCCTTTTGTTCTTACAGACTTCTCTAGAAACACTCAATAAAGCCATTGCTGGATTCGTTGTGATGTCTGAAGAAATGGAAAAAGTGTATAACAGCTTCCTCAACAACCAGGTTCCTTCTCTCTGGTCCAACACAGCCTACCCTTCCCTGAAGCCGCTAGGATCGTGGGTCAAGGACCTTGTTTTGAGGACTGCATTTGTGGATGTAAGAAATTTCACTTCTCAGAAGGTTTGATGAATCTAATTGCACATTTGGCCCTAAAGTCCCTAGGAAGATCTGGTTAACAAGCATCGAGGGATCATCTGAGCCCAGAGACACAGAAACTTCCAGAGGATCATCAGTTTGAAAGTCTTGTGCTGATTATGTCACTTTCTGTAACCAGTCCATTCTTGGGGTGTTAGCCATAGTGCAGGGGACCCTACTGGGAAATAGATTTTCTATTTGACATGCTTCCAAACAACCAGATGTGCCTTTGTGGTCCCCACCCTCTCATCTATGCTAGTACCGATCAGGTTCTGCTGTTACACTGGGAGGTGAGGAAGAGGAACAGGCCAGGCAGTACAATGGGATGGTGGTCACTAACTCAGGACCAGCGTAGAGTTTGCCTCCTGAGAGGCCTCCAAAATGTCACTCTAACTTAGATGATGAACCCCAGCTCAGAAATAAAGCACCTTGTTGCAGCAGCAAACAGAAACACTGAAACATCACCCAGGATTTGGAGGCAGATTTATTTAACATCAATGAGTCTGATGGAATCAATCCTCAAAATGTCAGGCCCTGATCTTGGGCTTATATGGGGTTTGCAAGTGGGAAGTACAAAAGCAGAGTATTTAGTGGTTATTAATTGGTTACGTCTTACATCATTATTACTGATTGGCCTAAGATAAAACTGTAGCTTATACATTGCATACTAAGGCAAGTTCAGAGTTACGGGCAGCATACAGGTTCAGGCGAGGCAGGCTCGGAGTTGCAGGAGGTAAGTGCCTGAGATAACATACGAGTTCAGGGTACTGTCAGTTACGTAACAGAAATATGTGCCTCGCATTGGTAGAAGACAGGAAGCCAGCCCTGTTAAGGGGAGTGGCTAGGTGTAGGAAATTTAACTCCAGAAAGTTAACGCTCTTTTCCTCTTCCCTGCGATGTATTATCTCTCCTTCAGTTGTGGCTCAAAAGAGGACAGCCCAAGTCCTTCTGGATCTCCGGTTTCTTCTTTCCTCAAGGATTTCTAACAGGTACTTATGCTTTCCCTAGAAAAATCCCACAGGAAAGGTTGTGCTTTGTTACACATAGGAGCTAGAAGGATATCACAGGTACTACAGGCCTGGCAGTAGAGCTACTGAACACACAGCAGTCCAGCAAAGCCCAGCTCTTCCTTGATGACTGGGAGAAGGATGACAAAAATAGCATGTACCCCAGCAAGCTAACTTCTGCCCCTGCAGATTACTGACGCAGTTTCCCGTGTGACACATGCTCAAGGCCACCACCCACACGTCACCCAAACAGGCCCCAGCGTCCTTCCCCCTAAAACATACCCAGTGTCCTCCCATCAGCCCTTGATAAATCTAGCTAGAGAATCGCAGAGGAGCCAGGTTTTGAAGCTACTATAGACTAATATCCTTTCCTTAATTTATCACATTCTTAGGCTCTAATAAACACCCCAAGCAGAACAAAATCCTACAGTTTGGAAGATCTGGCCCTGAAACTTCCCTTGTGGGAATACTACACACTTCAAAGCCAGCTTTCTTTCCTCTTCTCCCCAGGCATGGCCAGCACTTGTACATGTTTTAGATCCTCACCTTATTAACATAACCCACAGGCTTCCAGTCTCTGTGAATTAATTCCAAGTTGAGTGTCAGAAGTTGGGTTTTCCTTGGAAGGGAAGTTCTCCAGTGATGGGGCAGCCTGGCTGGGAGAGGGACACAGAGTGTGAAGTAGTGCTGTTGTTTGGAGGGCCTACCTTTCTGGTTTTTGTCTGTACAGGAACTCTTCAAAACCATGCCCGGAAATACAATTTGCCTATAGACGAGCTGAGTTTTAAGTACAACATGGTTCCTACCTACCGGGATCAAGCTGCAGTGATAGAAGCTGCCAAGACAGTGAAGTTTGGACAAGAACTGCCCATGGACCTAGAGGTATTGTTCTCCTGCTAGTACAGTCAAGTCACTCGGGAGTTTAGCCAATCTCTCCTGCCCCGCTCCACCTCCGCCCTCCATTTCCAGGAGGAGGGGAACACAGTAATCGCACCTGAAGACAAGCTTCCAGTTAGCAATGGCTGCTTGGGTGCAGTATAAATTTAGTCTGATATATAGAATATGTTTCCAAGCAATACTGTCTCATTTCTGTAGAAACCTACAGTTACTTTACTTATCTTGCAAGGCAATTAAAAACAAGGCTTTCAAATCAAAGGAGCCTATGTTTGATTCTCTCCTGACTCTTTTAGGCTCCAACTCTGTGGGCTAAGACAATTGCCAACCTATCTGCACCTCAGTATTCTCATCTGTAAAAGGGGTTGATAACAAGTCTCAAAACTGAGTGCGGTATGAACGACCGTCAATTGTATCACGTGACCAGTGTAAGATACAAGGCTAAATATTAGGCTAAATTTGGCTATGTCATCCATTCAGCTGTCTCCCAGGGGAACCAGTAACTTTACACATTCTCTAAGTAGAATCATGCTAGATAACTATCAGGAATGTTCTTGGAAGCAGTGCAGACAGCTGAATGACACAGTTCACTCCTCTGACATTGGTAGTCAGTGTGCAGCGTCAGCATAACCTGCAAACTTGATAGACGTGCAAACTCCCAGGCCCAATACCAGGACTGCTGGACCAGAAATTCTGGGCTGGGGACTTAGAAATCTATGTTTTAACAAACCCTACAGGGAGCTGAGAGCCCACTAAAGCCTGAGAACCATGGCTTCTGTACATGAGTGAGTCTCAACCTGGCTGCAGTTTAGAATCACTTGATGAGCTATTTTAAAATCCAATCACCAGGTCACACACTGATTACAGGGGACCCTCTATTCCTTTTGTTTTGTTTTGTTTTTTGGTACCAGGGAATCGAACTCATGACCTTGGGCTTGCCAAGCAGACACTTATGCCACTGAGCTAAATCCCCAGCCCCTACATGGGACCCTCTAGAATGGACCCAGGCATTGCTGTTCTTTTTAAAGCTCCTCCTCCTTCCATGTTCCTAGTGGACAGCAAGGAATGAGCTATACCACCTGCATGTGCCAAGATACCATGGGGCACCGGAGCCTCTGTCTTGAAGCATCTCTCACCCAGTGTGCCTTATGCAAATAATCGTCTACATACACTGTGAGATTAAAGACCTGCTCCACAATGCTTTTGTCAAGAAAGTGTTTACTAGCCAGTTAGAGTAGTTGGCATGAGAGGCTTTTATTAAACTTTCTTCAAAATACTATGGTATTTATTGGCAGAAATTGCTGCCGGATAATTCTATCAGTATCCACCCAACCCATTGCTTTGATTAGCAAAAACATGCAAAGATCAGATTGACCCCATGTTTATGGCTTGATCTATGAAATACTATTGTGGTCCTGCCCCTCAATTACCTGTACTTTAAAATAACAAGAAAAAGGCATATGTCTTTAAAGAAATTTGTTTTAGCATCAAAATATTTTTAAAGTAAGGAAGACATAAACTTGAAGATGTATTCTTCATTATTTTGACATCCTTATGGGTCAAAAATGTCGCAGGTCCATGTTAGAAATAACAGAGACTGCTGGAGGGCAAAACAATATCTACCTAAAGCCATCGCCCACATCTTCCAGGATGCCAGCCCTGCTCTGTGCCTGGCATGCTCTCTCTGCCACAGGGGCTGTCTGATGGGGAGGGGTTTCAAGACACCCTCCAGGGCCTGTGTCACTCAGCACCCATGCTGTACACTGAGCAGTGACAATAACTTACAATGACTGAAATCTCTGGCCGATCTCTTGGTTCACCCAGCTGACATCTGTAAGGGACAGCCAGGGCATGTGTTCAGAGAGCTCTACTTCTGTGACAAACAGCAGGCACTACTACTACCAGCCCACTTGCCACCTTTGTGCCCTTTGTGAAAATGCACTCCCTCCAGGTGGATGCCCATCCAGATGGCTCCTGTGTATGACTTGGCAAATAGGCGGCAAGATCATTTTCAGACAAAACTGCAGCCCTCATAGCAGCCCTCAAATAAGAAGCTCCATCCCACCCTGCTGTACTAAGAAGCAAAATCCAGGACACCAGAAAGCAAAGACCAGGCAAAAGGAATGTATGTCCTGTGCTGCGTGTCGCTCAAGACTGCCTAATCCTTTGTTGTACATGTGGGGCTCCAATGATCCAAAGGTCAGACCCAGAATTAGCCACGATGACAGTGTTGAGGAAGGATGGTACAGGTACACCCATGGAAACATCCAGACATGAGACACTGAAGAGCAGGTTCTCTCTCCTCTCCTCTCCTCTCCTCTCCTCTCCTCTCCTCTCCTCCCCTCCACTCCTCTCCTCTCTTCTCCTCCCCGTCTCAACTTGCAAGTCAGCATCATTTTTAATGTAAAGAAAAGAGAACAGAAAGGAACTTTCTGAGGCTCTCTATAAATATTAATTATTGCAGATATGTAATCCACCTTCTGGGAGGGCAGAGGGCATTCAGATCCTTCACCAAGAAGTGAAGTCCCATCCACTTCTCAAAGGAAGGGGAAACGTCCTTACACCATAGAGTCAGACAGGCTGGAGTCTGAAGCCTACAATGAGTTCTTACACATCCTGGCACGGTGGGGAAAGTATGAGACTCAGCATCAAACGGAGAAACAAATATTTCACCTCTCAAAGCCTCACAGTGTCCCTCTTTAAAATGCAGTAACTGTGATTTTAGACTGTTTGGTAGAACTACCCAGGAAGGACGTTGGTACATAGGACACGGCCACACTGCTGCTTCCTTTCTCGCCCTCTGACCTTTTAACTCGCGGGTCTCTTTCAGTTGCCCTCTCCGGAGGATGGCGTCCTTGTTCATGGGATGTTCATGGATGCTTCCCGGTGGGACGATAAGGAGATGGTGATAGAAGACGCGCTGCCTGGACAGATGAACCCCATGCTGCCCGTGGTGCACTTTGAGCCACAACAGAACTACGAACCAGCCCCCACACTTTACCACTCCCCGCTGTATAAAACAGGGGCTCGGGCAGGGACGCTGTCCACCACAGGTGAGGAGCTGTTAGGATTAGCACTGGTACTCGCAAACAAAAGCTTCAATCCAGCCCAAATGTACTAACACAGTCCTTGGGCCACTTAATCAGTCAAATTTATAAATATTGTGAATGCATTTGTGCTGAGTACAGATTGATATTATAGTTAATGCTTGTTTCTGTTGAAACTCATGAGGAGAAAGCAGAGTTTAATAAGTGGAAACTTCCAGTTTCAAAATGATGGACCAAGGCCGGGGATTTAGCTCAGCGGCATAAGCACCTGCCTGGCAAGTACAAAGTCATGAATTCAATCCCCAGAACCAAAAAAAAAAAGGTGGATGCATAGACACTAAAATGTCTCTCTGACAAATTCATTTTGGCTCATGAAAAAATTTTTAAAATAAATTAATAATTGAGAAATTAAGCTGCATACTGAGTGGACCTGAAACAGAGATAGAGCCCTAAAAAAGGAACCAGATAGCAAAACACCACATAGATAAGCTGAGAGTAAGTTAAAGAATGAACTGAGATCTCCTAAAGTGAGAGGGGAAAGGTCACATGGGGAAAGAATAGAACCTCCAACATTTGCCCAGTGGGCTCCCAGGAGGCAGTGAGAAAGAGGACAGGGAATATTTGGGCGGGGGACAGCTAGTTTCCAAGGCTAAAGAACCATCTGAGTTCTGAATTAAGTGTTCTCACGAAGCGGTAGGGATACCTTTTGGAACAGTATCTGTCTCACACAGTCATCAGGAAGGAAAGTGTTGATGCTTGGAAAGTACTTAGGACACGGCCTGGCGCACAGCAAACACTACATAATTAAATCACAAGCAGTCACGGTGAAAACTTAGTAAGGCAAGCAGATGAACTCTTTAACCTAGTGACACTCAGAAATAACAATCTGCTGGAGGCACCTGAACCCCGATTCTGCTTTTTCCCTGGATGTGGGTGTGAATTTAGGGTGACAGGATTACAAGACTGTGAAATAGCTCACTATGAGGGTGAAGACCATTGGTTTTCATTTGTTTTAGTAGTCAGGATCAAAGAGTTCTGGCATGGCACATTAGCCTTCAACAATATGGGGAAGACAGGCATGGGCGGTCAGTATCTCAGGGGACCCCAGCAAGGAACTCTGGGAGGCTGTGGGGAGCTGCTATGGGTGTGGGAAGCAATATCACAGCAGAGGATGCGATGGGCTCTGCCCACCAATCCACATTGGTTTAAACCCATTGATAATACCAGGCAATCATTTTAAAATGCTGCCAACCTCATACTTGTGATGTGCTAGCAGCTCCGGTTAAAATCAGAACAATACCAGATTGCTTATTCTACCACTTGCAGTGCATTACTATCCAGAGAGCCTAGCCAGATCAGCAGGACAGGAAAAGGAAATGAGATGTAAGACTCTGAAGGGACAGCGGTCAGCGGTTTGCCAGCACAGTTGATTCCATGGAAAAATCAGAAGAATGTAGAGAAAATCGTTTAGAAATAATAAAAGTCCAGCAGGGTTGGCTGATGTGCCCATCAAAAACAAAGAGAAGCTAAAGTGAAATAAAAGACACATTCCAAAACAACAAAATTGATCATACCAGGATCAAGTCTGGTAAAGAAGAGTAAGATTCTTTTGGAGGACTTTAGAAAATAAAGTAAGATTAGAATACATGGAGGAGCTATGTCACGTTCATAAGAGGGAAGGTTCAGTGTGGTAAAGATTCCAGCTCCCTCCCAGATTAATATCCAAATCCAAAATATCCTCAATAAAACAAATATAATTTTGATGAATTTATTATTCTGACATTCATATGAAAATAAAGAATAGAAAACTATTTTTAAAGAAGATCAAGTAGGAGAGTCCAATTCTCTCAAAGTATTGAAATTAAAATGATGTTACACTGGCATAAGACTCAACAAACAGACCTGATGCACCACAGAGAGCACAGAAACACCCTGTGCGCATATGGGAATGTGACATAAACCCGTGTTGCAGAAATGCACTGCTGAACGGAGAGGAAGGCACTTCACACTGAGTTTGGAAGGCAATGATTTATTATGCTAGTGGGCTGCTGGGAATCAGCTCCAAATCACCAACCCCAACTGAGAGTGAAACACAAGCTAATATCCATTTTGTAAGCATGAAGTACAAATGCTATAGCAGGTTATCGTATAATTGGTTACATGAATTAAGCCATACATTGTCAGGCAGAGTTAACTAGAGGAAACTGTGTTTTATGAAGTGGGAAAATCCAGGGAAAGAAGTTGCTTAGCTGTAACTCTACCGCCGGAGTGAAGTGTGTCATTGACTGGGCTATTTTGTCCTAGGTTAAATCCTTGAAACATAATGGAAAAATAGATTATCTTTTTGGCTGGTAAAATACAGTCCTTGCAGCTGGACTGGGACAGGCTGCCCAGAACCAGGCTATCTATGAAAAGCAGCTGGACACAGTCAAGGCTGACTAGGTTTAGCAGTCTAATTATGGGACAGGTGGGGTGAGCACACCTTGTCTAGTACAGTAACAGGCTATTAATTGTTTCTTAGAATTTCTTGCAATAAAATTTCCATTACACCAGCAGCATTTGAAGTTGACCAGAAATAAAAACATTATTCCATAAATGGTGGTTCTAAACTAAATCCTTATCTATACTATATAAAGAAATTAAATGACAGGTAGATTCTATAGACTTAATAATCAGTAAATTTACAAATAATTAGCTTTAAAATGTACTATTAAGTAATAATCACTGATGGCTGCTAATATCCCCCCAAAAAATTAGACATAATGTTTCTTGATGGAGGTATACACAATCTATGAAATGCTTTTGCCAAAAAACTCAAACTTTTGTGGGGTTACATCTTTGGATTTAAACACATCTTGAAACAGAATTAGAGAAATGTGTTCAAAATCACCACCAATGGAGAGCCAACCATGGTAGCGCATGGCTGTGATCCCAGCACTCCGGCTGAGGCAGGAGGATGACTGTGACCTCGAGGCCAGCTTGGGCTACACAGTGGGTCCAAGACCAGCCTGAACTATGTGATAAGACTTTGTCTCAAAAATAAATAAGTAAATAAAATCGCATAAGTGCTGTCAGCGAAATCCAATCTGGGAAACTTCATAGGAACAGCAACCTGACTTCAACTATTATACAGGGAAGTAAAAAAGCAGAGGAATAATCTCCCAACTGAAACATATTTAAGAGACACCTCATTGTTGCAAGCTACAGACCTTATTTGAAGCCTGACTCAAACAGTTTTTGTTGTACATATACATATACTATTTTTATATGTGTATGTATGCATATATAGATGTATATGTATAAAGTACATATATACATGCTAATTAAGGAAATTCAAACAGTGCCTAAATTTTTGTTATTAAGAAATTATTAATAATTACAATATTCTATGACAGTGGCACTGTCTTATGTTTTAAGAGTCATGACTTAGAAATACATACTATAATATTACATGTAGTCCGGTATATGTTCAAAATAATACAGAAAGAGTCTAGAAAAGCATGGGTGATAAGGTTGGGAGCAAAAGCTTAAGCTATATCTATCATCTTTGGGCTTTTTCATTAAAAGACTAACATGTTCAAATGTTAACAGCAAATCTGGATCACAGATCACTGCATTCTTAAGATTTCTCAATGAATTTTAAGTTGAAAATTACAGCAAATTAGTTAAATTAACGTATGTCCAAGTCATTACAAGTTTGCAGAGGCCTGAATTATTCTCAGATGGAAAACACAGTCCCTCACTGATTAAAAAGAAAAAAATATTTTACATAAAAACAACACTCACACATATCAAAAAAAGTGTTCTTTCACTGAACTACACCAGTGGGGTCGAGTCCAGCAAGGATGAGTGGCAGACCTTGGTCCTTTCTAGAGGCAGTAAGCTTGTCTTTGGCCTGTCTTAGACGTTCTAAAGCCCCCAAGGGGGTCTGACACATCGTATACCAAGCACCAGTGGCCCTTCTATGCCAGGCTTTGTCACACATGTACGCAGCTGCCCACAATTCCCTTTCCATGTCATTTCCAGTAGCAGCCCACCTTTAATTCCTGTAACCATGTTCCGCAGGCACAGTGTCCATGTGCTTGCCTTAACCACCAGTTTTGCAGCCACTGTGTCATAGGACCTCTGACACTGGCCTTCAGCACTTCCGTTCAAGTGGTCACATGATGAACAAACCACACAAACACCAACCCCACCATCCACCCCTTGAGGACAGTCACTGTCTGACTGTTCAGTCATCTCAGCGCAGTACAGTGAACCCCTCAGAAAGCAGAGGCCAGATACAAGACCGAGAATTACAGTATCTGGCCAAGAGTGAGTTGACTGTTTAAATCAGAAGCAGTGGCCGCAGATTCTGTTTATGGCCCACATACTTTCCCAGACCTAGAGGAGGCCTCTTGCATTCCCTGGCATGGACTGTTTGAAGAGGGTGTGTGCTCTGGGCACGCCTCAACAGAAGCCTGGAAAAGGGGAAGGAGGTTGCAAGAAAGTGTTTACCTTGGATTCTTCCCAAGCGTGGGCTAAATTCCAAGGCCCCGAAAACCCAGTAAGTCCGTGTAAACTGTCTAGGCTCAGGATCCCCAGTCTAGGCAGTCCAGGGTTCCTTGCTCTTGAACTTGGCCTGTCACTCAAGCACATGCCAAGGAAACAGGCAAGGAGTGGAGCAATGGCAAGGAGATGGAAGGATCGTACTCTCCGCTCAGGACTCCACTGCCTTCCCTGATGGCACCACAGATGGGGGCTCTTGTAAAGGCAGGGCAACAAGTAGCAAATCCAGGAGCCAGGTGATCATGGCAGTAGGATAGAACAATGATGGAGGGAAGGACGGGTGGACGAATGAATGAATGGATGCCCGATTCCCCCTGAAAGCTCAGCTCTGATCCCAGTCTATTACCCCTACAGCAAACTGAAAGGACAGTTCATAGTAATACCAAGTCCAAACTGAACAGATACAAAAGGGCACTGGTTCAAAATTCTTCATTTTTTAAAGCTATGAAACCTATGGAGGACAATTTGCCATGTCTTTAGAGGCCGACAGATCTGAAACCTAAGGGGTTTTAATTCTTAGTATGCTATCTCTGTATCAGATGCTACTCTTTAACTAACAACTTTATCCTTACTTAATTAGGGCATTCAACCAACTTCGTGGTGACCGTCCTCTTACCGTCTAAGCGGTCCAAAGACTACTGGATTGCCAAGGGATCTGCTCTGCTCTGCCAGCTAAATGAGTGAAAAGGGGTCACCTCAGTCCAAAGACCCTCCGTGATTTGGCAGTGGGGGGCGGAGCTGAGTAATGTATATGTGAGCAACAGTGCTATCTCTGATTTGATTTAGCATAGTAAGGGTGGTTATGTCTCTCATGATCTAAAATAAAGTGTCTGCATTCTGTTTTCTGTGGGTAATCCAAGCTCAGACGTAGAGGCGGTGGCTTCTGCATCCATGTAGTAGACCCACCCCCCCCACCTCGCACAAGTCAGTCAGCTCCCATCAGTAACCTGCTGGGCCTCTCGAGGACAGTCAGGACTTACTCCGTCACCCACGTAGGCTCCTTTCCTTGTTACACTTGCACTAAAGTCCCCATGTGACTGTTAATCATGTTATATCAAACTGGAGTATAGTTCCGGGTGTTTCTGTGGGTTTTAACATATAGGCCAACAACCCGAGGGGGAAGACCCACCCAGGATGTGGGTGGTTCCAACAAATAGGCTCATAGCCTGGACAGAATAAGGAGGTGTGCCCGTTTTAAAAGAGCCTGTCTTTGCTGTCACCTTTGGACAATGGTGTCCGGTTTCTTTAGCTTTTTGACGCACTCGTACCAGCAACTCTGCAATGAACTTCCAGGCTTTGGATCTTGGACTGGCGCTGCATCCTTGATCCTTCTTATTCTCTGGCTTCTGCCTTAAGCTGAACAGCTATTGAATCCTCCCCCTCTCCAGCGCAGATGGGCACAGTGGACTCCCACCTCTGATCCTGTAAGCCTGCCTAATAAATCCCCTCACATAAGTATACATATATTTTCTACCAATTCCGTTCCTCTAGAGAACCCTAACACACCCAGCAAGCACTTAAATCACATGGCCCCAGGTGCTTGTTTCTAGCCCTGGAACCCACAGGATGAGAGGCTCATACAGCGATCACAACTGGCAGACACGCAGCAGGATAAGGTCGTCTTGACCACAGTGCCAGATCCCCACCATCAAGAGCTACAGTACAAGCCACACAAGAGTCTGTGTTCTCATGAAAATACTGCCCTGCCCTAGCACAGAAGCATTTGTCCCTTTTATTTTATGGGTCTCTGTGAAAAGCAGTTGTTGGGCCAATGCTAGTATCAAGCAACCACTGCAACAAATCATTTTGTGTCGGTCCTGCCAACAGAGTCTGTTTGCCTCCTTGACCATAAAATAACCCAAGAAAACGGATCCACCCAACTAGGATGTGAGCCACTAGAGGAAGCCACACTGTTCTAATACTGAGTGGCAGGAACGGGGTCGACTGCAGTGATCCTTCTTTCCCGTTTTATCTCTGCCTTCCCTCTTTTACTTCCATATCTATCAAAGTTAAGAAACTCCCGGAGAAGCAGGGAGCACTACTTCTACCAAAGAGAGTTCAGTGCACAAATCAGAAACTACTCTTGATGTCTGAAGCAGAAATCGGCGCTAGCAAAGGCACAGGAATGGCTGGCTGCAGCTGCAGAAGCCAGAGGATCAGCGTCAGGCACCACGGCAGCTGTAATCTGAGATCAGAAAGCTGCAGGAAACTGCCAGCCTCACATCCACTCCAGAACTGAAGCAGGTGACTGGAAAGTGGGACGCAGATCCTGTCTGCTGGGGCCTGCGTGTAAGTGGCCACAGTGCAGAAGTAAAAGGCGTGCTGCCCGCTTCTGCAGTCCAGTGCTGAGTGTGCCTCACCCAGGAGAATCTGAATCACAGCAGCAGGGAGGTCTGGGGGTTCCAGCTCTCCTACCCTTGAAGTACCAGGGGTACAGAAAAGAACAAATAGGTAGGTATGGGTCCTAGGTGCCATCACACATACCCAGTTAGACGACAGGAGACCTCCTGGGCCCCAGAAATCACTGGGAATGAGTTCACAAGAAAGCGCAGGAAAGGAAAGAAAGCCAGAAAAACGAACCCCATAGGATAGCAGTCAAGAATACCCTAAGCTACACTGGCCTCGCCTGGGTACTGGGCAGCCCTTTGGGGGTTTTGTTGGCTACTCAGAAGCAGCCTTGACATAGATGAGAGGCTGATTTGGAACCTGAGGAAGGGGGGTAGGTGAGAATCAAAGTTCCCGGACATAACCAGGCAGTTCTTCAATGATCTACTTCATATAGAGCCGTAACAGCTTATACGACACACCCAATAAATGTGTAAATAATAAGACAGGAGTGGACAGCTTTGACCAAGCCCACTCATTCCCTCAACCACCAGCACACAGATGAGACCCAGATCACCATACTCACCAGACCTTGAACAGAGATGCACAGAACACAAGATCCATGGCCTACTGACTACCCTGCATCCAGCAGAGAAGCAAACAGAGAGGAGAGCAGAAAGGAGAAGCAGGTCGGGATCCAGGAGGGAGGAAGTAGCAGTGTTCAGGTGGTGTGGGCAGGAAGTGTCTGCCCCATAAATACACATTGTGAAAAAAAAGTCTATACAAAACAGATGTTTTATTATTTTTATACAACTCATTTACTATTTTTATGCAATTCATTATATTACAAAACAATGCACCTCTGCCCAACACCATTGCATAACTCAAATCATTGCTCAGGAAAAGAAGAATCGCCGATAGGTTTCTTCTTCAGAAGTCGCTTCTCCTGGGCTTGGCATATCAAGGGCAAGCGAGAGTGTGGAGTACAGGAGTTGCCACCACCCATGTTCAAAGGGTCAGGGTCTTGACCTGGTTCCTTCAATCATTACAGTGGGGGCGTTTGTGTTTGGAAAGCCAGCTCCATCACCAGAGCACAGGAGTCTAGAGAGGCCATCACTCCTGGTCACCATCTCACTATGCTGAGAATGCCCATGGTGAAGGAGCCACAGCACAGCAGAGGTAGCCCTGTCCAGGACAGGGATCTGGAGCTGTGGGACCTCAGCACAGGAGAAAAGAGAAAAACAGTGTCTTAAGGCTCAGGAGAAGCCACTACACATTCCAAGGCCCACAAATGCCCACAGCATCATCTCCCCAGCTTTAAGGACACAAGTGAGCATTAACACACTAATAGGCTTCCTATGTCCTTGGCCTTCTTTGGTCTCATGTTATTGCTTCCAAATTTTATAGAAAGAGAGAGGAGACTAGCAGATTTGGTTCTTGGCTCTTAGTGTAAAAAGATCCAGCTAACAGTTCATTGATCATTAGCAGTCCGAGGCAGGGATTCCCCTCCTCCTCACTCTCCTCTCTGGCCATCATGGAGCACAGCCAGCTCACGAAGCCCCTCCCAGGGCCTCTGTCTTTCCCACACCATCAGCTCGGGTCTGTGGACACTAGGCAAGCATGCCAGGTGATAGAATGAAGAGAGGCCTACATCCTCTAGCTCACCTGGTCCTTTCAGCTCAGCTGAAGAATAAAGTTCCCAACCTCATGGCCACTTTACAAGGAAATGGCCCAGGTCACCAAAGTACTGAACAGATCACACAAGCACGTGCATACCCACAGCAGCTACACTTCTCGTAGATTAACTACTCAGAATCTGGCTTCCTCACCACACCATGAGCTTCATGAAGGGAGAGCTAATACCTTCTGGCTGACCCCACAGATACAGTATGCAACACCACACCAGACACACAGGAGAAATTCAGTAAGCTTGCATCATGGATCACAGCCTCGCTGGTGTAGTTACTCAAGTGATCTTGAGCCCTGCAGACCCAGGATCGTCCATCCACTCCTTGACCACGCCACAGCCCTCTGAAAGCACACATTCTGCGGTTGCAGTAAACCATCCATTCCTACAGAGTTCTGCAAAGCTCTGAAGAACCATGAAATTCTCTCAGATCTGCAGTGGAGGACGGTTGGAAGATGAAGTTCTTTTCCAGCTTCATGCCTGCCTCATTTTACTTTTAAGAGACTCATCCACACTCCCAGCTTGAAGCAACTACAGTATCTTAAATCTAGATTTATCACTGTCATATTGACAGAGGACAGGTGCCCGGGGAGAGGTGCTCCATGAGGCAGAGGCTTCCTGAGTCTGCTCCCCACCTGCGTTCCCAAGGAAAGACGATGCAGACCTGGCTCAACCCAACGCTTCACCTTTCCTCTAAGAGGACTCACAGGTTGCCAGAATCCTACCTCAGATGCAGTTTTCTCCACTTCTTCTAAAATATCTGCTCCTCCTCACTGGGAGGGTCAGCAATTCTGGGCAAGGACACCTGGGGAGGCTGCTGTGAGGACACCATAGACACAGCCCCCGGTGCCAAGGCTTCCATGACAGCACTTCTGGACCAAAGATGATGGATGGGATGTGCTGTAAAGAGGGCCTTTCAGTCTTCTGTTAACAGGAGCCCACAGGAGAAGTATTTGGGGGAGCATGACTCCCTCACAGCTCTTACACCCCAGGACTTCAAAAGGGCCAGATAACCTGAAAGTGCAAGCCTACCAAGGAGAAGAGTAGTTACCTGGTTCTCAAAGCCACTCGGGGAATTGATTACTTTGACATCTCTGTTTCTCCCTCACATATTCTCGCTTGTATTCTCTCCAAATCCGATAGCTTTGGGGGGAAATATCCAGGATTCTTTTTAAACACCATACAATTGTTACACTCCCCCAGTGAAAGGTCAGCATGTCTACAGTCAGCACTGTAACTAAAGATTTTATGGCATTTAAAGAGTGATAAATGTTTAGATGCCATTTGTTTTGAAAAAAATTTTAAATGACCTTTAACTGTGATAATCCTTCTGTATTCTTTGAAAGGTTCTCTGGTGGTTGGTAGCCACCCCATTCCCAAGTGAAGTGCTCACAGGACTGGCTTTTAATCCCCTCACCCCAGGCCTGCATTTAAACCATCCTTCCCAAAGGGAACACATATTTTCACAACTGATGAGAAACTCGAATTTGTTCCAGGCCTCCCTAACATAACTATAGCCCCCAAATGTCTCTTTCTGGGAAAAAGTAAGCCATAAGAAAGGTAAGATTCTTCCTACAACAGAGGTTTTGTCAAAGATTTGGCTGGGAAAGAGGAAAGAGTATTAAAAGAAGAATTCATCCACTTGAGGACAGTCTCACTGTCTCCTTTGTAGCCGGTGAGGGGTTTGAAACTCATGTCTGCCTGAGGAAGTGGTGGGGGTGCCATGTGGGGACTCTCCTGCTCCAATTAGGTGCAGGCAACCAGCATATGTAAGAACTCCTACTCCAATTCATCCTTGTTCAGTCTCCGTCTGCCAAAAGCCAACCACGGTTGTGAATTACAACCTGACAGAATCTGATAAATCAGTTATTATTAATGATCCTATGCAAGGAAGACAGGAAATAAAACAAAAAGCAAGACAGAGAAAGACCTAAGCTAGGTAACTGTATAAAAGAAAGAAATTCCTTGAGTGGTAAAGGAAAAATAAAAGGTCCCTGAACCTGAAGTTCAGGCCCAAAGTCACAGCTGGAAAATTTCCAGAAG